AGAGGGAGGTATGAGGAAGTCCAGAAAATAAGTAAATTTAAAAACGGAAATGGAAAAGAGATATTGTTTTTTAATTGTTATGTTCCTTTTTTATTGTTGATTTTTGTCTTCTGTGTTTTTTTATTTTCTCTTTGAGATTTATATGGTGTATTTGTGTATTTTTTTTTGATGTTTTTCTTTTCTTTCTTTGTTGTTTAATTTCTGATTGAAACTTTAATAAAAATTATTATAAAAATATATATGTATATACCCTACCCATCTGACTGGGCTGCCTTCAGATGCCCTCTAAAGGTTGCATAGTTCCTTATCTCCTGGGCTCAGGGGGTCACATAACTCCATACCCTCCAACATTTCTCCAATGAAAACAGGGATGTCCTAAGGAAAAGTGGGACACTCTGGGATCCAATCAGAAACCGGGATGGCTTCTGCAAATCTGGGACCGTCCCTGGGAAATAGGGAGACTTGGAGGGTCTGAGATAGATGCCCATGGGAAGCCTGCAAGCGTAATATCCCTCTCCCACTGCTGATCCTCCGGGAACTGGTTGTCAGAGGCATGCTGCCTGCAATATTGGAACCAATATGTAGCCACCATGAATCGTAACCACTTTTACTGCCCCACCCGTAGCCTACTAAAGAGGGAAAATGTTTTGAAAAGGGGGTATGTGTGCAATAGGCTGCATCACAGATTTTAGACCAACCTGTATGCATGAGCATCACATGACACATCCAAGCAGAATAGCAATCTTTCCAAACTTAAGAGGAAGAAAGGAGGGAAAAGGCTCTGCACTTCAGCAGCATTCAGAATTCAAGGCAATGTTCATTTCTTTGCTATCTTCACATTTGTTTCATTCATACACCCCCCCCATATATATATATATATATATATATATATATATACAGTCATACCTTGTGTTAGGTTTGCTTCAGGTTGCACATTTTTAGGTTGCGTCCCGTGGCGAACTGGAAGTACAGGAAAGGGTTACTTCCGGGTTTCTCCGCCCGCGGATGCGCAGATGCACAAAATGATGTCACGCACATGCGCAGAAGCAGCGAATTGCAACCCGCGGACGTGCAGACGTGCAGACGCAGGTTGTGTTCTTTTCAGGTTGCGAATGGGTCTCCGGAACAGATCCCATTCGCAACCAGAGGTACCACTGTATATATATATACACACACACACACATATGGAAGAGCGAAGGGGGGGAGAGAGAACACTAACCCACTTGCTCATATAGGGTGCCAGCTTCAGAACACTCTAGTTAAAAGAACAGACATGACCTCAGGCCAGATGAAACAATAGTGAAGAGTTTATAAATTAATCCATAGAAAAAGGGGTTGGGGAGGAAGTAACAGAATCTTTCTGGGGAAACAGCAACAGTGAAAAAGGGAATATAAACTCAACTTGCTTTTTAAAAGCTGAGTAGAAAAATATCGATTAGAAAATGTTTTTCTGTGTGCAGAAAAAAAGATAATAGCAATAAATAGTACATGGCACATTGCAAAATATTTTTTTATATTGAAGAAAACGCCTTTTCAAATACTATATGGAATGAATGTATTTTCAGGCACTTTTCATTTGGAAGAAATATTGCTGTCTGCCAACATTCCGTTTACCGCTGAGATAAAGAATATTGCCTTTTAGAATATTCGGCGTGGGTTAGCGCTACTTGGTTTTTCTACAAATATATGAAATCTGAGCATCAAATAAAGCTCAGCCACCCACCTACCCCCGTTTTGAACATGCAACTTGCCTGCTCAATCTCTAAGCAGGCGAAAATCCTTGCAGAGATGCAAAACGCACTTGTCGTAGTTGACGACTTGCAATTCTCCCTGAAAAATCTTGCTCACAAGGTGTTATTAACATTGTTCTCATTATCAAACAGTTTGACTTCCTCTGTGCTAATATAAGAATGTATGTGCCTGCTGGGTCAGGCTAATGGACCATCTAGGCCAACATCCTGTGGCCACCTGGATACTTGTGGGAAACCCACGAGAACACTGTCCCCTCCACTAGTTTCCAGCAACTGGAATTCAGATGTGTTACTGCCTCCTTTCTGATATTGGAGGTGGAACATAATTAGCATACTTAGTAGCCACTGACAGCCCTTACATCGATGAATTGGTCTAATCCTCTTTTAAAGCTGTCCAAGTTGGCAGCTATCAGTGCCCTCCTGCAGAAACAGGTTCCATAGTTTAACAATGCAAGGTATAAATGATATCTCACAAGCCACTGCAAAACTTGAAAGCCTCATTATTACCTTGGCAATACAAGGAGATTCTATCAATTGCCCTGGTGCGCTCTGGTTGATACCATTGTTGCTCCCGCTCTGAAAAAGGCCTGGAAACTCAGGGCCGGATTAAACCCCTGTGGAGGTTTGTCATGGATTTAATCTGCTATTTTCTTGTTATCGTTCTTTTGCCCTCCTAATGAGCACTGCTGTTGCAGTTTATAAGGTTTCACAGGCAGTGAGAAGCAATGGCAGGCGCCTCGTTAATTGCCATCCAGAGAAAGCTTCCTGTTTAAGACACAATAACAACCCCTGTCCATGGAATCGCTAAATGTGGAAGGAGAAGACATTGATGGTGCTGGTTAAAAACCGGACTATCACCAAGATGAATGGCAGCATCTTCCTAACCGTGCTGATGTTGACAACAGCTGGCAGTTAAGGGTCTGGTTTCCAAGCTGCTAGCTCACCTCTGAGTCGGTGGGACAAATCATGGCTGGCATTTTTGGGTGCTTGCCATCAGAAATCACAGAAGCCAAGAACCAAGTTTGGGGCAAGTACTCTTTGGTGAGAGAACCCCAGCGGAGATTTAACATGGCAAAATATGCAGCAAAGAGAAGCGTGGAAATATAGACGGTAAAAACTTTAAAAGGTGTCCTTTCTAGGGAACCCAAAAGTACCCCACTTCTCTATCACAAAAACAGACCATGTGTTTAGTAAGCTTTAATATGGTTTACTCACAAAACTCTTCAAAGGTCAGATTGATGCTGCAACGAGGAGGTAGACTCATGGAGGGTCCCCATGACAGCTAGGCTTGTCCACGTGTTACAATGAACACAGGTACAAGCTGTCTCTATGCATGTACAAGGGTTTGTGTGAAACAGTGAACACTTTATTTGTGCAGTTCAGCTGTTGTCTACACACGGACACAGCCTGTGCGTTTGTTGAACAGGAGCATAGGACGCTGTTTTGTACTGATTCAAACCATTATTCCACCTAGCGCAGTTTTGTCTGCCCTGATTAGGAGCAGCTCTCAGGAATTCAGACATGAGTCTCTTCCAGACCTACCTGGAGATGGGAAGGATTTGAACCCGGGACCTTCTGCACACAAAAGATTCTCTCTAACACGTGTGACTGAGCGAGTGTACAGCTCAACTGTTTGCGTACACAGGTTGTGTGCTTGTTGAGTGTAATGTGTGAACACCCGCATTGCCCCTCTTCGTCCTTGCATTCATTCCCTCTCTTATTTTCCTCTGGGTCTAGCTCAGCCCAGCTATTCCTTTGCTGCCCATCCTTGCTTTCATGACAAATTTGTCTGCAACTTTTGCTATAGCCTTTCCCAGTTCCTGGACCTTGGGGGATTTTGGTTCTGAACACTTCACAGTTTATACCGCTAAGCAGAGAACAAGAAGGGATAATACCCATGACATTCATAGAGGAGTGAGTAAATTTTGCAACGTCTACCTGAATGAGTCCATCAATTGCTACGTCTTTATCTTGATGGGCAACGAACCAGTTGCTAATGAAATGTTGGTACTTTGCAGAAGCTCCAATTAATGCATTTCGATAGGGGGGTGAAGTCACAGCTATGTTAATGGCATACATGAATTATAAATTGTGGATGAATTGCCAAATGGGCGAAGGTAATGTTACATAGTGAAATATACTCAGAGTCGCAAAGTGATTTCATGCTCTTTATTCAGCTCATAGTGGTGAGGAGGAATGAATGAAAGTCCCTTCAAAGTATCTGCTTTATATACATTATTTACACAATGGGCTGCACATGATTGGCTAATTCTGGAATTCTACTGTAAGCCAATCAGGTTGTGGATTCACTTATATCTGGAGCATGATTGGGTGGTTCCTGCCAACCAATCATACTGCTGCATTGTTCTAGGACCAGTCAGACTGCTGCATTCTGAATCCTATTGTTCTAGGACCAATCAGACTGCTGCAATTTGGATCCTATTGTTCTAGGACCAATCAGACTGCTGCAATTTGGATCCTATTGTTCTAGGACCAATCAGACTGCTGCAGTTTGGATCCTATTCAACTCAGTACATAACACCTAGCTAGGAAGGCTGACTGTGTTACCAGTAATCAAAGATCATGCTTTGGAGTGCAACATAAGGAGCCAAGAGCCAGGAAGGCCTCACACATCTACATTTCTTTGCAGTTAGGCAGCCAGAGTATGAGTCAGGAGGAGGGATTCCTCTTATGTCAATATTATGCAACAGCTGGAGATAGTACACATAGAATCATAGAACTGTAAAGCTGGAAGGGACTGTTAGAATTCCTGCTCCATGACTGCAGTCATAGGATTGTTGTCTTTCACATGATGGTATATGTTTTGACTCCTCAGAGTGGGAAGTGATGGAGACAGGATGTTTGTGTTACTGTGTTCTGTGAAGTGGGACTATTGTCCTTTGTTCTTTTTCTCTTTGCTGTCTGATGCTAGAGAGAGAGGGAGCCATGTTGCAGTGCTCCGTGTGTGTTTATATGTAAATAAAGTAGATTAGCCAAGATGCTGAGTTGCTGAGGTCTGTCACGCAAGTTGCGAAGACTCTGTGGATCCCTAAGTGTGCCAGTGTCTGTTGGCATCGGTCGCTGTGATGTTCAGGCAGAAGAAAGCTTTTGAAGATCCCAATCAACCAGAAGGGAGGGAACATGCCAGTCGGGCATGTGTCTCTACCAGGGTCCTACTTGAGTGTAGGACGAGCTCCTGACAGGGACCTCTGAGGGTCATCTAGTCCAACCCCCTGCAATGCAGGAATCTTTTGCCCAATGTGGGGCTCGAACCCATGACCCTGATATTAAGTCTCATGCTCTACCAACTGAGCTATGTTGGTAGGTACCCCTGAAGTTGTCCATCCAGTAGGAAAGTTGTTGTTGTTTAGTTGTTTAGTCATGTCCAACTCTTGGTGACCCCATGGACCAGAGCACGCCTGGCAGTCCTGTCTTCCACTGCCTCCCACAGTTTGGTCAAACTCATGCTGGTAGCTTCGAGAACACTATCCAACCATCTCGTCCTCTGTTGTCCCCCTCTCCTTGTGCCCTCCATCTTTCCCAACATCAGGGTCTTTTCCAGGGAGTCTTCTCTTCTCATGAGGTGGCCAAAGTATTGGAGCCTCAGCTTCAGGATCTGTCCTTCCAGTGATTACTCAGGGCTGATTTCCTTAAGAATGGATAGGTTTGATCTTCTTGCAGTCCATGGGACTCTCAAGAGTCTCCTCCAGCACCATAATTCAAAAGCATCAATTCTTCGGCAATCAGCCTTCTTTATGGTTCAGCTCTCACTTCCATACATCACTACTGGGAAAACCATAGCTTTTACTATACGGACCTTTGTTGGCAAGGTGATGTGTCTGCTTTTTAAGATGCTGTCTAGGTTTGTCATTGCTTTTCTCCCAAGACTTCACAGTAAATAACCAGAAGACCCTGCAACAGTTCCACTTAATACTAGCCCGTGTTTTGTTAGCCCCAAAATGGAAAAGGAGCGAGGTCCCAGCTAAAGAAGAATGGCAACTTAAGCTGACGGAATACGCGCAGCTTGCAGACTTAACATATATAGAACAAAAGAACAAGAAGAACATATGTTTAGAGAAGATTGGAAAATATGTATTGAATATATGGGGGGAAATTGTGTACGCTTGAAAACATTGGCAGCATTATGATAAATTCAACAGTGTGAATAAGTTTTGATGAATGTGATAATGGAATACTGAATGGTTTAGTTTATGTAAAATATGCAGGGATTTGTGATACGCAAAATGAACCGTGGAGAGAGAAGAAGGGAAGTCATTGATGTTTAAATGAGTATTCAAAAATGTAAAATAGAAAATTACATAAAAATTACATAAAAATACTAGCTCTGTTTCGACAGCATATTTGAAGCTGGTGCCCTCTAGATGTTTTTGAAGTACAACTTCGGTTAGCCCAGGCAGCATTGTGAATGGTCAGGGATGATGACCACTGGTCTTGTTAGCTAGGGATGATGGGAGTTGTAGTCCCAAAACATCTGGAGGGCTGAGTTTGCCTATGCCTATCTAGTCCAGCCCCCTGGAATGCAGGAATGTGCAGCTATCCCGTACAGGGATCAAACCTTCAACACCATACTCTAACCAACTGAGCTATCCATATCCTCCAATATAAACTCATTGACACCTGGAGGGCACTAAACCCCATTCAAAGGGATGTCACCTATTACTCAGAGAAACACAAAATTTATACAAGAATTGCCCACCTTTTGATTTCACACTCCTGGTGTTCCAACAGAAAACCCTCAGCACTTGGAGTCGTAAGTGCCTATTGGTACCACTCTGAACTACAAACCTGTCCTGGTGCTTGAGCCCTTTGCTATTACAAAATAAACTAATGTCAGCAAAAACGACAGAAAAAATAAAAATGTTTTTTTGAAAATGAGCAAGGGCGCTTGTGTTCCCCAAATTCATTATGGGCACTCTAAAAAGCAATGCTAAGGGCCACTATTATTAGTGAAGGCAGCAGAAGAGAAACAAATCTCAGGCAGATTCAGGAGAATATTTTATTTGGAGAAATATTTTTTTTAAGAACTACGGCACAAGGGGACAGCTAGTAACAGGGTATATAAAATTCCAATCAGAAAAAATCAAAATTGGATTCTTCAGACGTAAATAAAATAGAAGACTCCTTGCCAATCAATATTTTTATGAATTTGATGGTAAAAAAATCCAAATTATTAGCAATAAAATTAAACAAAAATGTAAAAAGGCACAAACTGTTCTTTAAAACCCCAAGGGGAGGAATCTACCAAGGTAAGGCAATACTAATCAATTTTAAAATTCATTTGAAAACATATATGCTCATTATTCAAACCTATTAGTTTGAATAATGAGGCAATCGACCCATATCTGGATAAAATAGGAGTACAGTTGGATGTTGAGCAAATGGACTATTTAAATCAACCCTTTACAACAGAAGAAATTGATAAACCAATTAAAAATTTAAAACTAGGAAAATCTCCAGGGAAAGAGATTTGTGGACAGTTTCTATAAGAAATAAATGAAACCAAACTAATTCCCATTCTACGTGTACTGTTAAATGACAGGGGGAAAAGGTGAAGTTATCCAAGACACATGGAGACACATACAAGGGAATAACAGAATGGCAATACCAAAACCAAATAGAATAGATACTATTAGGAGGATTCTAAATACGATCTATAATGGAAGAAAAAAACCCCACTTTCCTTTAGAATTTTGTTACTGGATGCAAGCAAAGCTTTTGATGGGCCGCCTTATCAGTCTTAAAAAATGAATATGGGTGTCTGTTTTGTCATCATATTGCAAAGACTTTATACAGGCAGAACAGCAACTATTTTTTTACTCTAAATAGGGGGCCAAAACAGGGGTGCCCCTTATTCCCACTTCTGTTTGCCTTCGCCAGGAGAGAAGACTCCCTGGAAAAGACCCTGATGTTGGGAAAGATGGAGGGCACAAGGAGAAGGGGATGACAGAGGACGAGATGGTTGGACAGTGTTCTCGAAGCTACCAAGATGAGTTTGACCAAACTGCGGGAGGCAGTGGAAGACAGGACTGCCAGGCGTGCTCTGGTCCATGGGGTCACGAAGAGTCGGACACGACTAAATGACTAAACAACAACAACAGTGAGGAAGGAGGGAATAGCAATGCAACACAGCCACACATACAAATCAACAATATCTGGAGGAGAAGAGAAGACGCTGTATACAGGAAAGGCCAAGTGAGATTTCAAGAGTTCTTGTGTGGTTTTGGGTGGTTGGAATCCAGCTGTGTGCAGCAGCTGACACCATTGCAAAGGTAGTTCTGCTCAACCAAATGAGCATCCTTAGCAAGACCAGGAGCAGCCATGCCTTCCATGACAGCCTGAGCTAGAGAGCCATCTAGCGGTAGGTAGGTCCACCTTACCAGGAGAGACTCAACGAGGCAAAAGAGCTTGGGGGCTTTTTTCTGCTAGGACCAAACAGAAACGCATCTTTCACACCAGCCAGCAAATCATTATAATTAACACCAAAGCCTGCAAGTTTTCGGAGGCTTAATTGGCAAATTAGTCAACCTAAGCTTTAGCTGATTAATCAGGAGCAAATTTTAATCGACAAAAAGCACGTTTAATTGATGGAGCTGAGAGACTGAAGGAACGCTTGCCTGCTTTGCTTAGAAAAACAAAACAAAACAAAACACATTTTGAGATTGGGCATGTCTTACTGCAACATTTTCACTGACATATTCAAGATTAATGTACATTTTAAGATGAATTGGGGAGGGATCCCTCACATGCCTTCATTATCCTGGGAATGATCAAGGATTGGGGTTGGTTGTTTTTTTTTTAACAGTATGCAGCTCTGCTGAAATTGAAATTGACTGGTTTAAAAAGTAATGATTTAAGCAACTAAAAATCTGCAGTGGTTGATAGGCCAAGTGAGACACGAAAGAGGAGATTCTTTAGCTGTGCAAGGCCAAGTTCAATGAAGTACTGTAAACAGCTTAGACCCTACCCCCAGCACATAGTTAAGGGCCACTTCATACATTCAGCATAGTCAAGTGATATAAAAACCATTTCCCCTAGACTATAATACATCATAAAATACAAATACATTTAAAAAGAAGACAGGAAAAAGGAATGATTAAAGCAAAACAAAACAGAGAACATCATAAGGAGCATATATGCTCATGATAAAGGAGGATTTAGGTTCTCAATTGTTAATAAAAGTTTCCCTTATAGTAATAATTCCTCTGTAAGTCTGTAAAAAAATTAATGGGGGGGGGGGAATTATCCTAAATTGTATTTCCACGATGAAGCATGAGTCCATGTAGGCTCCAAAGACTGAAACTCTCCCACTTCCACTTATTTAACCTCTTGTCATCAGCTGATAACAAAATACTTATTTCCAGCAATTTCCAAACTAGATTCTCCAAAGAATCACATACGCAAGGTAATGTCCCTTGGCCTTTAAATAAGACTGCAGCACAGAAATCAGAGGGGTCCTTTGAACAACTCTCTTTTTATGTTTCCTGGTCCCATGCTGCTTCGCTAATCACTCCTGCTCAATATCTGAAACAAAAACAGCAGAACAAGTTGGAAAGAAGTATCTGGAACATGGAGAGATACAGCAGGTAGGTTTTGCCTCCAGGGTGACCAGATGTCCAGAGCAAAAAAACACACACACAACAACCCCCAAAACCCAACAACTAAAAATAAGCCAAGTAGTTTTGCCACGAGGGATTCAACAAGAAATGCTACATTGGGTCATATAAGCCTGGATGGGTAATAAGACAATAATGAAGTCTGTTGCAGCTGTTCATTAGTTTGAATGGATGCAGTGCACCTGGTAGGTTTGGACTAGTCTTATCTGCTGTAAAAAATATTAAGACATTGAAGTCATCCGAGATGCACCAGCCGAGGAGCTGTCTTCTATTCTATTTGGAAGGTCATGTTTCACAGATGACCCGTCTATTTACCATCCACCCCGACACCCTGAGTTTGTTGAGCATCCCTCATCCCTGACGGATTCAGGGCACAGAAAAGAAAGTCCTCCTTCATGCAGTGCGTAGCTAAACTACAGAACTGGCTCTCACAGCAGGCAACACCCATTTCGGTGGTTTTAAAAGAGGATTGGATGAAAACATGGAGGAGAAGGCTACCAATGGCTACTAGCCATGATGGCTTTGCTCTGCCTCCACGGTCAGAGGTGGCCATGATTCTGAATACGAGTTGATGGGAACTGCAGGGGTGGGGAGAGGCCTTCTGCTAAGGTCCCTAATTGAGACCAATCTAACCACCTTGCGACCTGGGACCTCCAAAATGTTATTATTTGTGGACCTTAAGGTCCTCCACGGGGCATACCAGGAGAGGCGGTCCCATAGGTACGTGGGTCCTAGGCCACAAGGGCTTTAAAGGTCTTTAAAGGATGCAGAATTGATGCTTTTGAATTATGGTGCTGGAGAAGACTCTTGAGAGTCCCATGGACTGCAAGAAGATCAAACCTATCCATTCTTAAGGAAATCAGCCCTGAGCGCTCACTGGAAGGACAGATCCTGAAGCTGAGGCTACCAGCATGAGTTTGACCAAACTGCAGGAGGCAGTGGAAGACTGGAGTGCCTGGCGTGCTCTGGTCCATGGGGTCACGAAGAGTCGGACACGACTAAATGACTAAACAACAACAACACAAAGGATGCAGGATTAGATGGGCCGCTGGCCTGATCCAGCAGGCTCTTGCTTTAATATTTGTTGCAAACCACCCTGAGGAAAGATGGGAACACAAATACTGTAATGAAATATGCATATAAATTTATTAGCAGAAGTAGTAAGGATAGTAATAACATGATAGTGTAGATCAGGGGCAGGAAACCTTTAGGCTTGTGGAATCCATTTTGCTTTTTACCTAAAACCTTAACAGTACCCAGCCAGAACCAGGTGTGAAAGACATACAGCCCTAGAATACAAGGTTGCCTCTGAACCTAGGAGTTTTGTTTTGCGGAACCAGAACTGAGCCGATCTCCTTGTCCTTCCTTTTCACACAGGTTAGCCTCCTTCATCCTAGGTGAGGACGGACAAGCCTTTTTGCAATAGTTGCTGCTGCTCTTGTGAAACCATTGGAAAAGATTGGAAAACGTTTATTGAATATACAGGAAACAATTGTGTTGAAAATGTTGGCAGCATTGAGATAAATTCAACAGTATGAATAAGTTTGGATCGATGCAATAAGGGTATACTGAATGCTTTTGTTTTTGTAAAATATGCAGGGATTTATGATATGTTAATAGAAAGAGAGGGGGACGCAGGTGGCGCTGTGGGTTAAACCACAGAGCCTAGGGCTTGCCGATCAGGTTGGTGGTTCGAATCCCCGCGAAGGGGTGAGCTCCCGTTGCTTGGTCCCTGCTCCTGCCAACCTAGCAGTTCGAAAGCCCGTCAAAGTGCAAGCAGATAAATAGGTACCACTCCGGCGGGAAGGCAAACGGCGTTTCCATGCGCTGCTCTGGTTCACCAGAAGCGGCTTAGTCATGCTGGCCACATGACCCAGAAGCTGTACGTCGGCTCCTCGGCCAGTAAAGCGAGATGAGCGCTGCAACCCCAGAGTCGTCCACAACTAGACCTAATGGTCAGGGGTCCCTTTACCTTTACTAATGGAGAGAAGAAGGGAAGTCATTGATATTTTAAGGATGTTAAAGTATATTTTAAATTGTAAAACAGAAAATTCCACACACACACACGGCTGGATTTAGGTTTGATGAGGCCCTAAGCTACTGAAGGTAATGGGGCCCTTTATATGTCCAGCTGTCCTTTGTCAACAACAAATTGTTCCTGGTTTTTGTGTTGAATATATGCTATATGGTAATTTATGGACCTAATAGGTATCTAAAGCCATTTGTACATAACAAAATATATATTTTTATCAAAGTAATTGTTGAACTGAAATACAATTAAGAAGTATTTTAGGAAGCAGGCTAGGAGGCGGGGTCCATTACTTACATCATAGGAGCCTACACAACACAAAACACTGTTGCTGTATGTAGGTTTTATTTTATTTTATTTGTTTTTTATTTCTTTTTTTGGAAAATGTACATCCATTCCCCCCCTTTAAATTTTTTGGGGGCCCCCAAGAGAGCGGGGCCCTAAGCTGTAGCTTGCTTAACTTATACGTAAATCCGGCACTATACACACATGAATGAATGAAACCATCGAGAGCCTGCGATCAACCCCGAACCACCCACAGATCTACCAGTGACAGGATCCCGAAGTGGGGAGCAAAAGAGGTTCCCAGGCCATTTCTCGTCGTGTGTGTGTGTGCGCGCGCTGTGCTTATTAACAGTCCTCTCTCCGCGCCGCCTCCGTCCGGGACGGCGCCTTTACTCTCGGGAAAGCGGCCCGCGCGGAACCAAGGCGAGGCGGCTCACTGTTTCCGCGGGAGGCGGCGGGAGAGGAGCCGCGCGGCGCCCGGAAGCGGGAGGCTTCTGCCGGGGAGAGGCTGCGAGAGGGAGACGGAGGCCTCCTGCTTCTCTTTGCTCGTTGCAGCCTCGGCCCTGGCGGAGAAGGAGGAGGAGGAGCCAGAAGGGGCCGCGGAGCGGAGGCAGGCTAGCCGGCAGGCGGCGAGAGGCGGCTCCACGCGTCAGGTGAGGCCGCACGTTTCAAAAGTCAGCCAAGGACCCGCGTTTCCCTCGTGTCCTGCCTTTCCTCCAAAGAGCTTGGGGCGGGTGGGTGCAGGGCCGTATTTACGTATAAGCTAAAAAAGTTACAGCTTAGGGCCCCACTCTCTTGGGGGCGACCAAAAAATTTAAAGGAAACGAAAAAAACCATGTACATTTCCAAAATTTGAGATAAAAAAGAAAATAAATCCTACATACAGCAACAGTGGCAAATGGCTTTAGATACCTATTAGGTCCACAGATTACCATATAGCATATATTCAACACAAAAACAGCGGCAATTTGTTGTTGACAGCTGGACATATAAAGGGCCCCATTACTTCCAGTAGCTATGGGCCTAATCAAACCTTAATAATAATAATAATAATAATAATAATAATAATTTTTTATTTGTATCCCGCCCTCCCCGGCCATGTCCGGGCTCAGAGCGGCTAACATAAAATCCAGCCCTGGGTGTCCCCTTTTCTTTCAAAAAATGATCTTGGCATTTTGGAATATGCAGAAATGGGGAAACTTACTGGAAGAATAAGAAATCAAGTTAACATTATTTTGTTACAAAATAATGTTAAAATGGTTTATTGAATATGTACAGAAAATTATAAACAAATAAAAGCATTGGCAGGATTATTGTAATCTGCAGTTTTATACGAGTTTTATATTTCAAGAAGATGAATGAAGGAGTAAATTAAGTTTATTTGGATATGCAGAAGATATTTAAAACAAATTTAAGGAACTGCAGAAAGGGGGGGAGGGAGTCAAGTTTTGAAATGTCAAAATGATTGTTAAAATTAGTGAAATGTATAAATTTGGAAAGTATAATTAATGAAATGAAAACCACAGATAAAACAAAAAATGATCTTGGCAGCAGCAACGCTGCCAGATAGGCAGGGCAGACCTGCCGTGTCCGTGACTATTTCTGCAGAACCTTAAAGACGAGCCGGTTTATTGTGGTGCAAGCCTTTGTGGACGGCAATCTGCGTCGTCATGGAATCGTGGAGTTGGAAGGGAAGCATGAGGGTCATCTAGTCCAGCCCCAGGCAGCATCGCCCATGGTCAGGGCAGATGAAAATCCCAATAACAGATGGAGAGCTACAGGTTGCCCACCCACTGGCATAGACCATGTCAATCATGTTGGTATAAAAGCAGCTTTCCTTGTTCCTAGGGTGCAATGATCAGAGGTTCAAAAAATGCAGGGCAGAAAATCTGCAGATGGAATTGCTGCCTGACAATAATTTCAGCCTCATTGCTAGTTGCCACAGGGGCCCAACCGTAACATACGTTGCATGTCAGAAAGCTAGGGGAAATGTGATGTCTCTAAACATAATAATAATAATACATAAATATTTTTTTTGGGGGGGTGAGTGTCAATAATTTAACTTTCCATAATGTGTGTGTGTTTTAAAGAAAACCAGTAGCCTCCAAGGGAGGAACGTTCTGTTCACATGCCCTCTCTTGTTGATACTGATTTGAAACAAACAAACAAAATGTTTCCTGTTTCAAGGGAAAGCCACTTGGCACAGGCTCAGACAAATTTAGATATGGTGCCAAAAGGTTCTTTTATGTATGTGTATATGTATATTTCCGAGTCGTTTAGCCTGAACTGCTAGAATCTTTGAAAATGAAAGGTGGCAATCTCTATTGTGGAGAAGCATGTTTGTTAACACTAAACTTGATAGCTAAATGGAGCCTCAGTGTTTGAGGAACACACACACACACACACACACACACACACACACAGAGGATTCCATATTTTTTAAATATTTTTTTAAAAATTCAAATCCAGTACAGATATAAACTGGGACAAAGATCCACAGTTAAAAGGCTTGTTGAAAAAAGTCAGGTTTTCAGTATTGGAGACAATAGAGACGGCACTTATCTGACATGTAATTGGCAGTTCCAAAGTGTAGAAGTAGCATCAAGTTAAACTCAGGGAGGCATTTTTCTCATCCTTTAATATTTCCTGCCATTATTTTATTAACAGGAAAGAAATAGATGTTTAGTGTTTAGTGAACGTTGCAACCATTTCCTTGTCTCAGGTGATATTCATCTTTTATTTACGGTTTACCACACAGATGCTCTTCCATGCTGTTTCTTTGCATCGAAGTCCCCTGTAAGGTCTGCTGCAGAGTAAAACATAAACATGGCCAAGGTTATCAAAATGTTTCACACACTCAGAAATCACTGGAAGAAGACCACTGCTGGGGCCTGCCTGCTCACCTGGGGAGGAAACTGGCTGTATGGAAAACACTGGTAATTATTTCATTGGATTGGATCCAAGCTAAGGCAGTTTAACTTGAGTTCTGCTGTTTTCAAGGGGAACTAAATTCAACTACCTGAACACTTAATCTTTAAAATAATTTTGGAATTGGAATTGGAATTTTTGGAAGGGTTTGGGTTTGTTCATTGTTGTTTTTTTCCTAAACCAGAGTCCAGGGCAAAATATAAGTGACACGTATATACTGTTCTCCTGATTATTTTTGCTTTGCCTTACCCTAGGCTTGGAAAGCTCTGAATTTAATTGGAGCAGTGACACAAGGTAGGGGTGCTTAGCCTTTCCAGTTATGGGCTGCTTTCCTGATCAAAAACACTTTCAGACAGTTTTTCTTCCATTGGTGGGGATGGTACTTGAAAGGTCCCTTGTGTGAAGAGATCAGGGGAAATTTTGGTTTGCAAATGGGTTAAGCACCCCTGCGCCTCTTCTTTGATAAAATGTGAATTTTCTTGCTACTGCAATGTACTAAAAACAAAGACTGTTGGGAGGCACTCCACAAGTTTGCAGTTTTAAGGAAGAAGAAATTTATATGTGCATAAATTTGAAAATTAGTTGTAAAATAGTTTTAGCATTTGATCAGTGGGGGGCTACAGACTGGTTTTGTGCATCTATAAGTTGTGAGATACACAATTATTTCATATTCATTTCTTTGGTACTGATATGGCAAATTGCTATAATGAAATTGATAGATGTGTTTTAGATTAAATGAAACTGTCATGGACAGGATTGAACAGTTTCCCCCTGGATGCTTTAATGGCATAATTTTTTTCAGGCTTGCAAATAAAAAAAAAACAAAAGCTCAGACGGTTTAATGACACACTTTTTTATCTGCTGCTAAACATGCTATGCTATGTAAGTCTACAACATAATGTGTTTTAAAATGCTACTAAGTGGTTCTGCTGGTTTGCTTCAAACTTGCAGTGGTATTTTACTATGTTACTAGATTATAAGGGGTTGGTTCACATGAAACTCTAAACCATGGTTTAGTACAGGGGTCTGCAACCTTTAAGACAAAAAGAGCCACTTAGACCCATTTCCGAAGAAAAAAAAACTGGGAGCCACAAAACTCGTCATTATAAAAATAACTTTTTTGTCACTTTTTTATTATTTCTTTGTTTGACCCCTCAGAATTACTCCTCCTCATAGAAATAAACATTAAATTAGCAAGTTACCTTTTTTTTGTGTGTGTGTTCTTCACTCCCCTTCAAAACAGTGACCAGTGTACATGCCCCTTACAACGTAGTGGGCGGGCGGGCGGGAAGGTGATGTCGGGACGGTGCGTGACTAATGCACGCACCGCCCCCATGCGACGTCACAGCCAGTACACTGCCCGCCACAGTGGGGAGTGTCGGGGCGCACAATGCGCCTCCTCCCCTCGCTAGTATCCGCCCCGGAGCCGCGGCAAACGTGTAAAAGAGCCACATGCGGCTCTGGAGCCGCGGGTTGCAGACCCCTGGTTTAGTATAAGGGTTGTCAACCGTTTTAGAACTGTAGGCCCATTTGGATTTTTTAGGGAGTGCTATGGGTGTCACGCAGGTGGCACTGTGGTCTAAACAGCAGAGCCTAGGGCTTGCCAATCAGAAGGTCGGCGGTTCGAATCCCCGCGACAGGATGAGCTCCCGTTGCTCTCCCAGCTCCTGCCAACCTAGCAGTTCAAAAGCACGTCAAAGTGCAAGTAGAGAAATAGGTACCGCTTCGGCGGGAAGGTAAACGGCATTTCCGTGTGTTGCTCTGGTTTGCCAGAAGCGGCTTAGTCATGCTAGCCACATGACCCGGAAGCTGTACGCCGGCTCCCTTGGCCAGTAAAGTGAGATGAGCGCCGCAACCCCAGAATTGTCCTCTACTGGACCTAATGGTCAGGGGTCCCTTTTCCTTTACTTTGGGTGTCACCACCTCGCATAACTTCTCTCCCCTCGACTGGATCAGGGCCACCCCACTCCCTGGAGAAACAGAGAGAGAAAGCATTTGGACATACTTCACTTTCCCAAAGGATCTAGTTCCAGTGGAATTAATCAGCTTTTAAAAGCATGTAGAGCTGAAACAGAAAGTGAAGAAGAGCATCAGTCATCTAACTTCGCCTTCAGTTCCATGGGAGCAAAATCTCACCATCCTAACCACTGCATAACTGCATGGAAGAAAGCGAGAAGGGGGAGGCTGAGATGCTGCATAAACTATGTTGGCCTCAGGTGATCTCTCCAATCTCCCTGCATTGAACTAGTCTGAATGGGGCCTCTAAACACTTCTGACTGATAGTGCTTGGAAGCCTCTCTGGGATCAAGAACTCTGGTATTGCAGCTTTTTCAATCACAGGGAGGCTTAATTTAAGCTCTTAGAAGCTCCCTTTGGACCCTGCCACTCAATGAGGAAGACTGGGATGGATCAGGTAGGAAAGGGGTATTGGTGCTGGGATTGGCTTTTGCTGCCTGCCCTGTTCCTCAAAGCACACAGTTTATGCCCTTATCACACACCCCAAACCCACTGAAATCAACCAAGCCAAACCAGGTTCAAGCATACACTGGAAAAAATGCAGTAAGAAAATATGAATACTTTCCATCTAGATGAAAGGCAGATGCCCACAAACGGGGGAAAAGAGAAAAGAGAGAGACAAAGAAGATTTGGTTTCTTAAGTCTTCCATGTAGACTCTGGCAGGACTCACTGTAGAAGAGATAGGAAAACAGGAGGGCTTAATTGGCACCAGTTTCTTGAAAAGTGATCAAACAACAGAGCAGATGTGGTTTGCAAGTCAACAATGGTTTAAAATAATTTGGCTATATTTGCATTTCCCTGAAACTATATTAAATGTGCAAACAGGGATTAAAATTAAAACTTCTTGCTACACGTTTTTAGAAATGAGTACGGTGGTTTAGGACCTTACGATGAATATTTCTTCCAGAGAAAGCAGAAATGGGAACAGAAATTGGGAAGGAATTTCTTGCATTTTCTTGTAATAATACTTACGCTCCTAATTTTCTGAATGAAATAAGGTGGTTGCTGCTTTTACAAACTGAAATGAACCAAGAAAACCCACCCACCCACTCACACTATACATGTTAATGAGCTGGGACCATCCTCACCCACTGGACAAAAAATTGCCCTGTCTTTGTCTAGGAATGCAGGGAGAGACAGAGGAAAAAGCGGAGGTTTAAGCAACATTTGGGTAGAGTGAGAAGGGAATTGAGAAAGGCTTTTGACTTTGTGTTGTACTCAAACTCCACTATTTCTCCTTGTTAAACATTTTTTTCATTTCTGTTTAAAGGCCCTCCCCCCCCCCCCCGTGTTCATCCCTTCCTGGGGCATTCAGACCTCTCCCATTACCTTGCCACTACTTTTTCCCTTTCGTAGTAGTAGTAGTAGTAGTAGTAGTAGTAATAATAATAATAATAATAATAATAATAATTTTTTATTTATACCCCGCCCATCTGGCTGTGTTTCCCCAGCCACTCTGGGCGGCTTCCAACAAATATTAAAATATGATAGTTCAGAGTCTGTCCCTTCTGGCTTCCATAGGGTGGCTATCTAAAGAACTTTTAACTGAGTTAAGATTAAAAAAGGATGTGTACAAAAAATGGAAAAGGGGGGAAACCACCAAAGAGGAATTCAAACAAATAGCCAGCACGTGTAGACACAAAGTCAGAAAAGCTAAAGCACAGAATGAACTCAGGCTTGCTAGAGAGGTTAAAAGCAACAAAAAGGCTTTTATGGGTATGTTCAGTAGCAAAAGGAAGAACAAAGAAACAGTGGGGTCACTCAGAGGAGAAGATGGTGAAATGCAAACAGGAGACACAGAAAGGGCTGAACTCCTCAATGCCTTCTTTGCCTCAGTCTTCTCTGATAAAGAAAACAATGCCCGACCTGAAGAATTTGGAGCAAATGATTCAGCAAAGGAAACACAGCCCAGAATAACTAAGGAGATAGTACAAGAATACTTGGCTAGTTTAGATGTATTCAAGTCTCCAGGGCCAGATGAACTGCATCCAAGAGTATTAAAAGAACTGGCAGATGTGATCTCAGAACCACTGGCAGTCATCTTTGAGATGGACTGGAGAACAGGCGAAGTCCCAGCAGACTGGAGGAGGGCAAATGTTATCCCTATTTTCAAAAAGGGGAAAAGAGAGGACCCAAATAATTACCGCCCAGTCAGTCTGACATCAATACCAGGAGCAGATCAGTCTGTGAGCACCTAGATCAGATTCTGGAGCAGATCAGTCTGTGAGCACCTAGAAAGGAATGCTGTGATCACCAATAGTCAGCATGGATTTCTGAAAAATAAGTCATGTCAGACTAACCTGATCTCGTTTTTTGACAGAATTACAAGCCTGGTAGATGAAGGGAACGCAGTGGATGTAGCCTACCTTGATTTCAGCAAGGCATTTGACAAGGTGCCCCATGATATTCTTGTAAAGAAGCTGGTAAAATGCGGTCTTGACTATGCTACCACTCAGTGGATTTGTAACTGGCTGACTGACCGAACCCAAAGGGTGCTCATCAATGGTTCCTCTTCATCCTGGAGAAGAGTGACTAGTGGGGTGCCACAGGGTTCTGTCTTGGGCCCGGTCTTATTCAACATCTTTATCAACGACTTGGATGATGGACTCAAGGGCATCCTGATCAAATTTGCAGATGACACCAAACTGGGAGGGGTGGCTAACACCTCAGAGGACAGGATCACACTTCAAAACGACCTTGACAGATTAGAGAACTGGGCCAAAACAAACAAGATGAATTTTAACAGGGAGAAATGTAAAGTATTGCACTTGGGCAAAAAAATGAGAGGCACAAATACAAGATGGGTGACACCTGGCTTGAGAGCAGTACATGTGAAAAGGATCTAGGAGTCTTGGTTGACCACAAACTTGACATGAGCCAACAGTGTGACGCGGCAGCTAAAAAGCCAATGCAATTCTGGGCTGCATCAATAGGAGTATAGCATCTAGATCAAGGGAGTAATAGTGCCACTGTATTCTGCTCTGGTCAGACCTCACCTGGAGTACTGTGTCCAGTTCTGGGCACCACAATTCAAGAAGGACACTGACAAACTGGAACGTGTCCAGAGGAGGGCAACCAAAATGGTCAAAGGCCTGGAAACGATGCCTTATGAGGAACGGCTAAGGGAGCTGGGCATGTTTAGCCTGGAGAAGAGGAGGTTAAGGGGTGATATGATAGCCATGTTCAAATATATAAAAGGATGTCACATAGAGGAGGGAGAAAGGTTGTTTTCTGCTGCTCCAGAGAAGCGGACACGGAGCAGTGGATCCAAACTACAAGAAAGAAGATTCCACCTAAACATTAGGAAGAACTTCCTGACAGTAAGAGCTGTTTGACAGTGGAATTTGCTGCCAAGGAGTGTGGTGGAGTCTCCTTCCTTGGAGGTCTTTAAGCAGAGGCTTGACAACCACATGTCAGGAGTGCTCTGATGGTGTTTCCTGCTTGGCAGGGGGTTGGACTCGATGGCCCTTGTGGTCTCTTCCAACTCTACGATTCTATGATTCTATGATTCCATGTCACAGGCTTTTTTTTACCTTATTCAACCTTCCTTTTTTTGTTCCCCTACCCCACCCAGACTTTATGCAAATCCAGGATTGTGATGCAGTACACCCAGTCTTTCCAGTGGGGTGCTGCACAATGATGGCCTAGTGCAAATAATAGTACAGAGAGAAATGTAGAACCGTACATCTGAAATATTAAGCTTTTTGAATCTTGCTCAACAAGGTAGAGTAGACTGTATGTACATAGCCTAGCAACTGAGTTTGGGTCGTTGCTGATACTGGAGGCTGAATTACTATGCTTGAGGCACTCTTGACTAGACTTATATAGTGTCCTTTTATAGCAGATTAAAGGTTTAGTGAAATCTTGTCCCCTTTTTTCCTGACATAGTTGGAGCTTCTGGTGCAAAGGGTGCTGCTTTAGCTCAACATTGCTTCAGATTAGCCTTTGACTCCCTGGAATTAGCTGTCTCAGGCATTGCTTGTTCATTTGCCACTGAGGAGGACTTCTTCTGGGGGGAGTGCAGAGATCCGGTGCCAAAACCGGCTCCAATTAGCTCTTACTTATTCTTGAATAGCAAAACCCTGGGCTTTGGCTGTGGAATTTGAAGGTCTTATTATTTTGAGCAGCATTACAGGCATACGGTGCCTGCTGTCTTATATAATTCAAAATGAAAATTCCTGGAGCTGCTATTTACCCCATGATACCTGCAAGTTTTCCGCATGGGGCAAATAGCAGCTTCACTGGGGAGAGGATTTTAATGGAGGACTATGGTCTGATGTGAAAGGGTTACATTTCCATCTCCCAATGCTGTGATCCCAGTCCTCTTTGGCCCCTCTCTGGGTGACTTCTGATTATCTTTTAAATCACAGGAGATGCTCAGCATGGGTCTCCTGAATCGCATCCAGTAGTGGCCCACTTTTTTAAATAAAAATTGAAGGCATGCTGGAGGAATCGCAGGCATTCAAAGTGAGGCAACCAGTGCTTCTCAGCATCAAGTATGACTGAATTATTCCTCATGCAGCAGTACAACAGAATTGCTTGACCTGAGAGGTGACTGATTGGAAAGTGGCAGGAACATTTACTTTTATAAGCACGCCCTAGTTTATAGTTTGGGAATTGCCAAATTAAAAGAGTGTCTGTTATGATGCTTTTGCAATCCCTTAGTAATACTGGGCAGTAGTTTGCTAAAGACAGCCTACTAGTTGCAAGAGAAATGCATGCTGTTCTAGTGTATCTGCATCTAGGTTGGAGAACAAAAATGTACCATGCATTTGATTACGTATTGCTGTAGAAAATGATGTCACAGCAGTAGAGGTACCAAAGAAAGACATCCTGATTGCCTTGGGATGCAGGCATGTTTGTAATAATTGGTTGGTGTTTTGCTGGATGGTATGTATATTGAGAAGGGACGCGGGTGGTGCTGTGGGTTAAACCACAGAGCCTAGGACTTGCCGATCAGAAGGTCGGCGGTTCGAATCCCCGGACGGGGTAAGCTCCCGTTGCTCGGTCCCTGCTCCTGCCAACCTAGCAGTTTGAAAGCACATCAAAGTGCAAGTAGATAAATAGGTACCACTCCAGTGGGAAGGTAAACAGCGTTTCCGTGCGCTGCTCTGCTTTGCAAGACGCGGCTTAGTCATGCTGGCCACATGACCCGGAAGTTGTACGCCGGCTCCCTTGGCCAATAAAGTGAGATGAGCGCCACAACCCCAGAGTCGGTCACGACTGGACCTAATGGTCCCTTTACCTTTACCTTTATGTATATTGAGGGTGGGACTATCTAGAACATCTGGAATCTAGAAATTGCCAGGAAATCCAATCTATAAAGAAAATCTCTCTCTCTCTCTCTCTCTCTCTCTCTCACACACACACACACACACACAGAGAGAGAGAGCACATGTAATCAAGAAACAACCCTACATACAGATTTACTGGCATAATAGTGATAATGAGCTGACTTTTTACTTTGGAATAATCTAGCATCATTGTTGATGGGTGAGGGCAGTGCCTGATAAAGGGCAATTGCCTGCTATAAAGGAATGTGCCTAAGTGGGACTGAAACCACCTATTTCTGTGTGCACAGTCTCGCAGACTGGCTAGTAACCTTCTAGTAGCCATTAGATTTCAGGACTCGGAGTTGGGGTCAGCTATGCCTATTTTTATGCTTGCTTCTGTACCCTTTAATACCTGCCTGAGTCCTTCATTTCTAAATAAAAGCAGTTGTGTGGTGGCACCAAAGGTCTCTTACTCAGAGGATACTTGCCATGTTTAGGCTGCCTTGGACGTCCAACCATTTGGGGGAAGGAATGGCTTGAAACAATAGACTTGTGTACCAGCTTTTCTGTTTCTGATCTCCCACAGCCTCTGCTATTTGTTCTCTCCAGTGCACAGCAGAGTGTGGCTGTTTCATTTGGAATCACACTGGATTTTAAAAGGTTTAGGCACCATTCATCTTACAAAGGGGCCAACTCTTTATTAAGGGTTGGGCAGCTTTAGGTTCCACGGAAAAATATGCCCAGAAGAAGTCTACTGAAGTATTTCTTTTTCTGCTCTGCCTTGGTGATTGTGGTCTATCCTGGGCAGCTGAAAGAGGAATTGGATCTGTATTGATCCTGGTTTGGTTACCTAAGTAAACAGAGGAATCCTCCTGATTTATCTCTGCCAATTTTACCGGCTCACCAAGCCTGCCTAGTTATTTGGAAAATAATTGTGAAATTGGATAGCAGAGAAGCAGCATTTCATTAGCTGGAAATAGCTGAGCTTTGAATTTGTTTTTTGCCCTATGCGTAGCAGCGATTGCAAGCCCTGAAGAAAAGCTGTGGCTGTAATTGCTTCACACTTTACCTGTGATTATTGTCATTGTGATAGCAGAAGCCCATTGGCTTTTCGAGGTGATGATAGCTCAGCCAGCTGGTAAATTCACAATCATGTTAGCTGCCCTCACTTTGCTGCTAATTGGGAGCTTATTGCATTAGATGCCATTCCTCTTAGTACATAATAGAGGAGATTCTCCAGACACTGTCCTGGTTCTCTCTTGGATCCCAAGTGAAAACCTTATTTGCCCAGATCTATTAAGCTCATGCTTTATTTGTGTTTATTTTTATGATGGACTTACCCTAACTACTCCAATTTGCTACTGATGTAGTTATCGTATGTGTGATTCCTTTTTATGTCTATATGCCGCTATGAGAGCTAGGCTGAAGAGTGGCTAATATATCAATAAATAAAATAATAGTATATGAATTGACTAGATTGGTTGGAAGTGCAAAATCCATGCAAGCAGGAGCATTTATGGACCTAGCCCCTTCCTTCCTGCATGGATGGGGATTGTCTTCATGTCCTGTTTCTGAGCTTCCCATAGACATCTGGCCGACCAGCCACAGTATAGAACAGGATCCTGGAATCCAACAAGGCTATTATTATGGTCTTCATAAGATTTGGCACCCAAAGCTGATGGCTGAGTTTTTGGATCTCTGGATCTGGACCAGAACTACATAATTGCAACTGGAGTTTCCAAAGGCAGAGAACCCTTTTGCAATGTTTTGTGTGTACAATCCTATTTCCCTTCATGGATTTCCTTTCATATGGATTGGTGTAATTTGGATGCAACCCAGATAAATCAGGTGATATTGTGTGTGTGTGTGTGTGTGTGTGTGTGTACGTACTCCAGGTGACTTATTTAGTAAGACTAATGGAAATAAATGGGACCTAAGAGCCCTTGCTTTCAGCAGGCTGTGCCTGCCACTTGCTGACCTGCAAGGCGAAGTTAAAATAATTAACATCCCTGAGCCCACCCATTCTTCACAACCTTGTCTAAAAGGTCAGTGCTGTGACTTCTAACCTTGAGACTGGTGCTAGTCCAATTTCAGCATCCTCTGTAATGCTTCTCTTTCTCCTGACATTGAGGAACACCAAACGATTATAGCAGGAAGTCCATGAAAACAATTGATGTGGATGCATTCATTGCATTCCTGTTGCCCTACCACTGTGCATCATCAGCCAAGACTTACTTTCCTGAGGCTTTGCTAGCTGATCAGATACTTAGCAGGTTCGATGGGGAATCTTCTAATAGTAATGGTCTCTCTCGTGTTTGCTTCAAAGCTTTCACATGCTGGGGGTAGGGAGAGGTGCTGAGAATTTTGCCCTTATAATAAATACATGTTTGTTTGCGGTGCCTTTCTGTACATGGGTAGATAAGATGGAGTAGGGCTGTCCAATTCATTTCGGCACTAGAGTTGGTTTTTAAGTAGTACTTAGTAAAAATTACTGCAATTAGTCAATAGCCTGCCATTCTTGTAAAAAAAGAAAGAAAAAATGTTCCTGTTGCTTAACACACATGATTTATTCCTTTGAATGTGAAGAGCAAACATTATGTTAAGGGGAGCGCTACTGCCTCTAAGGAAAACTTTGATAAATATTCCAATTAGGCATGAATTGGAGTAATATATTATTTATGCGTTCTCTCGCTTAGGAAGCTTATTTCTGTTTGTCCCATTATTTTCACTAAAGGTTTCCTATTGACAGAGTTTCTCTCGCTGCTTAGTTTGAATTTCTCCAGATTGATTCTTCATCTAAAATCAATTTTCTGTAACATGAGAAAAGCTACCGTGGCAGTAAATGCTGGTAAGGCAGAACGAGTTACATGGCTTTAAAAAGTGGAATAAGCAGAGAAAGAGGGGGAAAGTCTGCAAGCGTGTTGTTCTGGAATGAGCCCCGTAAACTGCTGCGTATTAATAAAAATGTGCAGCATATCATCAGAGCGGAATTGAAAGGAGTTCTGCCAGCCCTTTTGGCACCAAGAGCCAAGGAGAGCACTGCCCTGCTGTAAACCAAGTGAGTGCTCATTTGCCCTCTGGCCTCCTCCTCCCTGACCCCAGCCACTCTGAGCTGCAGGCAGGCAGGCAGGCACCTCTTGGGCTTTTACCAGCTTGGCCCTTAATCCTTGAGAGATGAAAGCCGCAAACCCAGAACGCTTCAGGCTGCACAAATCAGAACAGGGATGCCACTTCCACAGAGAGAGGTGCTTCCAAAAGTTGACTTTCCTATCGCCGTTCTTCACCCTTGAACTGCATAGCACTTCAAGCCCCATTTTAATGACTACGTGGAGAGTTATCTTTGGAAAAGATGGCTAAGTGGAGCAAAGAGAAGCAGCGAGTTTCCATTTATTTGTTTAATACATTTATATCCACCAGCTGTTGAAGGTTCCCAGGGCAAACAAGAAATACAAAGTGGACTAGAATATAGAAGCACATTAAAGTGCAGTGGGCCAATTTTTAGGACACTCATATGCCTCCCTATTGCAGCCTAAGACAGATGCTGATGCAAGATGAAAAGAGCAGGTCTCTTTGCTTTATTTCAAACCTCATTGCTTATCTCCACAGGTTGCCCCTCAGGTTTCATTGTTCACTTTTCTGGGGGAGAAATTCACTTTCTAGCTGGTTGTGTCAGTCTAAGCCAGGTGTGGGGAATTATCACTGTGTTTCTCAAACGTGGGTCCCTGGCTGTTGGTGGACCACAGCTCCCATCATCCCTAGCTAGCAGGACCAGTGGTGATGGGATTAATAGTCCAACAATAGCTGAGAAACATAGCAGAGATGTGGTTGAGGAAAACATCAGAAGGCTGTACAGTGGTACCTCGGGTTAAGTACTTAATTCGTTCTGGAGGTCCGTACTTAACCTGAAACTGTTCTTAACCTGAAGCACCACTTTAGCTAATGGGGCCTCCTGCTGCCGCTGCGCCACCGGAGCCCGATTTCTGTTCTTATCCTGAAGCAAAGTTCTTAACCTGAAGCACTATTTCTGGGTTAGCAGAGTGTGTAACCTGAAGCGTATGTAACCCGAGGTACCACTGAATTCTCTTGTAGGCAACCTTCTGGGGACCCCATGTCACTGGTGGGCAGGGCCAGAGGTCTTTACTGATTCCCTGCCATGACACCATCTTGCCATGTCAGGTGTTTTTTTCACTTGTGCCTGAGACTTGCAGAGTGGGCACATTTTATATTATGGCAACGCAAAAAATAGTCAGGTCCTTGCCACCAAGGAACATACAATGTAGACAGTGAGGGAAAACAGCAAACAGGATGGGGAGACGAGCAGGGAGGGAAGGATATTGGCAAATGCAGGTGTACGTTCTTGGTAATTTGATGACTATATGCACTTCATTGGTAGTGCTGCAGCTAGCCTGGTGCTTCTGTCAGAGAAAGGAATAATTTGGCCACTGATTTGCTAGCAGGCTGGGCAGCTGGTTAATTCCACTCACCAGTTAGACCGGAGGAATTTTGGTCAGTTACTTCCTGTTTATACAATGATGCGGTTCAGTTTGGTCAATTAAGTAATCTCGTTGCGGGTGGGATCTGGCTCTTGGTAATGAAGACATGGTCCAAGAAGTGACGAAAGCTAAGGTGGCATCAAAACAGTGACATTTAAATAGTTACGTGTTTTTGACAAGTAGCCCCTTTGGAAAGTTTGGTCTGTGTTTTGTGTGCCAAAGCAGTAGAAGTAGGTATTTTTAAATGCGTGTTTCCATCTATTTATCCCTCCCCTCAACTTGCGCTATCTAAAACACTGTTCTTTTTCTTCTTCCTCCTCCTGATAGCGATAACCTGCTAAGGAGAGCTGCATGCCAAGAAGCCCAGGTAATACCATTTAACAAGATCAAATTAGATTAAAATCCTCTCCTTATCTCTCTTGTGCAGGATTCTGGAGATTCTCCCAGCAGGTCTCCTCTACGTGACTAGCCTGCCAAAGGGACTCTCTGTATTCTTCTGCTCAAATACCAGAAGACACTTCCCCCCTTTGCACCTAATTACGCCTCAGTTCAGTGCCATCACAAATTATTCATGAGCATCACGAAAGTGGAATATATTCAGTAAGACTTTGGGAAACTTGATTACCTGTATTGCTTTTGTTAGGTAAACTTGTGAGCCAGCAGTGACAGGACTGAAAATTTGGGAGACTGAAATCGCATTTCATCAACTGGCAGAATGGAGAGCAGCTAGCATGTAGCTTTTCTTATTCTGATTGTACCTGGTACTCTGGTGCCTATACAAAAAGGCAGGACCAAAAAGTTCCAACAAAGCAGGAAAAACCAAATTGATTTTATTATTATTGGAGGGCACTCTTTGTAGTCCCAAATGCTCTTGAGGTCCGGCTGGCCCTGAGGGAACAAGCCAGGCTCTGACTTGTGGAACTCCTTCCCAATAGAGGTTCGGCAGAACCATCCTGCTCATTTAGACGTCTTCTAAAAACTATATTAATTTGACAGGCCTTTCAAACCTAAGATTCTTTGCCAACCAGCTCTTAGTGATGTATTTGATACTTTTATTGTAATACTGGGTTCTTAATGTATTACTGCCTTATGATATTTATACAAAAGTGCAGCTTATTTTAAAAAAATTAAAAAGGAAACAGATACCTGAAATATGTTTTCCCCTCCTTGTTATGAATTTTCATAAACACCCAATTGTGCCCTTTATGTGGAGTACCCCTCCCCCCATTTTTTATTTGTAGTATCTCTGGCCAAAGATTTATGGCCATCTCATTGGCCATTGGGAAATAAAATACTTCGGATCATGTCTGAAATTTGTGGTTTTTTTTATTTTGCTGAACTGGATATGCTCATCCAAATAGATGTGCATATTCATTTTGACAAACACAGACTTTTAAAATACTCCTTATTATGTTTCCAGTAGCACTGTAACATGGAAACTGCCCTTCTTTGTGGTCTGAAAATGAAACTTATACTTCGGGGGAGTTTATTAGGATGTGAAATTCAAAGGGGAGAAAGAGTTTTTATGGCAAGGAGCAACGGAGGCCTGCTTTGCACATGCAAATCCACGCTTGATGTTGCAGTCATGCGAATAACACTTGAAAGGTGCCGTCACAGTTGCAGCACCACAGTCATACTGGCTGCTTTTGCAGATCTCAATAAACCAGGGTCTCTGGCTTATTAGGAATGAGTTCACGTTGCCTGATTGCTCCCACTTCGCTTCTCCCCTGGCTTGAGCAACAGAAACAAACCACCAAGCCATAGTGAAGCTTGACTTCCTGCCATGTCCAAACCTGGAATCTTGTTCTGCTCCCTCACAAGCTGGGATCGCTTGTGTTCTAGCCATGGTGGCTGTGTTCTGTCTCTATTGTCAGAACCAGTGTGTGTCTGAATACCAGTTGCTGGCAATCACAGATGGGGAGGGCACTGTTGCACTTAACTCTGCTTCTCCTTAACATCTGCAGGTGAGGCAGTAGATGTGCTGGACCGTTGTCTTGCCCTGGTAATGGACTGGATGAGAGCTGACAAACTGAAGCTCAATCTAAATAAGACTGAGGCATTCTAAGTAGGTGGTTCCTTAGTCCAGATGGACTAAGACTGCCTGCTCTTGATGGGGTTACGATTCCTCTGAAGGAGCAGATACGCAGCTTGGTGATACTTCTAGCTCCCTTGCTGTCACTTGAGGCTAAGGTGGCCTTGGTGGCCATGGAGTGCCTTCCATCAGCTTCAGCTGGTGGCCCAGCTGCTCCCCTAAATGGACAGGGATAGCCTAACTTCTGTTGTCTGTGCTCAGGTACCCTCTAGGTTAGATTGCTGCAATGCATTATATGTAGGGCTGCCTTTGAAGATGGTTCAGAAACTTCAGCTGGTGCAGAATTCGGCAGCCAGGTTGCTTACCAGGGCAAGACAGTTCGAGCTGTATTTTGTATTCTTATTTTGTATTTTTCTGCCTTGGGATATTTAGTTGGAGGGCGGTATACAGATTTAATAAATGATGATGGCGATGATGATGTTCTGCTTCCCATTGGCATCTGGTTGGCAGCTGTGAGAACAGGATGCTGGCCTAGATGAGCCCTCGGCCTGATCCAGCTGGGTTTTTCTTCATGCCAGCCAGCCATAAACCATGGTTTGATGTTATGAATCTGTGCTTCTTAATAAACCAGGATCCCAGATGTGGACATCACAGGGAAGCCAAGCTTAACCCTGGCTTATCATGGTGTGTGACTGTGTCTGTTTATTTCACTTACCTTTGAGTCAAACAGGTTTAGGGAATATTCAGTTATTGTCTGCAATGTTGTTTTAGTGTGTTTGTGGGCCGGGGGGGGGGGGAGTAGTGTGAAGGATGGAATGATCAAACAGGAAATAAAATCAGTTTACCAGCGCCTACCCTGCAGCCAATGTTTCGGGTTAGTAAATGATTACAAAGGGTCTTGAAGTGGTTGTTTTTTTTGGTCTTCCTCTTTAAAACTCGAAAGCATGAGAGCAGAGCCTGCATAAAAAGCTAGTCTGCCAACAGTATAATTTGTAGAAGAGACAGGTTGTTTGTTCAGAGCAAGCAAATATATCACTCCCCCATCAAGTAAATAATTAGATGTTTCTAACAGCTGTAACAGACCTCAGAATTATGAATGCAGACACTCTTTTTCCATGATTTCCCCCAAGAATGCAAAAGTAATAGAATTAATCACTGACTTTTCCCATCTGTTCTTTAGATAACATGCCAGTTTGATTTCCTCTGTCCTTTACCCCCATGAATCACTGTTTCTCGCATGCCTTCTGCCTTCTCGTTTCCACCGCGGTAAAATAAATAGAACAGAGTTGAGCATTAAATTCTAACAAATTTTTTAATCCTCTACTCTAATAGCCTCAGTGATGCTGATAATTGCTATGAATTGCTGCTTTGAAAATCTACAGAGCTCTCTTAAAACAATTGCTTCAGCTGCCTCGCTTTATATCTCTTCACCAAAAGTGTTGAGAATAAATTCATTGATTATTATTATTAGTTATATTTGCCTGGGGCCTATACTTGTCACACAGCTTGCATCAAAGTGGGACAGAGAGGCAGAGCAAGCTGTCAGTGTATAGGGCTCACATTGTTTTCAGTGGAACTAACTGCATGCAGATGTACCTTTGCTGTTCCCTTGCAAGTTGTCAATGTAAGCTGACGAGTTTGCAGAACATAAGGCTAAATTAGGCATCTAGGTGGCCTTTTGCTGGCTGGGATGGATCTCAGTAAAGCAGTCTTTGCTCCCCCCTCACTGAAGCCATTTGTGGGGTGTGGGAGAGGGGCCCTGTAATCCCTGAAATAACACAGAATTGTTCAGCACCAAAAACAGACAGATTTTTAATTCTTTAATAATGAGACGCTTTCTCTCCATTATTAGGTGTTTGGCAACCAGATTCTTCCTTCCAGCATGCAGATCAAGAAAGCAACAGTGTTTCTCAACCCTGCAGCTTGCAAAGGGTAAGATTCCCTTTCCCAGCCACCTGGCACCTTTTCATATACTTTGGTTTTGCTTTCATCAGGGCAAGTCATTCGTGGGAACCAAAGCCTTACTTCCTATCCTCCCCTGAACCTAATGTTATCAAACTTCTTCAGCTGATTGAGAAACCACAGTTAGAATGGGCCTGCTTGCTAAATTTAACATGAACCCCAAATCATACAGTTCTTCTCACTCCCCTATCCCACTCCATATTCCACATTGATGTCATCAGCATTCCCATTCTATGAATGAGATTAAGATGTTCCCAAATAGAGGGGCATGCTCAGATGTTGGGCATGCTGATTTAGTGCCCCTGAAGCCACGCTGTGCCTATTTTCTAGTATAGTGGTAGCAAATGGCCGTCATGTGCAAAAGCTATTTCAAGGTCAAAGATTTAGCAGGTGTATTGGTTTTAAACACATTGGGGCCTTTTTTGTCAATGAATGTGGCTCCCGATGGCTGGCATCTTCACCATCATTTTATTATTTATATGCCCCCCATCTTACTTGGTTGCCCCAGCCACTTTGGGCAGCTCCCAACAAAATATTAAGAACACAATAAAACCTCAAGCAGTAAAAGCTTCCCTGTACAGGGCTGCCTTCAAATGTCTTCTAAAAGTCATAGTTGTTTATCTGTTTGACATCTGATGGGAGGGCGTTCCACAGGACAGGCCTCAGTACCGAGAAGGCCCTCCCTGTAGTTTCGTGTCTTACAGTGAGGAAACGGCCAGAAGGCCCTCGGAGCTGGACCTCAGCTTCTGGGCTAAACGATGGGAGTGGGGATGCTGCTTCGGGTATACTGGGCTGAGGCCGTTTAGGGCTTTAAAGGTCAGCACCAACACTTTGAATTGTGCTTGGAAACCAACTGGGAGCCAATTGTAGGTCTCTCAGGACCAGTATTATATGGTCCCAGCGGCCGCTCCCAGTCACCAGTCTAGCTGCTGCATTCTGGATTAGTTGCGGTTTCCAAGTCACCTTCAAAAGTAGCCTCACGTAGAGTGCATTGCGGTAGTCCAAGCGGGAGATAACCAGAGCATGCACCACTCTGGCAAGACAGTCTGCGGGCAGGTAGGATCTCAGCCGGCGTACCAGGTGGAGCTGGTAAACAGCTGCCCTGGACACAGAATTGACCTGCGCCTCCATGGACAACTGAGAGTCCAAAATGACTCCCAGGCTGCTCACCTAGTCCTTTAGGGGCACTGTTACTCATTTTAGGACCAGGAAGGGATTTTTTGCTTAGGAGGCCAAGCCACCCCACTTAAAAAGATTGTCTCGTTGACCTAAACTGCAAATTCTAGCTTAGGCTTATTTTTGATAGGGGGTAAGTCTTACAATCGACACATTGTTTGGAAGTTGTCCCTTACTTAAAGTCTTGTTTTCTTTTCCCTGGGTGCTCAAAATAATTTTTGCAGGATAATTCATAATTAATACCATGGTTATTTATTATGCAGCAGCAGGCATTAAAATGCACGAGAGCATTACCAAAACAAGGTCAGGTGAAGTTTTTGTATTAATGTTGCTGAATAATAATAAAGCAAGTAATATTTCTCTTTTAAAAGTAGAATTTGCATCTTACCAACCGAGGGCAAGTATTCCATATCTCATTAGTTGGGTAATAATACATTATTTGCTTGAGGGCTTATTGTTTGGGGTGGCAGGCAGGGTTGTTGGGGGGAAATATTTAAAGTTTCTTAAGCCATAATAGAAAAGTGGTGAGATGAGCATTGGACTAGGGATGACGGGACATAGCCATGAAGTTTGGGCTGAGCTTAGGCCCGTCACCATCTCTCAGACTTGCCTACCTCACAGGGTTGTTGCAGAGATGAAGTAGGGGCTTGGGAACACCTTGGAGGAAAAGAGGAGCAAAAATGTAAAGTGTGGTGATGGCACAGGTTTTCCATCCTTGAATAATTCTAGAGTTCAGAAGGACTTCCTTCTGAACTTACTGTTTGCTAGTAAATAGCTTCTTTTTTGAAGAAGAGAAAGTCCTATGCTGATGCTCCCTAAAAATGTCCCTGGCAACACAAGCTAGTAGCGGTGAATTCACAAATTCACTTATGAACACAGGGCAGTGACTTGTATCGCCTCATAATATGACCCTTACCTTAGTTTTGCTGTGAACCATTGAGAATGGGGGTAGCAGTGGATGTGTTGGAGTAGGACCTGGAAGACCCGGGTTCAAATCCCTGCTCATCCGTGAAGCTCACTGGGTGATTTTGGGGCAGTTGCCATCTCTGTGTTACCTATCTCTCATCTCACAGGGGCGTTTGCTTGAATTAAATTAGGAGCGGTCCTTGGAAGACGGATGGATAATAATGTCATGTGATAAATAAAATGCATAGATTTATCTGACTCCGGCACTGCCCAGTGTTCCTTCTTCTACACCCTCACTTCCACTAATTTGCTCTTTGCTTCTGTCATCACGTATTCAGTTATCATTGTTTCCCAGGTATCTTGCGACTGAGAACTGTGTATGAATGACTCATTCTGCATACAAAACCTCACTCCAGTCAAATGTCCACCTTTATACTGATGAAATAAAGGTGCCCCCATCCCATGTCGGCTTTTTTCCAAGGATCTGCAGAATAGCCTGTTGCTGTTTAGTTAAGAATTGAGGGTATTTTTTACATGGGGGGGGGCTACCTTAAAGTGACCTCACACTTCTTCTTTTAATTTTCTAGCAAAGCCAGGAGTCTTTTTGAAAAGAATGCAGCCCCAATTCTTCACTTGTCTGGTCTGGATGTGACTGTGGTTAAGGTAAAGACAGAGAGTGGACTTGTTTTCTCTTCCTAGCGACTATTTCCTCTTCCCAGTATATATCGGCCAGAATCCATCTGTCACTAGAGGTGAAACGAAAGATAAAGAGTCTATAAGTGCTCAAGTTGGGGAGGAGTTGTATTTTTTCTTATTTTAAAACCAGTGCTGGTGCTGGAGGAGACTCTTGAGAGTCCCATGGACTGCAAGAAGATCAAACCTATCCATTCTTAAGGAAATCAGCCCTGAGTGCTCACTGGAAGGACAGATCCTGAAGCTGAGGCTCCAATACTTTGGCCACTTCATGAGAAGAGAAGACTCCCTGGAAAAGACCCTGATGTTGGGAAAGATTGAGGGCACAAGGAGAAGGGGACGACAGAGGATGAGATGGTTGGAAAGTGTTCTCGAAGCTACCAGCATGAGTTTGACCAAACTGCGGGAGGCAGTGGAAGACAGGAGTGCCTGGCGTGCTCTGGTCCATGGGGTCACGAAGAGTTGGACACGACTAAACGACTAAACAACAACAACAACAAAAACCAGTGCCATGTTTTGTGTTTTGGTTTGGGTTCTTTTGGAATGTTGTTATCTTGCTTTCATTTCATTGACTCAAGGGCGATGGAGAATATATACAAGATTTTGGCGAGAGAGCCACCAAGGCCTGTAGGCAAAGAGAAGAGTTGATGACTCTGCCTGAGAAAAGTTCATTCTCATGCACGAGAACTCATAAAATTGCCACAAGGCACTTGAGATTGATTAGGAGCAGTCCTTTTTTAAACACCTTTAATGGCCTCTCGGATAAGAAAAAAACTCAGCATCTCTGATGAGAACATAAAAAGTCAAGAGAGCCTTCCTAAGGAAGGGAAGACTGAACTGTTTTGAGATTATACTGTGCTAGCTGTTCAACATACTGTTGCTAGCAGAAGTATGTCCTTTCTCCACTCAGAGGCAAGAGGGCATTCTGCTCAGGAGATGCCTCACCCTGGGATCAGGTAGGCAGGGCTAATGGGCACATTCCTAGGAATTTCAGTAGTGAGCATTTGAAGCTGCCCTTATACTGAGTCACATTAGTTCATCTATTTCAGGGCTGTTTACTCAAACAGATAATAGCCCTCCAGAGTTTCAAGCAGCAAATTTCCCCTCAGCTTTGGTATGCAAGTAGCTAGAGATGATTGATCTAATCCCATCAATATGCATGGCACTTTTACTGATTGGGTTTTTTTGTGTGTGCAGAGGACATGTTCAGCCATTGAGCTACGGACCCTCCCCATTGGATCACAAAATATTTTATCATTCCATGTGGTTAACTTGTAAATTGGAAGGGTTCACAGATCAAGTAGGATGTTGTATCTCGATATGTGGATGGGAGACGGTTGCAAATCCCCCCATACATTGCCTCAGGATGTAGCGTGGGTTAGTTCAATAGGTGGTGCTGTTGCTTTTAGAAATAATCTAGCAGAGATTGTTGGCTGAATAAGAAGGCATGGTTCTCAGAAGCTACCCATTTGGAGATACGTCAAAACCATCAATTATTCCTGCAAAAGCAACCAACTTCTTTGAATGAAAAAAGTGATTACATGTTTTGAGTTTGGCACTTCTAATTTAGAAACAGCATGGGCTATATTTATCTTAGTTGAGCATATATAGTAGGGATTTTTCTGTGTTACATCCTGTATTTTTGGGGGGTGGGCCTTTAAGAGGGGTGATGCAAAACTTTGAAATTAATAAATGAGAAGATGTGTGCTGTTGTGCTGAGTATTAGATGTACGCGTGTTCATATGGAGTTGAAAGGTTTCCCTTTTCGGCAGCCAATACCCAATGTTAGTCACAATCATGAGACCCATTGAAATTAGTAGACCCAAGTCCTTGCTTTTCATTGGGTCCGATCTGAGTATTAATACCACCCAACATGTTTCTGGCCTCTCTGTATTTATCACAGACAGATTATGAAGGGCAAGCGAAGAAGTTGTTGGAGCTGATGGAAAACACGGACATGATAATCGTTGCAGGAGGAGATGGAACATTGCAAGAGGTACTGCAATAATTCTTCTACATTTCTCCCCATGGGAAACTAGCACCTGGGGAAGGATTCTCGACAGGAGAAGTTTTTCCTCCTCCTTCATGCACTCCAATCTCTCTCCCCCCCCCCCCCCCCAGATTCCTCTCATCCTGATTCCTGCTAAACCATTCAAAACATATGGTGTAGTGGTTAGAATGTCAGACTGGGACCTGGGAAACCAGGATTTGAATCCCCATTCAGCCCGGAAGTTCACTTGGTGGCCTTGGGCCAATCACTGTCTTTCAGCCTTAACCTACCTCACAGGGTTGTCGTGAGCAGGGAGAACCATGCACACTTGCCTGAGTGCCCTGGAGGAAAGGGTGATATGTAAATGTAATAAATAGGTAGCTGGAGCAAAACTTGTAGAATACATCAGTGTTTGGTGGTGTGTCATCTGTTCATTTGAGGAAGGAAGGCAAGTTCTGGTTCATTTTACTGATGCTAGCTAAAAAAAGATTTTTTTCTTACAGGTCATAACTGGCCTTCTCCGAAGGGTGGATGAGGTAAGGTGTTTTCTTCTGTTGCCTTTTTAACAGGAAAATCCAAAGCATTCTGTAGTCTCACCGTCTTGTCTTTTTTATTAGGCTGACCCTGCTGTTGGCTTGCAGTTTCATCTGTCTTGTCTTGGGCCCAGGGAAGTCAATCTGTGACTGGGGTGTAGCACTCCAGAATGCATGTGGGGGCTTCGTGTGATGGAGCGCTCCTCCATACAAAAACACTTTTTAGAATAGTAGCATGTTGACAGGAGGGCTAGGCCCAAAATTCTTCTCCCTGGTTTTCTGTGTAGAGAGACTTGTTTCATATGGAGCAAGAGCAATCAATCATTCAGTCAGTCCCCACATACAATATGAAATGGTATAGCCTTGCCGCAGGTTTGTTGGCTTATTGAGAATTAATTAGGCCTTTGTCTTGGAAGTAGCTTCTTGCCCCAGTTTTGCAGAGTTCCTGGTAAGCACAGCAGGGTAGTTTTGAATGCAAAACTTTCAAACAGGCATTTGTCCAGATTTGCAAAACAAGTGTTCCTCTGGACCAGTAGTCAGGTAAAGTGAAAGTGGAACCCGTGACTGTTTGCATTCTCTTTGGAAGCAAGCTTTGGGTGAAATCCATATACCAGCAGGGGTGCATTGCATAAAGCGTATCAGGCTGCTTGTTAACAGAATTGTATTCCACAATGTCTTATCAGTACCTGACCAAAAGGGAAAAAAGAGAAAGACAGAAAATGCAATTTAATGATTCTCTCTGAGATCCCAGGAGGCTGTTAGCAACTAGAATTGTGCCTACTGTACAGAGCTTTTGCCTGCTTATGGAGAGACAAAATTTATATTTCAGCTTCGGTGCAAAGAATTACCTTTCTTCCTTTGAGAAATTGTAAGCTTTCAAATCTCTACACTTGAAAAAAGAAACCAGGAAAAAGTAATAATATGCTGTGACAGCTTTGCTGCTTAATGGAGGACCATTCCTCTCCTCCCCCATCCCTTGGAAATGGAGCAATTCCTGGGTAAAGGAGCAGTGGATCTGAGCTACAGTCTTGGCCTTTTCATGTCAGTCTCTGTTTCCTATCAGTGAGGAAGGGATGCTGTCTTTCCCTATTGCTGTCCATTTATGGTTGCCCCGGAGGCAGTAGTCATCGGATGCCTCCTCTCTCTGTACAGTGACGGACCCTTTTAGCTAACGGTTGGAGCTCACAATGAACTCCATGAACTTGGTTCTCTCTACTGGACAGGGCGAGCTTCAGGAGATGGCAGCCCCCACCGCCAGCCTGCTTTCCCAGGCAAGAGATAATAACTGGATCCCTTAACCAGCTGGGGAGAATAATGGGCAAGCAAACAGAGTTTACACTCTACAGTCATTGGCCAGGTTATTCGTCAAGCCAAGCCATGTGCAATGTTATATTCTTTTTTAAAAAAAGTTTATCTTCCCATCTATTGATGGCGCATAACTAAAGAGCGGCTTCTCCGTTTCCTTGCAGTTCAGTTCTAGTTCAGACTAAGCGGACAGTAGAGATCAAGTTATGCTTTTGTTTGAAGATTTTGTCCAGCTCCAGCATGCTTGACCTCACCCTTTCATTTCCATGCAGCTTCTAGATTGCATGTTGGCTTGGCAGAAAATGAAGTTTTGCTACCTGCCCAGAAACTTTGACTGGTCCTATGACAAAACACTTCCCTTGAATTTTCTTTCTTATCCCCCTTCCACTTTGCACGCTAGAACGGTGCACCCCATCATAGCTCACAGTAACCCCAAACTCCCTGAATGTTGCGCACCTGTTCTGCAGGTGCAAGTCTGTGACCCAAAAAAGGCCCGGCACTCGCCAGCGGCGCAACCTCCAGGTAGCTAACGCCTCTTGGCAGGCTGCGGTTAGTACTGTAGGCAAAATTGCTGTGTCTCTCTGTTCGTTTGACACTGGGCCATCTGCTCTGAAGTATAAGGGGACAGAAGAGATAATGAGATGAGGAAGGAGACTGGTTGTAAGAGAGGCTGCAACAGAAAGGCATGGAAGCAGATGGAGCGCTTCAGAAAATGAGTTGGATTTGCTGAATCACCGTACTGCAAGCTGCAGTCTTCTGCAGAGAGCCAAGGTGTCGTGGTTGCACAGTCGTTAACATTGATTTGCTGGCATACTTGAAGGAGCACAGCTCTTGGTTTGCATGTGTGTGCACAACCATGTGTACTCTATAGTAACGTGGCCTTAGCAGCCAGGCCCTGACTGGGAGAACAATGCAGGCAGTGACTTCCAGCCAGGCAGCATGTCTAGAGAAAGAGCTGTGTTTGAACCTTCCAGTCGCGTCCGAGCCGCAACCCAGCATGTGACCCTCCCTTATTAGCAGATCACCTCATTCTGCTGCCTGCTCCCCCAATTTGCAGAGTCAAAGATAAAGACTGTCAATCTGTCTGTTTGGAAAAGGGCTGCTTGATTGGTGTGTAATAATAACCTCCCGACTTGATTGCCAGGGTGCCTTATTTTAATATTCCCCTTCGCGGAGAAAGACACTCTGCATTACCGAATTTCCTGTCTCGGCCGCGCTTTGCTTGGAGTTGAAATGCAGCCCGAGCGCAGCCACGCTTCGGGTGCCACCTTCAGTCTTTTAGGAGATGGCAGGTTGCTGACAGAATCTATACATTGCTTGGGGAGGACGTGCCAGGCTCTGCATGTGTAACAATGCGGCTAATGACTACAGAAGGCTGCTTTGTAGCCAGTTGGCATTCGGAGGGGCTGTCCGGAGAGGCTGATGTTCCGAGTCATTCTTTATTACTGCCTCCCTTTCAGGGAGAGCCTGCCTGGAGTGGGGAGTGAAATCAGGCGCAGCTGTCCTCTGCACAGAAAGGGAGCTGGATTCAGCTGGAGCTGATGCAGATTTCTTTTGCCCTTGTTCCCAGGCAGCTTTCAGTAAGATTCCCATCGGATTCATTCCCCTCGGAAAGACCAGCACATTAAGTCACACGCTTTATCCTGAGAGTGCAAACCAAGTCCAGTAAGTGTGTGTTTGTGTGTGTATGTGCGCGCACACGTGTGCGTGCATCATACGAGAATCAGTGTGAAAAGGATGGCAGGGAGGAGGAGGAGACTGGTGTATATTGAAGGAAGGAAGGGCTGCAAATCTGGTCCGTCCGTCCCCCCAAAAGGGACCATTTTAGGCACTTCAAGATTATGTTATACATCGTCACCTTCAAAAATCAGAAAAGATCTATATCATAACCTTAATGTACCTAAAATGGTACTTTTTGTAGAAGTTCAGACTTATTATTATTATTTATTTAATTTGTATACCGCCCTTCCTCCATAGACCTGACATTTTAATGTATTTTTAATCTTTGTTGGAAGCTGCCCAGAGTGGCTGGGGAAACCCAGCCAGATGGACGGGGCACAAATTATTATTATTATTATTATTATTATTATTAGCATCATCATCATCATCATCATCATCATCTCAGGGAAGTTCCCAACATAAAATTACCATAGAAAAAAATCACAAAATACATAATAAAACCAAAGCAAGAATCCTTCCTCCCGTAACACATTTAAAAGGGCATCGGATATCAACCAGCCAAAGGCCTAGTTGAAGAGGAACATAAAGGTGTATAATGAAGGCATCACATGAACCTCCCTGGTTCCACAAACTTACAGATTTTACATTTATTGTCACATTTGTACCCTGCCCTTTTTTCAAGGAGTCCAAGGCAGCGTCTGAGGGGCCTCCCTGTTTTGTCCTCACAGCAACCCTGTTAAGTCTGCCTACAGTGGACTTCTTCATTGACCTGGCGATTTGAACTGAAGTCGTCTTCCCCATCCCTGGTCCACACCAGCCTTCCCCAACCTGGTGCCCTTCAGATGTTACAAACTTCTTCTCCACCCACCCCTGAGCATTGGCCATGCTGGCTGGTGCTAATAGGAGTTGTAGTCCAGAACCTCTGAAGGGTGTTAGCTTAAGAAAGGTACCACTAAGATTGGTTGCCTTGCTCCCTAATTCCATCGCAATTGTTCTCACTGAAAGGTCGGCCGGCCTGGAAGCAATTTAATTAAAGCTTCCACTTGAAAAGGGCAAGGGGGGAGCCCTCAGTCATGTCAAGTTGGCAAGTATAAGTCTGGTTTGTTACAAGAGCCTTGGCCTTCTCCGAGCTGCAAACGAAGGATGTTGTGCCAGTTGGCTTGGAGAAAATGACCTACAAAGGATACCTGCAAAGCTTCTGTTGAACTGAATGCTAATTAAGATACAGTGAGCAACAGCGAGCAGGCCTCTCTGTGGCGGGGAAATAACACCCACTTACTGCCGAGGAACAGGAAAAGTATGATGGGAAGGCGATGCACCACATCCCAGATTTAGCAATCCGCAAAGTGCCTTTCGCACTGATTTGTTGTTGCCTTCTTACGCAGCTCCCCATCTCCTGCCCCACCCCTATTATTTGACCATTCCATGAAGCTGGAAACGCTTCTGATCTTGCATTTAAGACAGAGTTGAATTTCTGGAGATTTCACAGCAGGAAGAAGGGGCAGGGTATAATTTTTTTAAAAAAATAATATTTTTTATTTATTTATTTTTTACCAACCACCAGAACACAAACCGTGAACCCCCCACCCCAAGACGGCTGATACATTGGGTATACATATTCAATAATATACCTATTCAATAATATTCAATAATAACATATTCAAATCAACCATATGTACACTTCTATATACCTTAACATTCCTCCTCCACAAGGTTTATTTAACTTTTAACATTTTAATTGCCCCAGATTGTTCAAACCTACCCAAATAATTCAATATCTTCTCAAACCAATCCTCCTCTTTCTCACTGACCTTAAGCCCTTTCATTCTATGTATCTTCACAGGTATTCTAAAATTATAACACTATTCAGTTTTTTCCTCCATTGGTTCACCCCTAGCTCTTGTGCATTTTTCCAATTACACGCTATAACCTGTCTGGCTGCAATTACCATAAATTTTACCCATTTACATTCCTCTTTTGTTTTTAACTCAAGGGGCAGGATATAAATGCAACTATGAAAGATATGTGCTAGTGTAAACTTGAGAACTATATCGTAGGCATCCTCCCTTTTCATGCATTCTGATCCATTCAGTTTGTGGCAGTGCAGCAGGAAACCGACTCAAAAGGTTGCATTCAGAAACTCTTGCTTTTCTGCTTGCAACCTCCTAGTGAGCTTTATGGCAAAACAGGCATTTGAACCTCATCCATAGTCAACTTTATGCAAGACCCACAAATTATTGGGCAAGACTATGGTTGGGAGTGAGCAGAAGGTACTCTCTTATTTCATGGCAGCGCAGCCTCCACACTGAAGGCTTTCTGTGTCGCCTGCCCTGAGGCTGTAGGATCAGAGTAGGCTTGAAATCGAAATAAAAGCTCTAACTTAGATGCCAGTGTCCTCTTTTTGTGTGTGTGCAGGAATACGTGAATGTGCTTATGCCAAGTCAGGCTGATTGTTCCTCTCACCCAAATGCTGTCAACTCTGACTGGGGGGAGGTCCTTTTCAGCTCTGGTGCTATCTAGGGTCCTTTTAAAGGGAGATACCAGAGCCTAGGACTTGCCGATCAGAAGGTCGACGGTTCGAATCCCCGCGACGGGGTGAGCTCCCATTGCTCGGTCCCTGCTCCTGCCAACCTAGCAGTTCGAAAGCATGTCAAAAGTGCAAGTAGATAAATAGGTACCGCTCCGGTGGAAGGTAAATGGCGTTTCCATGCACTGCTCTGGTTTGCCAGAAGCGGCTTAGTCATGCTGGCCACATGACCCGGAAGCTGTACGCCAGCTCCCTTGGCCAATAAAGCAAGATGAGCGCCGCAACCCCAGAATCGCCCACGACTGGACCTAATGTCAGGGTCTTTACCTGAGCTCAAGCCTAGGATGCTCTGCAAGGGAAGCATGCCCTCTGCTACTGAATAATGTCTTCCTCTTGACTTCTTCTTCAGGCATATTACTGACGCCACATTGTCCATACTGAAAGGAGAGACTATTGCACTTGATGTTTTGCAGATTAAGGTAGCCATCTTTTTTCTTAGACCCTCCTCCTTCTGGGAGGGATATTTTTCTTCATCTGTCTTTTGTCATGTGCTTTTCTGACCCCATTATGTTTTTAAGGAGCATGCAACAATATAAAATCATTCTTTAAAGAACAGTGCACCTAGTGCAGGGCAGGGACTTGAACCCGTGGCCCTGACATTGAGAGCCTTATGCTCTATCAACTGAGCATCTGGGAAGGAGAAGAGGGGGATTTGCTCCTATAATGTTTTTAAGCCATTCTATTTTTTATGTTCTTAATTGTTTTTAAATGTGTGAAATTCATTTTGTTTTCAATTGCACTTTTTTTACCGCTTTGTTGTTTGCTGCCCTGGGCTTCCTTGAGAGCAGTGAAGGGATAGAAATTCAACAGATTAATCATCACCATCATCTTGTGAAGATTTCCCTTTCATTTAAATGATAACTACTCATCATTCTTGCTTTGGTCTTCTGATAGCCACAAAATTAAATGACTCATGGCTAAAATAACATTGCAGACAAGCCCTCTGCACTGAGGAATTAATTTGCAATTCCTTTCTTTTATGTGTTGCTGGAATATAGTGGTTGGTATTTTGGTTCTCGGACCACTGATCCATTGTTGGCAAGATCACCACAGATTACTGCAATTTATAACATTTGACTTTTGTTAGTGATTGTTTGTTTTTCCTTTATAGGGGAGCAAAGACCAGCCCATCTTTGCTGTAACTGGTTTAAGATGGGGATCTTACAGAGATGCGGGAGCAAAAGTCAGCAAGTATGTTGATCACTATTGCTTTGTTTTCTCTTTGCCCCTATCTTGTACTTCTAGACAGTTTCTCCACTATCTCCAACAATATGCAAGCAAGGAGCCCACTGGGACCAGATCAGGCTGTGAAGTGTTAAGACAGCTGCTGATTGCCTCTGAATCCCTGGACCGGGTTCCAGAGAAAGACATGGGATGCCTCTAAACTGTCACTATTTTTCGCAACAGATTGAAGCACATACCAGAAATTTACGTTTGTGCAATTAAAATGGATTAAAGTGCTTTGTGCAATCAATCCACATTTCTATTTAAAAAAAACCAGACCGTTTGCAGTGAGGAAAGTGACGGGGAAAGTGTGGGATGAACAGATGACTTAACAGGAAGATGAGGAAATACCCCACAAGCAAATGGGGATGAATGCTCAGTTTTGTAGAACTGCCCCCGCAAACAAATCGGAACAAGTGCTGAATAAATAACAGACGTAGTCTGACCTCTTTGCATAAGCAAAACAGGATGAATGCTCAAGAAGCAGGTCATCTAGAGAAGCCCACTGGGTACATTAGCACACATCCAGGTGCCAGCTACACCTTGCTGCGCATTGCTTTGGCATCTAATGTCCAAAGATTAGGTTGTAAGAAACAGCTTTCGTAGATACTGCATTGGAAAAGAGGACTGCTTTCCCTGTGCCCCCAGTTTTATTTTGCTTTCTTGGTTCATTTTATTCTCTTCTAGGTACTGGTATCTTGGGCCTCTGAAAATCAAAGCAGCCCACTTCTTTAATACATTGAAGGTAAAGGCATTTCAATATGGGTCACACAAGGCTATCACAGTGGGAAGATCTGTGATGCACACAGTGGTGGATCACATTTTTGAGTGCATGAAGTCCCCAGGTTTAGTCCAAAACAAAAGAATTTGCTGGAGAGTCACACCCAGACAGCTGTGAGCTAGAGGGTCTGACACTGTGTGAGGCAACTTCGTGTGATCTTACTGTATGTGGCATATAATGTAGTTTGGAGTGCTTACAGATCATATTTAAGGCAGTGTTGACTTTTTTAACTTAGCTCAAAACCAACCCAGCTTTGGTTATTCATATTTTGCCAGAAAAGGGTGGCAGAGACAATTGGCTTTTAAAAAGTCTACCAGTGGAATGCAGCTGAAATAATACTGCAATGCTAGAAATTACTATGGAATATTAACTGCATTATGGAAGGGTAAACAGCCTCTCATGCAGCTGAGGTTGCTCGGCTGCCTTTCTCTAGTGCAGTCCTTTCTCATGGTTTTTGTTATGCTAATGATTCACCCTGAGATTTATTCAGTTGACGTAAGTGGTGCCTATAAATACAGCCCACAGGACTGTTGATAACACTGGTCAACAACAAATTTGTTGTCTGCGTTTTTTCAGTTGATTTAGGACGAATCTGATGTGCTAAGTCCAAAAATCACATTGGTTTTGCTCAATCGGGTCAAGTTTTTGAGCTATGGCCACACGTCTTTTTTTTACGTTTTTGTTCACATGTACGCTTGTGTGGAGCATTTTAGAAGAAGTTGGTGGGGGTAAAATGCCATGTCGAATAATTGTTTTGATTGGAAATGATTATTTTAATGACAAGAAGTATTCAGGTCCGATAGTTCTGGGTCATTATGTCGAAAAGGGATCAGTTTGAAGTCATAAAACCTTGAAATCTTCCATAAATCGGTGCGGCAAAGCATAAAGTTGCTTACCATGCTTATTTGGTATTAAACCTGGTGACCAGATAAAGCTTGGGCGCCACACATGGTGTGCAAGGCATGCACCGAGACTCTACATGGGTGGACCAATGGCAAGAGGAGTCTGAACTTTGGAATTCCCATGGTTTGGAGGGAGCTGACAAACCATGTCACTGACTGCTGCTTCTGCGCTGTTGATGCGACTGGGATCAACAGAAAGAACCGGAGCAGCCTCAACTATCCTGATCTTCAATCAGCACGTCGTCCTTTAGCTCATTGTGATGAAATTCCAGTGCCTATCTTCGGAGAACTTCCTGACATTAGTGACGAAGATGCCTCCAGTGTTGAAGGACATGAAGAAGAAGAAGTGGTTCTTGAAGATGATGCTCCACATCCATTTTCCCAAAAGGAGTTGAATGATCTAGTTCACGACCTCAGCTTGTCAAAGGACTCTGCCGAACTGTTGGCATCCAGATTGAAGGGAAAAAACCTCCTCTCTGACAGTGCTCACATCAGCTTCTTCCGCAACAGGCATCAAGAGTACCTCCATTTTTTCTCGGAAGAGAAGGACTTGGTGTACTGTGCAGATATTGCACAGCTTCTGCTCAAGCTTGGAGTGCCACAGTACGAATCCAAAGATTGGAGACTGTTCATTGACAGCAGCAAGCGATCACTGAAATGTGTTCTGCTACACAACGGCAACCAGTTTGCCTCTATACCCCTGGCTCACTCAAGTACACTGAAGGAGAACTATGAAATGGTGAGGTATGTGCTGGAGAAAATTGGTTATGATCAGCATAAGTGGTTTATTTGTGTTGACCTGAAGATGGTGAACTTTTTGTTGGAACAACAGTCTGGCTTCACCAAGTACCCATGTTTTCTGTGCATGTGGGATAGTAGGGACCGTGCTCAGCATTACACGAAGAAGGACTGGCCTGTGCGGGAGGAATTGGTGCCTTGTAAAGAAAGGAACGTCGTCAACGACCCTCTGGTGGACAGAGACAGAATACTCTTCCCACTGCTGCACATCAAGCTCGGCTTAATCAAGCAGTTCACCAAGGCTCTGGACAAGGATAGTGACTGCTTCACTTACTTGTGCCAGGCTTTTCCAGGATTGACCATGGAGAAGTTGAAAGCTGGCATCTTTGACAGTCCTCAGAGCTCATCAGAGATCCAGAGTTCGGAAAGTCAATGAACGAAGTGGAACTAGAAGCGTGGAAGGCAGTTGTTCTGGTAGTGAAGAACTTTCTTGGCAACAATAAGGCCAGAAACTACGCAGAACTTGTCAACAACATGCTGACTGCTTTCAGAAACCTGGGCTGCAACATGAGCGTCAAGATGCACTACCTATTTTCACATATGGACCAGTTTCCTGAGAACCTGGGTTCAATGAGTGACGAACAGGGGGAGAGATTCCATCAGGACATGAGAGAGATGGAGACCAGGTATCAGGGTCGCTGGGATGCAGTCATGATGGCTGACTACTGTTAGACTCTGAAGAGAGACCTCCCTGCCGCTGAGCATTCCTGGAGTTCCAAGAAACGGAAGTTCAAGCCCTGAAGTTTGAAAAATGGTGAAGCAACATGCAATTTACGCGTACTTACCTTTATCAATGCCCACCATTCAGTTTACAGTAATCAATGTTTCTATCAGGTAATCAATATATGTTGTTGGAAAAACATTTTTTCTCTTAAAAACATATTTAGGATGATATGTGTTGACAAAAATCAGCTGATAATGCCACAAAAATGTAATCAATTTTGTCACAAAATCTGATTTTTTTTCAAATCAACATAGCACAAAAACCTGACCTGATGGAGAGAAACAGATGCCATTTCCTGATTCAGCAGTGCAAAAATACCCTAAATCAGTTGTAGAAATCTAGACAACATTCAAAAAGTAAAAAATTGTTGCCCAGTGTAGTCTGCCTCTTTCATTCAGCCTACCTTCTGTCGCAAAATGAGCAGAAAGGTTAATTGCTCTAGTTCTCAGGTACTGAAGGATTTGACATACATTAAAGTAGCTGCATTTCCCCCCTGTTCACACCCTTTTCTTGATTCCTTAGCAGTTAATAAACATATAACTCTCCTGGGAAATGCCCTGACACATCATAACATATGTACTGTCTGAGTTTGCACGTAATACTAAACCATGGTTTAGTGGTATGTGGACAAGCTGCAGTGAACCCAAACAAAAGCGTCAGTCTCACCTCTTCCCCCCCCATCAACCTTTCTGAGTGATTTGTTTTATATAAACCAGGAATTCTGTTTTTGAACAAACTCTGTTCAAATTAAAGTGTTGATTTGAACTCTTGAACAAATTAAATAAAGCAGCTTCATAACAATGGTTTGGCTTGTTTTGAACCTTTCCAGGATTCCTGGTTGGTTCAACAGGACAAGCCAGGGTTTATTCAACATGAGGTTAATCTCTTCAGAAGGCCTCCTTCTTCTGACTACGTAGGAGGGAAGAGTGCAACACTTCAATGTCTTGCTGCAGCTCATCCACATAATGTTAAACCACAGTTTAGTGTGACAGTCGAGTGCAGCCTTTGCAAGACACGATTTAGATCAGCTAGACCAGAATTTCTTCTCTGTGGCAGGACAGTAACCTGCTTTGGGGGAAGTATAGTTCTTTCCTCACACACACTTTCCTCAGCCACTCCGTCCCCCTCAACTGACAGAAGCACTTGTTCACCTCATCGCAGGGAAATGGGCTAGTAGAATGGCTGGAGGAGAAAGCAGCAGGTGGGTTAAGCAGCCCCTAGATTGCCTCTTCTGCCTTGTGGCTGTTTGGTGGCAACCATAATTCCAAGTCTGCCTGCTGCTGAATGAATGGTTGGTCTAGCTCTCACATACCCCTGTAGAAATGGTTATTTTCCTTTTTCTTTCTGGAAATTCCAAGGAGTGGCCTCAGAAGCATCTAGCCTCCCTTTCCTATTTGGACCCAACTCCAAGGCCTCCTGAGGAGCCGGAGCAGAAGACCCCTAGACCTCCTTTATACATCAGGCTTTACAAGAGACTGGCACATTATTGGACACCTGTCCCCAAAGGTAAGCAGTCAGTCATTCTCTCTCAGATAGATAGATATATTAAAGCTGTTCATTAGAAGAATCCGTTTCCCCCACTGTGGCCCTGAAGCAGGGGCTTGAGAGATCTGTCACCTTTTCCAATTAAGCCCCAGCGAGTTGCTTTCTTTTTGTTGTGTGAACTTTGAACTTCTTTCTTCCTTTTCTGCGGCTGTTGTTCCTTTGAGCCGCCGGCATTAAATATAGATGGAACAAGGCCTTGTGAAGTAACAAGAAATAGAAGGATCTGGGCCTCTGCTGATCTTAATACAACAGCGCTTATCTAACTTTCTGTTTAATGGTGTCTTTCCTCTCGGACTTCAGAAATCCCCAAGGAGGTAACCCCGGAGGCCTGGAGAGAAATGCAGCTGTCTGCTATTGAATTCTCTGTCACTACTCAGAACAGACATCTTGACTTGAAAGTAAGAGTAGAGAAATAAATAAATAAATGCTAAGCTTTCCTTCATCTTCACAAAAGTAGCTGCTTTGTAACTTGAGGGGATAACAGCCTGCTTAGGCCTAATATAGCGGGTCTGAATTCGAAATGGTGGCAACCTGAGATGTGAGCGTCTGTTTTGCTGTGCCCCTTTCTAAGTCCCACACCCTGTGGGCTGTGTGTGCGCTTCTTAAAATGGGCCGTGCCAAAAAGAGAGAGAGAAGCATATACACACACATGCTTTTTGTACTTTATGAGTACCTGTGGCCATTCTGCACATAAAATGTGTGTGTCATTTCCTGTGCAGTAAGTCCATTGGAGCATGGAATGTTTAGTGCAGAATACCATTTCTTGAGATTCTCTGCTTTTAAGGAGGCACAAACCACCTAGACCTTACTGCTTCACAAACAGACTTGAAAGTGTGTGGACAAAGCCTGCTGCTCTGCTCTGAAGCCAAAGGAGGTAACAATTTCTCATGATCAGGAAGCTAGCTGGGCTCCAGGGCCCCACGCAGTTATCTTTTCTTCATGACTAACAGAAGCAGAATAAATTTTGCAAGGCTGGTAAATAATTATGCACCATTCAAGGGTGCTTGCTTTGCATAGTTTATGCAAGCTTTTCAGTTTTTGACTTGTATTTATTTGTATGTGCAGCACCGCCCTTATAGGACTTTAGCACAGAACACAAGCCTGAAAGCAAGAGGCCTAAGGATTATTGTTTACGTCTTCCCTGTACCATTTTTTCACTGAGAGCAAAGACTGAGATGCCTTGTGCTGAATAACAGCAAGTACCTAGGAGCTAAATTGAACATCCCTCCACAGATTGAAGGATAATTACTGATATGCCCAGTTTTTAAATGAAATGCCAGCTAGGCGGTATGTGTGCAGTAGATCAAAGGAGCGAGAATGCAGCTAGCTGGGCTGCTAAGAGACTCTTCTGAGCTCAGAGCACTGCTTTTTTATTTAGAATGTTGTGGTTGGGTGCAGTTCCCGAGTGCATTCTGAGCTCTAGGCACTCAGCTATGGGTTTACCTGTACCACCCTACCTACCAGCCTGCTTACAAGGCCACCACAATAAGTTCAGAACCTGAACTTGCCAATCTGAGAATCCTTAGCTTCAAGGATGATTGAAAGATGTAAGAAGATGTCATTCTGTGCGCTCCTCCACATGCAGCTGCTGGGTGACCTTGGGCCAGTCACACTTCTCTGAAGTCTCTCAGCCCCACTCACCTCACAGAGTGTTTGTTGTGGGGGAGGAAGGAAAAGGAGAATGTTAGCCGCTTTGAGACTCCTTCGGGCAGTGATAAAGCAGGATATCAAATCCAAACTCTTCTTCTTCTTCTTCTATTTCTCTAAGATGTAAAAGAGGAGGTTGGAGGTTAATTTTTATTCCTTCTACAAAGAACACTCTGCTTCAACTGCAGACGTGAGTTCATTGCCCTGGGACTTCAAGGCTGTAAATGTCTACTCAGGAGTAAGCTCTACTTAGTTCAGTGGGACTTGCCTTCAGGTAAGTGAATAGGAGATTGCAGCTGTGTGTGTGTGTGAGAGAGAGAATATGAGAATATGTTGATGCGCATTCTGTCTAGTTTTTGACCTGACAGTGCCCTTCTATGGCTCACACAGGGAACTCTTTGCTTTGAATTCTCCTGGCTCCCAAATACTGTTTTCCCCCAGAGAATGGGAGATGCTACTGACTTCATTCAGAGGCAGATGGTGGGGGTTACATGAGATGCTGTGGCTGTTAGTATTAATGCATCCATTTCTGAACATTTCTTTTAGCGCACAGAAGACTTCATGAATATTTGCATTGAACCAGATTCAATCAGTAAAGGAGAATACATTAAAAGAGGGTGAGTCCTAGAGAACCTGTAATGATATGCCTTATTGCTATCATAAAATATATTTATCAATGTGCTTTTGGGGTTAGTTGGTAGTTTGTATAGTCAGGTGCATTAAGGGCAAAACTGGAGAGACTGGACTTAAAATCTAGAGCGGAGACAAAACTAATTGGTGCCCCTGGCATAAATAAACCCTTCTAATGATCCCAACCGTGTGTCAGGTTCAGTCAGCAAGGACACCGAAGGAATAGTTCTTGGTGGCAAATCACAGTCTCTAATTTATAGTTTCCATGACCACTACAAGGCTGCAGATCATTTCCCCGTTTCCTTGAATCTCTTCATATTGCTCCAGCGTTGACTCATGGCGACTTCCTACATTGTTGTTGTCGCTATTTATTTCATTTGTGAATGGCTTTCCGTAAAACATCCCAAAGCAATTGAACAATAAAAATGCAAACCATAAAAGTGTATCTAAAAACCAGGAGAGTCTCAAGACAAGGACAACAGATGGGAACACTGTTAAGTCAGTGAAGAGGATGAATAAGAAGGAAGGCTTCTATCCAAATCCTTCCTTTGAATCCTAAACCCCAGTATGCACTGTCAGGACATGGTGTGGTGTTGCCACAATGACCTGGTAGGCAGGGCATTGTCCAAAGGCTCATGATGCAGCTGAAGCTTAAGCAGGTCTGCTTCTGATTGGTCCCCAGCTTGATTCCTCACCCTGGTGTGAAGACATGGGGTTATACTCAAGGAGCTGGCAATCCAAGCTGGTGCAGTGAGCCACCTTACTAGACTTGAACCTTGGTTCAAAGCGAGCACAGCAAAGAGCTTGTAGCTTTGAGCAAGTAACATTGTCCTGCGCTTCTCTTCTTTGTGTGTAAAACGAGACGATCCCTTTGCCTCGCAGTCTGGTTGAGGGTGATGAACTCTGAGTCTTGGGTGCATAGATTTGGAGGGAAGTTGCATTGATCTTGATGGAACTGACTTCCAAGCATTAATTATTCAGGTTTGCAGTCCCTACTATTAAAAGGATGAGGCAGCTCGAGGAATTTGTAATCCATTTTAATTTAGGCTCCCTGACAAGGCCGTTGGCTTCACGAGCCCCCGAATCAGCCATGGTTCCTCACTGCTGCACTTGATCCATAGCTTTCTCTTCCGATTTGTCTAATCTTAATGTATTTTGTACTTTAACAGAGATTGGGCTTCTTTTTGGGGCTGCGTGAGGATTGCCCTGCGGGAGTTCCTCTGGGCTGTAAATCAGGGGGCAGGATCTCCATCTTGCGGGCAAATCTTGGCTCACCAGGTGGTCTTGAGCTGGCTTGCGAGGGTGTTTTCCCCAAACCATGCCCACCCACTTGTGACGTAATCTGATGGGTGTGTGGGTGTGATAAACCCTGATGGGGCATTCATGTTCCTAGCAGTGAACAGCAGCAGGCAGCCCAAACAGCAAGATGTTTAATCCTGCTCAGTTTGGCAGGACTCCATGCAAACCACTTTCTGATTCAGGGACATGTGTGTATCAGACTCTTCTGGTGAAGTACAATAACAACCTTGTAAAATATACAGTTTTGGGCTTTCCCCCCTACCCCCCTTTTCCCCTTCTGCACAGGTTCTGTTTCTTTTTTATTTTTCTCTTTTGTTGTGTCTCACCATGTCTGATGCACATATGTACTTTTTGAACTTTCAATAAAGATGTATAATTAATAAATAAATAAAATAAAATAAAATAAAATAAAATTAAAAATAATAAAAATAAAAATAAAAGATCTGGCCTGTGGAGCCCAAAGTTCCCTACCTCTACTGTAGATAATGTGCTCATAGCGGTTGGCTCAATTAATGCTGCTTGTAGCTTGGTTTTTCAGTTATGTCTTGCTTTTATCGCAATTCCCATTTAAGGGGAGGGTCTTTCCTAGTTGAGGCTTGGTGCTACTCCATCAATTCCTTCTGCCACACAAGTTCATTGGTCTCTTAAAATGTTTTATTTAGTTTGGTTGGCTATGGCAGAAGGAGGAGTGTTGTGCCGTCCAGGGCCTTTCCGGGTTAGCAAGGCAATCTGTTTGCCGGCTTCTCTGCAGCCCCTTTGTGCTTTAAGCGTAGCTATAAAGGATGACTTGGTTGCTCTCTTCCTTTGTTTTGTACAGAAGCCAAAAGATGGTGGACCCCCACTTGTGCCCAGAAGGAAGCCAGTGCCTTCAAGCTAGCAGGTGTATCTTGCAGCTTCCAGAGGTGAGAAATAAAACATAGGGTAAATCTGTGCTTTCCTCATTCTTTCCTTACAGGCAGTGGAAGGATCCTGTCCCCCACCTAGAATTAGGCAAATTTCCTTCTGTTGTATAAAGGCAGAATGAATACATTCCAATTTGCTTTGTTGGGATGGGATATGCCCAAAAGCCAGCTTCACCCATCCTTCCTAATTTAAAAAATCAGTATGTGACAGTCTTCCTTGCTGTATTCCCACCTCCTCTTGTGTCTCTTACATTCAGGTAGGCCAGTTTCATGTCCCTCTCTATTCCCAGGGCAAAGCCACTGTGTGGCAACAGGAGGAGTGTTTTTGTGGGCAATCAGTTCCTTCCATAATAGCAGCCTATATTTCAGCTTTCAGAGAATCCTGTAGTTACGGGTAGGAAGCCAGGTTCATAGAAATTCCCAAGATGCAAATTCCACCTGAGCATAATCCCCCGTTAAAAATCACATTTGATGGACACAGAGACAAGGAGTGGGGGCAGGGGGAGATTCAAGACCCTGTAAATTGATTTTGCCCCCTAATCATGCTATACATTTGATGGGTAGGTTGTTTGGAATCCCAAAATTGACTATAGCTTTTAATGGATGAAAAGGGACCTTTCAGTTCTGCAGCTTAGGACAAAGCAAGGGGGGCCGGAGGGGGGTGGAATGGGAAGAGGAGGTTAAGCAGAAGTAATCTGTCCAACCTGTTTCTAGGAGGTGGTGATGGGAGGCCCACCATTAATAGCAGGGATCCAATGGGGGAAGACTTTCAGGTGGCAGTTTCAGGAACTGCCTCCTTGAGTGGTCCCTCTGCAAACTGGGAAGTACCGAAATGTGGAACTAGGACATCTTCCCTGTAGCCAGAGAGGTGCATTTGACAGATAAAGAGAAGGCATGAATTTCTCTGTAGAGGAAACGCCTTCTGCCTGTGCTGGACCTGACGCTTACGGAATTGGAATTGTCAGCGGGCAGAAAGCAGGTGAGGTAGTTTGCAGGCTGTCTTAAGTGAGAGGCTCAACCATGTCTGGCAGATAGTTGAAGCAGGGGTGAGAAATCTCAGCCATGGGGGACCAGGACTGTTCCCTAATCCATTTAGCCTCTCACCCTCCAGCCAGGCAGCCCTCCTGTCAATCATGTGACATCACCTAGGCCATGCCCCTCTGCTGGGCATAGCCTTGACAGCTTTACCTGGCTGGAATGCGCCCTCGAACTGTGATAACAGCCATTTTAGAAAATAAATAAACAGTGCTTTCTCAGTGAAGTGTTTCAGAAGAGAACAACTTGAAGTGGAGCCCTAACTAGGATGAACACCAGCTCTTTCTGGTATGTCTGGCTATGTAACCATGGAGGAAAAGAGCCCCAGCTGCTCAGACCTAGCCTTCGTTAGCATGTCTCTTTCATCTTTCCTGCTTTCTCTGCAGGATACGGAAGGCTTCTTGGCTGTGGACAGTGAGGAGTACGAAGCGATGCCAGTGGAAGTGAAGCTGCTGCCCAGGAAACTCCGTTTTTTCTGTGATGCCAGAAAAAAAGAGCAAATGCTTCAAGGTGCATCCTAGCGAAGGCTGCTGCCGCCAGCCAACCGTGTGAACTTCAAAACGATGCTCTCTGGCTCCTGGTTGGCAGGCTGGCGTTTGCATCTGATAAGGCCTGCAGGCATGTCAGGTGCCAAAGAAGACACATATGGAAAGGGTCTCTGAAAAGCGGGTTAAATTGGTTAAGTTTAAAGAACTGCAGCTGGAAAATTTGCATGCCTTTCCTCGAGTACAATGAAAGACCGTTTGTTTTTTTGCAGACTGACCAGTGCTTTGTGTGCAAGTAGCTGGATCTCAGAGTTCTAAATTCCCTGCCTTGGAAGTGTTAGGGTAGAAATCCATACATATTTATTTGGGTCTCATTTGGCCATTTCTTAAGGGAAGAATGGCTTTCCCTTACTCTCAGAATTGCTATTTTCAGCAGAAGCGCTGTTTCGGGTGTTTGGCATTATGCACATCTTTTTTTCCCAAGGAGGTGACACACTTAACAAAGGAAATGAAGTGTGTGTGGGAGGGGGGGTTAGTCTGAATACTTAAAATGCACACAATCCAAGTTGACTATGCACTTTAGCCGTAGTGATAGAAAGATGCATCTAAAATGAGTGTGCATTGCCTATGGTCAAGGTGCTATTATGCCAAGTTACAATGAGTAGCAGCTCTCCAGCTTGTAGCAGAGGTGGTTTCCATGCCTGCTATTAAATATAAAATTAAGATGCCTTCAATAATGCAGGTAAAACACAGACCTCATGGCGAATAACTGTTGAAAGTATCATTCCTCCACAGAGAACTCTAACCCAACTTGATGGCATTCGCTGCATCTTGTGGGAGCTATTGCCATAGTTTAAACCCATGTGCGAACTACTTTCCTTTGGTCGGTCCTGAATCTTCCAGCATCCAGCTTCAATCATGGAGAAAAACGCTTCTGTATCTTTCTCCACACTATATACATCTATTATAACTCCTCTTACTAATATATTCTGTAAACTAAAAAACAACAACAAAGCTGTAACCTTTCCTTATTTAGGGAGCGATACTCTACCCCATTGATCATTTTAGTTGCCCTTTTCTAGCTTTTTGAAGTGAGATGACCAGAATTATAGTGTGTTCCAGAAATATTCACTGTGTGCCACAAGCTCTTTGCTGGTCCCTGGTATGGGGTGGGAGCCTTGAACCCCTCAATCACATTTGTAAGGAAATTATCACCAACTCCCTGGCCAAGAAGGGCTTGGCCATGTCACTGATTCCCAAGACAAAATACATTCATGTTCTCCCATTACTAACATAAAAAGCCTCAAAACATATCTCTATATTAGAAGTATCTCATTACAGATGTCCCATAAAGCACTTTCAGAATAATTGGTAGGCACAAAAGGCTGTATGTGTTAAAAGTGAACTTTAATAGAGTAAAAAAGTCCATTATAGTATGTACATGAGTCCCTCTCGGGCTCCACATAAGCAGTGGCAATCCACAAACTTAGTGCTTTCCTTCTTGCGGGAAAATGAGGAAAGCCACAGGTACAATTGACACTGCTAAAGGAAGGTGCGTGGTCACAGCTTAGTGAGGAGAGGCTAGCTGCCGATCAAATCAGATTCACGCTTCATCAGAGATATTAGAATTATCACAGTCTGCTGCCTTTATGGCTGCATCAAATTGGTAGTTGTACACTAAACTCGGCTGTTGAGGGATACTGCTTTAAATCACAACACCCTACAGATTTCTTACCTAGGAGAAGAGAGGAGGAATGCCCTCTCACTGACACTACCAGGAGGGGTTTCAGTCAATCCACCCTTTTACCAGAAATACTTCCAGTATCAAGTGGGGAAGTATCGCAAGCAGATTTATGGCCAAACCACATGTGGGAGAATTGGGACTAGAACGCCTGCTGTGCTCAGGTGTTTGTTCTTAAACTTTCACAATTACTGATGAGCCAACATTGGATTCAGGCAACAGTTCTGGAGGAGAGGTTTATCCCCCTTTACCCAAGATCTCTCCCTGAGCTATTAGTCCTTCTAGGGGAAAAGTCAGGTAACAACTCATACTTTGCTCTTCTCCCAGTGAGACCATTAGCAACCTTGCAGGTAGGGGTGATTTCGATTAGAGAACCATTTCTCTCTTCCACATGTAGTTTAACCCTCTCCCACGGGGCTCCTGCCGTGATCCTACTTGAAAGAAGCAAACTTTTTTAAAGTATCAGGTGAACCAGTCAGAGTTCTGTATATTGCTTGGTGGTCTTGCAGTGGTGGCCCACTGTGATGGCCGATTCCCAATTTCTCTTATGAAAACAGCTGGGTTGAGGATGCTATGTATTTACAGTATACCCCACAATAAGCTTTTGGAACTCTATTGCAGGAGTGGGGGATCCTTTGTCCCTCCAGATGGTGCTGAAATATAGACTCCTGTCATCCCTGGTGCTTGCTAGGGCTGGTGGGAGCTGTGGTTCAGTGACGTTTTACAGCTTTCCCTCATTTTTAGTCTGATCGTATTGGGACTCCCGTACACCACTGTGTTGGAATAAATAAACAAACGCCTAGAGGGCCAAAAGCTCCACACAACCTGCTCTACAACAAAGCAAACGGCACTTTTTCGCAACAGCCATCACTTCCAGAAGAAGTTTTGCCTTGGTTCATAGGTTCCCGCTCATCCCACTGACTTGCACACAGGAGCCATCACAGACCCAAGCTTTCATAGTGCTCAATGTCATGCCAAGCAATGTTAGTTCACAAATTCAGCTGCCACTACATTGTATGCCCTATGTGAACTGCCCAGTGAGATGGGCTGTGCTTGTTTTGAAGAGTGCACCATGGAGTGTCGGGACTAAAGCTGGCTGTGACTTAGATATTTGTTACGGAAAAGGAGGAGCAGAGTATAGTTCAGTGCCATGGTGATATCCCCTCTAGGCACACGAGACACACAGGTTTAAAAATAGGTGCTGTGTTTTATAAACAAGTGGCTCACTGCCTGCTTCTTACTGCTGGGAAAATACCTAGAAAACAAGGAGCGATCTCATAGGTGAGGCAGTATGCACTGTATGTCGTACACATAAACAGCAACTTGCCTCTCAATGGCATCTGCATAGCAAGCTGCACTTTTCAGCCTGTACAGCAGAGGGAGCATCGCTCATTTGCCAAACACATACTAATGGGAAACTCCTTTTTTTCTCCAGTGCCTAGCCTTAAATGGTACAACCACAAATGAAAGGCAGGTAACAGCAGGCTTTGGGGGGAACCCCAAGTATATACTGTGCAGAAGTGCACAGAAAATCTGTAGAGGAAAAAGCAATGATGGGGGAAACAGGAATCCCCAAACAGCCCAATGAGGACTGAGCATGCTCAGTGCACATTGAATGGTGGGTGGGGAAAGGGGGGTGGAGTATCCTGGAAAGGGCATGGCAGACTTGCTGGAACCCTGAACAGCACTTCGCGCTGCAATGTTTTGTTGCAGCTCCCACTTATATCTCCTATTTACAATGATCCGTGCACCACTGCAAAGTAGAACCAGTGGCTTCAGCACTTTCCTGTGCCAGGCACTCAATTTTAAAACAACAAAAATACATATATATATACAAAAAAGACGATACTGATCTCGTATAGGGGAGTTTTCAAAGGGCCAAAGCAAGGCTCCTCATTCAGAAACAGAATTTAAGCCAAGCCGGTGCTATGATCAGCTGATCAAGCACAAAGGCTAAAGCTGCCTCAGAAACCAGATTGGAAAAAGGGTCACCCGTCCCACTGCCAGAGGGAGCTCTGCAGCTGGGTATGGAATACTACCATTGCAATCCCCATATGCTGTCTTCGGGTGTGTGAAGTATATTGCACGGTGTCTCTCTATGCCAGGGGAGCAGCTGGTTGTGGGTGGGGGTCAGAAGTAAGAGGAACTTCGATTGCTAAGATAAGCATACTGCAGGGCACCTACACTCTTTTTCAGGAGCAAAATCTTATTATGCATATGGGAGGAAAGAGAACTAGCAGGTTGCTGTTTTTCCTGCTTCTCCCACACCCGAGTGCAGAAAGGAGAAAGACAGATAAGAGTTCGGGAGGACAGGTTTTTAAACATTTCTATAGCTCAGCATGTTTCCTCCTAAACAGCTAGTTTGCACAGTTTGTTTCTGATGTAAAAAGTCACATTGGTACTCTTCTCTTGAAGCTTCTACAGCCTCCTGTAAAGGGCATTTATTATTTTTAATAATAATAATAATAATAATAATAATAATATTACAAGAGGAAATCTGGCTGGATTACCCAGTCATGGCGGGGCAAATGGGCCTTAAAATGATGTTTTTAGGAAATCGGGAGTCATGTTTTATAGGGTTGCCTAGCCCTGAAAGTTACAAAGACAGGCTGTGAGCACAGCTTGATGAAATTTCAGAAGTCAAGGTGGAAGGAAATAACATAGGCTGGCCAGCAGGCAGGGCAACTTTGCTGCACATGCCTCTTTGCCCCTGCCTAGCAAAAGCAAACTAAATTATGCAAAACAAGCAAAGAGGCTATTTTAACTGTGCAATTTACAGCAACCCTGGGCAGACTTCAGGTTTCCAGGAGCCCCTGAGATGCACAAACCTGATCCAGATACAAAATAGGAGCTGGGGAAGTGGAATATCCAGCCTTGCATTTAAGCACTAGCCTGATAGCCATTACGTGACAAGGTGTGGCATGCAGCAAAGTGAGCAGGGTTGGTGGTGGAGGGATGCAGCGTTCTCTCTACACCTAGCACAGAAAGAAGCAACAAAGATCTTTCCAAGTAAGATCCTGGGTCAATATTCTGACCTTGTCTTGCACGTTTTTCCTCTGCATTTTCCTTTTAAGAATCCACTCTGTTCCTGCTTCAATGCGTTTCCTGCTATGAACAATAATCTTAATTCTGTTGCCTGGGAAGAAAGTGGTAGAAGAATTAATTGCCTTCCTCCTGCCTAAGTGGGGGAGGCTGTGGTTTATTTATTTATTTTGCAAATTGGAAGCTGCAGAGTTTTTCGGATTTGAAAACCAGGGCAACAGATCTTTTAGAGAGAAAGCTATTTCCCTCTCCCACCCTAGCTGGCCCAAGGCAGCAGAGCTTGGGAACTTTCCCCCCCCTCTTTTTCCCCCTATGAAGAATCCCCCCTCCCCCCAAAAAATACCTTCCCCAGGATTGCTCCGTTAAGATAGGAAAGGTTCTCTTAAAACACCCACCATTTGACAGCAAAACAAATGAACCAGGGAAGGGGATCCTGTAAGTGGTGTGTAGCACTTCATTAACAGTTCCTGCTCCTTCAAATTGCCAGCGTTTCTTTTATTTTCCTGGTCTTGTTCCTGTGTCTTTAGAAAGCAGCCTGCTGCCATGCACAAATTAAGCAGTGAGGGTTTTTCCTAGCATGACCGCAAACAGGCATGAAAGGCTTTTTCTGCGTTTCAGACTAGGTGACCAAAAAGTTTAACCTGTGGTAGGTACGTCGTGTTCCATAGGTGCACAGCAAGTGAACAGATTTATGAACCCCATACACATATAAAATAGAACTTCTGGAGTGGACAGCTGAGCTCTGCTGCCTCTTCTCCTTTCCATGCACAAACTATTGACCCTGACTCTGGATCTACGTAAAAGGTAAAGGTAAAGGGAACCCTGACCATTTGGTCCAGTCGTGGCCGACTCTGGGGTTGCGGCGCTCATCTCGCTTTATTGGCCGAGGGAGCCAGCATACAGCTTCCAGGTCATGTGGCCAGCATGACTAAGCCGCTTCTGGCGAACCAGAGCAGCACACGGAAACGCCGTTTACCTTCCCGCTGGAGCAGTACCTATTTATCTACTTGCACTTTGAGGTGCTTTCAAACTGCTAGGTTGGCAGGAGCAGGGACCAAGCAATGGGAGCTCACCCCGTTATGGGGATTCGAACCACCAACCTTCTGATCAGCAAGTCCTAGGCTCTGTGGTTTAACCCACAGCGCCACCCGCATCCCTGGATCTACGTACTCAACTACAAACATAATGTTCTATCAGTCACTGTCCTGCTGCAGTTTAGCAGTTTGGGAAAAGAAGCAAAACTTAGGCAAAGACCCCAAATTCAAAGGCTTGGTTTGCGCACAAATCAGGACCACCACAACGGATATCAAGGGGAGCGAACGGAGAAACTGGCAGCTTGGAGTCACATGCTGAGCAATTATTATCTTTCACTATGTAAAATAAAGTTACTTAAGCCCCAATGCAGGAAGACTCCTCCCTACAAAACAGCTAAATATGAGGTAGGAGGAAAGGGTTAAGACAGAGGCAGGGAATCTGCTGCCCTCCAAATATTACTGGGACTCCCATCAGTGCCAGCCAAGGATGATGTAGTTCAACAACACCTGGAGGGCTAAAGATTCTGCATACATGGGTTAAAACCTAGAAGGAATGTGTCTTCTCTACAGAAAAAGATGAATGCCATCACTATTGCGGCTCACAAAAGGATTCTTCCATTGCATCCACCCTAGTCATAATATATGGGATGTGTTGTCAATAATAATAATAATAATAATAATAATAATAATAAACAACTCCATTAAGTATTCCACACAAAGAGTGCAGAACACTAAAAGTCCAAGAGAAGGTCTAAAAACCAAGGCAGCACAGAGAATACTTGAAAAGGTAGTGGTTGATACAGTATAAGCTATGACTAGGCCAAAGAAATAGGAACCGGGGATGGCTCAAACGTACTGTATATTTCTTCCTCTAGTTAAATCTAGCTTTTTCTGCCACCTGCGAATAGTGGCTCTCCAGGCAGAAGAGCTGAAATTATTCAGTGAGAGCAATAGAGCTCGAGTTAAGTCTCAAGAGCCTGTGGAGGCAGCATGAGAACAGTGGTTAGCAACTAACTCCTGCTGCGTTTTCCATTTATAGCGAGGGCTTCGGGGATAGCAGCAATGTCTCGGCCTGTTCCACCCACTGCCCAACAAAGTGCTCTCCAAACCAGGAAGGGGGAACTCAAAGCTCTCCAGATGTTGCTAGGCTGCGACTCTCATGATCTTTGATCATTGGCCATGCTGGCTGGAGCTGTTGGGAGCTGTTCAAAAATAGCTGGAGGACTACAGCTTGTCCACCCGTTTTAAATCTCCAATAGACATGAGCAGCCTGTTTCAAAAGGGTGGTTCTTTAGTCATGTCCCTCAGCCATCCTGCTGTCCTCATGTGCATGGTGGCTAAAAAGCTATGGCTGCGTCTCAAAAATCGGGTGCAGCCCCCACGGTTGCCTATATCCCTAGCATATGATCAGAGGCAGTGGGTTCAAAGCAATGAGGTCAAACCAGCCATCAGCTACCAGCTGAAGAAATGGGCTAAGCCAACATGGATGTAGCTCCAGGTGTTGGTGGAACTACAACTCTCATCATCCCTCGCCATGCTGGCTGAGTCTGCTGGGGGTTGTAGTCTGGCAACATTGAGAGGACACCGTGAGCTAAGCTCTCTGCAGTGTTTACATGCAGAGCTGTGGCTGCCCTTGAAGAGAAAGTGAAGTACAAATATGCCACAAAGCAACAGATCCTGAATCGGCGCAAGTTACTGCGTGTGAGCCCTGGCACAAGTCAAACTAAATTCTAAGCCCAAAAGTCTGTGTTGAACAATGCAAACTTGCGGCTCTGAGAAGTTCCGCACTCACGTACTGCATTGGGAGTGAGGGCAGCCAACCAGCTGCCATACACAAGTCCAGTTCCTCCTGCAAGCGAAGCCCTGAGTCGACATGCAATGAGGTCACTATTACCTACTTCTCCTCAAAGATACGGCCAAGCCCCTCACTGTAGTGCAGCAGAACTGTCCGGAGATATTTACCGCCAGCTCTCACTGCTTTCAACTACCTCTTCACTATAAAATCACACCACCAACGCTCCCATTAAGATTCATGGAGGGCCTTCACAATGGAGATTGCGACTCAGGTATGCGAAAGAAAGCACACAAATTGCTTCGTGCAGGCGGGGCCACCTCCCATGCTGTGGCACGAGGAGAATGTACATATATCAAGATAGACAGGAAATTAAATAATATTTTAAAAGTAAACGGGGATCAAAGTCAAGCAGACATAATCCAGACTAAGGCTGAGATGTGCACTGCTAAAGTGCACTGTGCCGGCAGATTCTGCAAAGCACATCTGAGAGTAAGGGACAAGGTCAGTGTGGCATTTAACCGTTCTTTTGGAAATGTCTGTACAGGGGGAGAGAAAGGGTTAATAGGCAGACCAATAGAAAAGCCAGAGGCGGAGCCTACCTGTTTTTAAAAGGCTTAGCCAGAGGTTTAGACAGTTGGGAAAGCAGTTGGAAGACAGATGGAAATAGAGAGACTGTTAGTGCAGTTGGTTCTTGTGTGAGGGGAGGTAGAAGAGTTAGAGATAGGATAAAATAAGACTAAGAGGGTAAAGGGTAACAGTGTTTTGAATGCATTTAAAGTTTATGTGTGTTTGCAATAAATTACAATCTTTGTTGTTAACTTGAGAACCCGACTGAGACTAAGTGATTTACCGGGGAGAACCTGGTTGGTGGCAGCAGATTAGTGGTGTACGGGTCAATAGTTCGTGAGACGACCGGGGGCTCCATACGAACGCCATAGCCGGCTTGCTCTGGCTTGCAGATGGCGGGGGCAGAGAGAGGGGTCACTTGGTGTTGGACCTAGACTTTGAACAAGGAGGCAAATGCCGTGACTCAGCAGGGACTAGCAAGAGGATATTCCTCACAAGTGGGATCTTCTAAACAAAGCTGGTCAAAAAAGCAATAACAACAGATCGTTCCTATCGTTCAGTCAAGGGAAGGAAAGGACTTTTCCTTTTGAATGACTGGACACGGGAGAAAATGTTGACCCCCTAAAACCTGTCCCAACGAAAGCCTAACCCTTTCACAACATACAGGTAGAATTCAAGTATCTTTTGCATAAAGCGGCTCATTGGCTGGGGCCCTCCCGGTAAGGCTGTACTGCAGCCGGCAATGGCCCAATGGTCAGGGAGCGATGGAGGATGAGAATCAGGCAACACCTGGAGGACCACTGGGATAGGACTGTGTACGCTATGAGAAGGAAATCTGATGGGGGAGGTCAACTACGCAAATCACGAAGGCTCAAAGCAGTGTTATTTTTTTTAAAAAAAAAATCACATTGGTCCCCAAGAGAGTAAAGTGCTTTCCCCACCCACCCAAATTTAGGCTCTTACAGCAGCATGTGCTGGGTTGTTTAAGAGCAGGCAGGGAGGAAGGGAAGGAAGCAGACTATCAGTTTTACAGAGCACAATGAGGGGCAGTATGACTGCGCAGTCTGTCCTGGAAGAGAGAAGCCACAACTTAAGTTATCTCCAAGAGCAATGGTTAAAAGTGTGTAAGTGTGTGTGTGTGAATATAAATAACACTTTCTGTAGAGGGTTCTCATAAATAAAAGGCAATCCTTCACGATTCAAGCTGTGGTGAGTTCCCGCAAAGCTGCCCTGGTGCTTCCAGTAGTCTTGGCAACAAGTGGCTGCCGTCCTCTCGCACTTGTTGTGTTCTCTGTCTCCTGCTCTGCCGCCACCGCTCTCTGCTTTATGTACAACAAGGGTTATCAATGACCAGCATGACATCGATGCCATAGACTTCCAGTAGGTCCATGAGGAAGCTACGGTCGCCTTGGGGGTCCAAGCCCATTCCTCGGGCGTGGTCAGCTGTCAAGGTCTTGTCCTGGCTGGCTGACACCTCCATCAGCGTCTGGAATATCCGGTTGTTCTGCTCCATGAAGAACCTTCAGAGATAATGCAAAATGGAGATGTGTGAAGCCCAAAGCAGATCCAGCACCCCTCTTTGATACACTACGTCAGCCTTCTTTTCTCTTTGTTTTGGTTTAGATTCGTGGGGTTTTTTATTGCAATGTATTAGGAGAAGTTTTAATAGAATCTTACTTTTAAAAAAATAATGGAAAAAATGAAAAAAGTAGGGATACGCAGACCTTCAGGCTCTATTTTTTACTAGGACTGCCAGAACCACCAACAGGAATGTACTGCAAAAACAGAATGAGAGGATTTTGAGCCTCGGAATTTTGTTTTGAGTTCCAGAATTCAATAGACCTCACAGTCCTCCCACCCACAAAAAAACAGTATGGCTTGGGGGAAAACTGGGTGCTGCTGCCCTTTTGTTGCCACTATTGCTAAACAACTGGGAGCCCCAAACTATTGGTGATCTGCCACACATCTCCCATGTATCACTACCAGTAAATCCCGTGCCAGCTACTGCCCACCCCTGCTCTGAAGAATCCCACATGAACAACTCACAGGATAAAAAGGTCCTCTTCACAAGAACTGCAGTCTCCGTCCACTTCCTGGGAGTACATCAGCATCTGTCTGAATGACAGAGAAACACAACTGTCACATCAAAACTGCTGCCTCTCGAATGACTCCTCTAGAGACTTCCAAAGGCAATTCCAAGTGATGCCATTGATCTACAAAGATCTGAAGAGCTTGTGAGCCTTGTATATCTAGGGGACCAACCATCTCTTTCCCTATATCCCAACTTGCCCCAAGATGACCAAGGCCACACAGCAGAAGTGGGGGACCTTAGGCCTGGGTGCAAAATGCAGCCCTCTGGGCCTCTCTGCCTGGTGTTCAGGACTCTTCCAGGACCACACCCCCTATTCCCAGGCTACACCCCTCAGTGACCCTCCTCTGGACCCTCCTTGAGTATTCTTCTCTGGGTGGAGGATGGAGATACGAGTGTGGGTATCTCTAGCTTTTACTGTATCGAGGTAAGAGTCACACCTGTGACTCCACCCACTTTTACCTCTAGCCCATTACCTGCGTTACCCTGAAGGTTGTGCATGAGGAAATTTGGCCCTCAGGCTGATGAAGGTTCTTCATCACTAAACTACAGCAAACAGATGAGTATTTGGTGAACGTCTACAGCTAGGGAAGTCTAAGTTCAGAAAAGCACACTAATTTGTTTTTTTATAATTAATTTTCACGTTTCTGGTCTTAAGACCAGTCATTCCAGAGACCTCCAAGGCTACATATGCTCTGGGGTCCAGATGAAGTGCTCAGAAGTTGGGAAGAATCCGGAAACAATGTCCCCACACTCAAGCCATGGGGAGAATTCACCAGGGAAAGCTTCTGCTGCTGCTACCTCTGATCATTAAGCCTCCGGTACTTTTCTTTGTCGGCGCTGTTAATTTTCAGGAGCGGCTGCAGATGCTCGTGGTGGGTCTTCACATTCTGGTTATCCACGTAGACGTCGTACAGATCCCGCTTCTCCTCAAAGATTTTCTCCGTTGTGCCTGCAGGAAACAGACGAAGAGAACGGGTTGGGCCCAGTCTACGTTAGTGAAATCGGTATTCATAACCATCAGTTTATTTGTATGCCACTCTGCCACAAAGTATCCCCACATGCAGCCTCCTACACACACAATGAAACAGCACAGTCCTAGAAAATGCTGCCCATGATCCCTTAGGTACCCACTGTTAAGGCAAGGCTCCACGAGGGGGGTGGAGGGTGGTAACATGAGAACAGGCCTTCTCTGCAGTGGCTCCCCATTGATGGAATGCTCCCCCCGGGAGGTTCGGCTGGAACCTTCATTATACAGTGGTACCTCGGGTTACAAACGCTTCAGGTTACAGACTCCACTAACCCAGAAACAGTACCTCAGGTTAATAACTTTGCTTCAGGATGAGAACAGAAATTGCGCAGTGGCAACGGGAGGCCCCATTAGCTAAAATGGTACCTCAGGTTAAGAACAGTTTCAGGTTAAGAACGGATGTCCAGAACGAATTACGTTCTTAACTCGAGGTACCACTGTACACCTTAGGTGCCAGGTGAAAACATTCCTCTTCAACCAAGCCTTTGGCTGATTGACATTGATTTTAAATGTGTTGTGGGAGGGGGGATTCTTGGTTTGTTATTGTTCTTACTTTTATTACAATTTTTGTATTTTAAATTTTGTAATTTTGTGTTGTGAACTGCCCTGAGATCTACAGATGAAGAATATAGCATTAACTATTAATTATTATTATTAATAATAATACTGTATGTAACAGTTTCTTCTTGACTTCAGCCCAAACCCTTGCACAAGCAGAGCTGGAGAATCTCGGGGTGACAAAGCAAGCAAGCAAACAAACATGTGCCTATAGAAAAGGTGTGAGGAACCTTTTTCGGCCTCGGCTGCACTGCATCATGGGAAATCTTCTGGGGGCCACATTCCAATGGTTGGCAGGGCCAGAAGGAAAAGTGGGTGGAGTAATGGGTGTGGGTCTTACTACTGTTGTACAACACACTACCTTTCAAGCACACAAAAGCCAGAGGGTCCTATGCATGCACGCTCTTCTTTCCATCATTCATCCTGGCAAGCAAGACTCAATGTCACAGTTAAGGTGCCTGTTCCAGCCAGGCAAAACGGTACTGGAGGGTGCAGAGCAGGGCCAGGAAGGGGCGTGGCCTCAGGAAGAGTAGTGAGGGCGCGGCTAGAGAGGCCTGGAGGACTGTCCCCGCCCCCTTGCATGGGATGCTTCATACTTACAGGCCACATACGACACTTCCGTCTCCAGCATTTCAATGTCAGCCACGTTGACGTAGAAGAAAGGCTTGGACTCAGGAACAGTCCCACCGATTCCAGGCAAGGAGACATTGGCAAGGCAGCAGCAGCAATAAACTGCAGACAAGGGCAGAGAGAAGGCAGTGCGTCTACATGGCATTGTCTTCGTCAAAATGCTACCCCATATCCCTGCTCCCTTGTCTTTAATACAGATTCACCGTTTCCTTTTTATTTATTTGTAACACACTGGATTTTTGGTAGAAACTGTACAACTGGATTAAAACTTTGGGGTGTTTGTGTGTGTGTGTGTGTATATACACACACACACACACACACACACACACACACACACAGGTAAAGGTAAAGGGACCCCTGACCATTAGGCTCAGTCATGGCCGACTCTGGGGTTGCGGCACTCATCTCGCTTTATTGGCCGAGGGAGCCGGCGTACAGCTTCCAGGTCATGTGACCAGCATGACTAAGCCGCTTCTGGCGAACCAGAACAACACACGGAAACGCCGTTTACCTTCCTGCCAGAGTGGTACCTATTGATCTACATGCACTTTGACGTGCTTTTGAACTGCTAGGTTGGCAGGAGCAGGGACCGAGCAACGGGAGCTCACCTCGTCTGGGGATTTGAAGCGCCGACCTTCTGATCGGCAAGTCCTAGGTTCTGTGGTTTAACCCACAGCGCCACCCGTGTCCCTATCTCTCTCTCTCTCTCTCTATATATATATGGCATTTTGATGAGTACAATGTTGTGCGGATGCAAACCTTGCATGCACAAGCAACACCAAGTCTGTAAACAAACAGTCATGTGGAGGCACTCATTGTTTCTGAAACAGCTGCCCTCATGAGCAAATAGACACAAAAAAATCCAAATGCTATTTTTGTCTTATCATCAAATCTTTTATTTTTTTAAAAAAACTCTTGTTGGTTTTTAAAACAGGAGAGTTCTTTATATGAAACAATTTATGAGTTATCGGTAAGAAGATCCTTTCCACAAGACACAGTGTACCAACTAAAATCAAGGACTCAGCTAAGATTTATATGATTAATGAACAGCTCTACTTTCTCACCTACGGAGCACAGAACATGTGCTTGGTTCCTCCCTGTCCATTATGTGCAAAACTCAACAAAGAGGTGTCACAGTAAGGTGACAATCTTATACCCACTTACCTGGCAATAAGTCCCACTGAATTCAATGCTACTTACTGCTGAGTAGGCAAAGGGTTGCACTGTAAAACGTAAAAAAGCCCTAACTAGGGTTAGGAGAGCTGGAAAAAAATTCACATCTGGCAACCAATGGTTTCAGATAGCACATGAGTAGACAAGTCTAAAAAGCCCAGGACACAAATTTTCATGGCCCTCTAGCAGCTGTGGCAACTCATTTACCAATAGTAATGTATTTATTTTAGTAGCAATGTATATGTGTGTGTGTGTACACACACACACACACACACACACACACACACATAAAGGTAAAGGGACCCCTGACCATTGATGCTTTTGAATTATGGTGCTGGAGGAGACTCTTGAGAGTCTCATGGACTGCAAGAAGATCAAACGTATCCATTCTTAAGGAAATCAGCCCTGAGTGCTCACTGGAAGGACAGATCGTGAAGCTGAGGCCCCAATACTTTGGCCACCTCATGAGAAGAGAAGACTCCCTGGAAAAGACCCTGATGTTGGGAAAGATGGAGGGCACAAGGAGAAGGGGACGACAGAGGACGAGATGGTTGGACAGTGTTCTCGAAGCTACAAACATGAGTCTGACCAAACTGCGGGAGGCAGTGGAAGACAGGAGTGCCTGGCGTGCTCTGGTCCATGGGGTCACGAAGAATCAGACACGACTAAACAACAACAAATGTATTTATTGTTAACTCTGGAATTACATATTCTGTTCTGACCAAACTAAGCCTCTCAGGAGGCTTTTGCTCTGGGTAAATGAGTCAGCATAGCCTCTAGAAGGCGGTGGAAATTTGTGTCCTGGCCTACCATGTACTATCTGAAACCAGAGGGGTGAATAGGTTGTCAGATGTGACAACCTGCGGATTAGCATTCAGATTGTTTGAAATGCAGCCCCTGTTTTGTTCTGGCTGCAGGCATTTCTTTTCTCTCGCTGCATTTTGTGGTTTTGCGTTTGCTGTCTCAAACCAGCAGCAATTATCTTGTGTGGATTACGTTTTATTCACAGTTTCATGCACCACTTTGGAATCTGTTGGTGCAGGGCATTTAGAAAGAAACATTTCAAGCAAACAAACAGCAGAGGGGAGAAACTTTCACCGTGCGTGATTTGATAACACGGACCAAATCTCCCATTTTCTACGTACCTCTATAGCAGACCACCCCGACAGGAGGCGGGGAAAATATCAAAATGCGTTTCCGAAGCAAGGCGAACTTCCAGAGAGTCAGGATCTGCTCGCCAAAGAACTTAATGAACTGAGACATGCAGCCTGCAGGGTGCGTGATCTGCAGCCAGATAAAAAAACAGAGCAGGGAGTTAGCAGCGAAACAGAAACAAGATGGCTCCCATTTTTGCTGCTGAGGTGATGACTGCTAAAAACAAACAACAGATCCGAGAAAGGGGAGGAGAAGTACCCTGGAGCTTCGAATGTCCAGAAACTTCTATCCTTTCAGGCAAACAGAAGCAATGAACCACACAACTCACTTTGCAACCTTGGGCCAACACCCTCTCTCTCAGCTTATCCTAACACACAAGGTTGTTAGGGTACATTGCGGAAGATGGGGAAGATTCATGTACGTCGCCCTGAACTCTTTGGAGGAGGAGATGGAGGTGGATAAAAATGGAACAAACAAACAAATAAAAACACTTTTCTGTAGAACACCTGCTCTACTCCTCGTTGTGCATTAGAGAAGTAAACTGGGTGATAGAGTGCACTGAATTTCCCAACTTTCCAAATTCCAAAATGAGAGCTGCTAAAAAGTTGTAACCTAACTTAGGAATTCAAGATATTTTGGTTAAATTAATATAATTTGGTTTTGCTTAGTAAGTAAAATATGTGCAAAATTGCAGAGAAATCATTAAAAAATGATTGCCAAGTACTTACAGTTGTATATATTAATAATTATTATTATTTATTTAGCAGTACATGACATCTTCATAAGGCAAAACTAAAATTATTCGGTTTTCCAAAAGCAGTTTACGTGCTTCTTCAACAAACATAAGACTAACCAAGCTAAATGTGCCCAGTCACAAACATAATGTCAGTTTTGAATTACTAACATCCAAAAACATTTTTAAAGGCCCCTCACAATGAAGAAATTTGCAAAAAAATAAGTTTGATGCCCTACTGTCACAGAATGCAAGAGGCCTCCAGAGATCCATCTTAGCCGCTAGCTAAAGCTACTTCGTGGCATCTGACCAGTGTGGATCATTGGCACGCTCTGCCTTCATGCGAAGCTCAATAACCGCAGCCTATTTCTCACCTTCATCTCTGGGTACATGTATCTGTGGATGGAAGGCAGCCAGTGGACGGTTTGCTGGGAAACAAGAGTGCCAGCAGGGAGGACCCCTTTCTTGTCGTCATAAAACGCCTCCAGGTGAGAGTAATGCCCTGGCATCTCCAGCTGATGTCTGTAAGGCAAGCAGAAAAGCAAGTCACAAAGGGAAACCAGAGAACAACCCTCCATTCACAAGCCAACGCTAACAGTTTTGCATTAGTGGCACCTGCTGGTCCCTCTTGCTGGTCCCTCTTTGGTGGTCACATGATTCCTTTCCTATAAGAACACAGGAAGAACCTGCTGTTCTCACAGGGAGCAACCAGATGCCTACGGGAAGCCAAAAAGGCAGGACCTGAGTGAAACAGCACCCTCCCACATGGCTCCTGGTGCAGGCCAGCTTCCAAGCTTAAGCACCTGGTGGCCTAAACAGTAGCATCCAGCCTCCATGCATGCGTCTTTTCAGTGCCGTTATGTATTTCACTTACGAATTGCTTCCTACGAGGCACATTGTGGTGGTTTGCAATGAAACAAGAGCGCGTTGCAAACAATCGCAAACATAAAAACAGTCAAAACGACTGCATTTATAAAAGCAAAAAAGGCATTGTGCATAACACCATTAAAACTCCAATTACATATATATACAGTGGTACCTCAGGTTACATACGCTTCAGGTTACAGACTCCGCTAACCAGAAATAGTGCTTCAGGTTAAGAACTTTGCTTCAGGATGAGAACAGAAATCGTGCTCCGGTGGCACGGCAGCAGCTGGAGGCCCCATTAGCTAAAGTGGTGCTTCAGGTTAAGAACAGTTTCAGGTTAAGAACGGACCTCCGGAACGAATTAAGTAGTTAACCCGAGGTACCACTGTAATTTGTTTCATGTTCAGTACATATACCAACAACATTCACTTGGGAGGCTTGTTAGAAAGAGAAGAGTCTTCAACAAGTGCCTAAAAGACAACAGAGGTGATCTGACTTCTACGCGTCCCCGCTGGAAAATGACTTGGCAAAGCGGGTCATCCAAGTCACATCTGAAACCATCCCAGAAAAGCCACCACGGCATTCCAGCACGAACTAAACATTTCTCCCGAACCACTTTATGGTCCAGTAACAACCTCCCTCCCATTCTCCCTTTTTTTTCTAATAACGTACCTGACCTGGTTCTCCAGGAAGTGCATGTATCTATACAGCAGGGTGTAGGAAGGAGAAAGAATCCCCACGGACTTCATCCGAGCGCCACGCTCTAACTCGCTCTCCACAGGCATGTTGGCAAAACAGGCCAAGCCGAAGCAAAGGCCTTTCCGGAAGTAACTGGAAAGGAAGATGGAATGCGAATAAATAGGCAAATTGGGTGGGGGAGGCATGCAGGGAAAGCAGGATGGAGACATGGTACTTCCTGGATTGCAGGGGGTTCGACTAGATAACCCTCAGAGTTTCTCCCAACTCTACAATTCTATGATTTTTCCAGATACGCATGTGTGTGTGCTAAAGACGCACTGAATTTGGACGCAAATCGCATTTGCTTGCTTTCCAGAACAGCAGCTGGATTGGTCTGTTGTGCTAAAAGAAAATCTCTCTGCCTAGTTCTCCGAGAGTTACTCCACGAAACCAAGTTGGCCTTACTTCAGAGTAGACCTGCCCAGGACTAGGAAATTATTATTATTATTTATTATTATTTATACCCTGCCCTCCCCGGACAGAGCCGGGCTCAGGGCAGATAACACCGGTAAAATTACAGTAAGAACATACTAGGGGGTGGGGGAAACAATTTAAAATACAGGTTAAAATGCAATTTAAAATGCATCCTCATTTTAAAAGTAGCCCATAGATCAAAACCATAAGGGTTCTAATTTGAGAGCACCATGATGAGAGTTGAAGGAGGGCAGTCTTTATGCTGGGCTAGTTAATCCAGAACGTTTAGTCTCTGGGCTCTCCCCATCATCAGCTCTGGCTCTGCTCACAACTAAAGGGCTGCCTCCAACGGGTAACTCCATCTGCATCAACCAGGGCACTGGTGGGGGTGAAGGGTATATCTGTGCACAGGGCAAACCTTCCCCACCCCCCCACCCCGTCGCCCAAAAGCCCTTGCAATATGCACTCAAACAGGGGAGTAAGGGCGGGGTATAAATTCAACAAATAAATGACTATATAACGAATATACCCTGTTAGTTTACAATGGTAACCGCCTCGTCCATTTCATCAGGGGCAGTCTGTGTCGTGTGCTTTCTGGACAATGGAAGGACACGCACAATTGAACAGCGCAAGCAGGACCCTGGGGACGTTTTGTACACTCACATGAAATCCGACTGAACTTTATGGGACCCGCTGGCCATGGATTTGAACTCGACGCCTTCCAGGTCAATGTCTTGCGGCAAACACCACTCAACCATGTTACCTGTGGAGGAGAGGGGAGAACGCAGCATGAACACACACCTGGACACAAACACCAAGGCAATTGGCCCGAACGTATTATGCAGACATGCCTACAACAGTCAAAGCCAGGTCACTAATTCTGCTAGCCGTGGGCAGGAAGAAGAGGCTACGAATGGCAAACTGCTCCTCAACTCAACAGTCCCACACCAACCTCTCAGATCCAAACAGAGTGGCTGGGGAAACCCAGCCAGACGGGCGGGGTATAAATAAATGATTATGATTATTATAGAGCAGAAAGAGACGGGAAGCAGGGCCACTCCATCAGCTCAGCTGAAAGAAGAACAGTTTTTGCCTCCTTCCCTCCTTGAACAGTTTTCCATTGCTGCTGGTCTTTACAAGCACTCTGTAAATAAGATATAATGCCTGAGCTCGCTTTCACCCCCTCCTCCTGCCCAATCCCTTTTCCTCTTGTGTCGTGTCTTTTAAACTGCAAGTCTGGGGGCAGGAGCTGATTTAATAGAGATATTTGAAAGGCACTTTGGGAGCCCTTTGTCAGCTGAAAAGTGGGGTTAAAATGTTTATATAAGTCCATCTAGTGCAATAGGGCTATCTCTGACAGGCCAGAACTCTCAAGGCAAAGATAGACTTTTGACTTGATCCTTTTAAACTGGAGATGCCATCTATCTTCCACATGGAAAACCTGTCTCTGCTCAGTCCTCTTGAGTTATAGTCCCTCCTTAAAATCTGTGCCTCTCCTGCGCCTTATCCCCTTTCCTTTTGGCCTTGTCCTTTTAGTTATCTTTACTGATTACACAGTTATCCAGCCCTTCATCAGAGGAGCTCGTGTCATCCTCACAACCCCCCAGTGAGGTAGGTTAGGCTGAGAAAATGATCGGCCCAAGGTCACCCAGTGAGCTCCACGTCTGATGACAGGAGCCAGCCACCAGTAAATCACACTGAGCAAGTTGGAGTTGACTCTTTATTAGCAAAAAACAGGGTCTGCACAGGAGTGCCAGGCCTAATGAGAACAACAACTCATCTGGGTTCGGTCTTGCCCCCATGAAGCAGTTGAGGAGACTGCAGGCCCCTGCCTCCCCACAGCTGCCTAAGTCCCCTCTTCTCCAGGGTTTTCCCCATGCAATCTGAAACTGTGCCTGTGTGAAGCTAACTTCTCAACCCTTTCCATGCCTCTTTTGGTTCTGGGAGACCAAGGGGGAAGGGAGGGAGCTAGTTGCAGCAGGAGAGGGAGAGACCTGTGATTCCTCACCAGCTCTGGCTCTTGGCCTGCCTTATCTCCATCCTCTGCTTCTGCCTCTGATTCTGGACTGCTCTCTGTCACAGCCTCTTCCTGCTCACTAAGTCCTGTTATCTCTTCAGCCTCTGACACCTCCTCTTCCCAGTCTGCTCCCTCTTCTCCATCTGCCCACTAATCGTTGTCCCACCACCACTCCCCAGGCTCTGAGTCTTCTTCCCTTGGGGTTCCCCAACTGTTGCCCCCCACCACTCCTCCGCATCCAACCAGTCTATCACACCCGAGTTGGGATTTGAACCTAGGTCTCATGGTCATGATTTGACACTCTTAACCAGGCATAGGCAAACTCAGCCCTCCAGATGTTTTGGGACTACAACTCCCATCATCCCTGACTTCTGGTCCTGTTAGCTAGGGATGATGGGAGTTGTAGTCCCAAAACATCCGGAGGGCCGAGTTTGCCTATGCTTGCTCTTAACCACAGTATCAGACTGGCTTTCCACACCACACCACCACCTGGGTGAACTTAGTCACAAGGGTGACGTACATTGAAGGTTGCCTCTTACGAAACCTAGCTCCACCAAAAACACAACATTTTTTTCTCCAAGAGAGACTGCGAAGGCTGATCCTCAAAATAGACACTGCCACACTCAATACTTTTCAAGGTGAAACATGACCAGCATAGCAAAGGGTGGGGAAAATACTTGAAAAGCACCCATTGCAACGGTTGTAAATTTTAGCTGATGATTGCAGGCCGTTTATCTCAGATGGGCAGAAATAATAAGCTTAGATTCTAGGCCCCCAAAAGTAACAGCTTTATTTTCCCTTTTCCAATCCTCTGCCCTAAAAAAAACAACAACCCTGTATCCACTGGGATCCGTACACTGGAAAAGCTATCAAGCCCACAAAGATGTCAATAGCCTTGCTATTATGTCGTTGCCAATTGGGTTGTGTTTTATATAGAAATTTCTCATTGCATGCGCAAATATCGATCAATAAAATTATATTTAGCTGCTGAAATCAAGCGTTGCCTATCATGTTCCTTCAGGAGCCTGAGTAAGCCCTGGGCCTAGTTAAGCAATATTATTTGCTTCACGGAAAGCAAAGCTTCATACATTCAGCCGTCTTAACTTAGTAGGTAGAAGAAAATTATTATTACAGAAACCACACTCTCTTTCTCCCAAGAGCTGCCTGTTTAACATGCATCATCTTTCATTCTGGTACCTAACTACTTCACTTGAGAAGCTGTGCCTCACCTCAAGCAAGCGGCCTCCTTCTGATTCCTCCTTTTACAACAAAATACACTGAAGAACATCTGATAATTCAGGGATGGGGAACCTGCGGCCTTCCAGATACTACTGGAGTCCAATTCCCATCAGTCCCAGTCAGCATTGGCAAATAGGTCAGGAATAATGGGAGTTTATTTATGTATTTATTACCCTGAAATCCCACCTTCTCCTTCAAGGAACTCAAGGTTCACCGTTCTCCCCACCTTGTTTAATCCCCACAACAGTGTTAGAAATTAGCCAGGGGCCAGGTACGTTTTGCGACTGGCGCAGGTCCAACTGCGACCAAGTTGAGATCTCTGGATGATAGCTTGGTGGCTGACATCTCCATCTGCCTGTTCCCCCCAAACTTTCTTAAGCAGGTAAGCAGAAGAGCTTATTTATTGCATTTATCTCTCACCTTTTTCTCCAAGGAGTAGTTGGTTCACCCCCCTCCTCAGTTAATCCCTACAGCAACCCTGGTAAAGAGGCTGTGACTGGCCCAAGGTCACCCAGTGAGCCTGAGTGGGGATTTGAACCATGATCTCCCATGTCCTAGCCCGACAATCTAACCACTACACCACACTGCCTTCCTAGGGTACTCCTGCTATGCGGCAGCTCTATAAATTAAGTAGGTAAATAGATATGGGGAAGGCAAAATGTCACTTAGAGAAGGAACTGAAATATTTTCCTGGAAGCTTGAATTTTATTCCGGATTGGTTTATTTGATGTCTGAATGTGTTGTAAACTGCTTTGAGGTTTTTTATTTAAAATATAAAGCGATATAGAAATGAAATGATTAATAATAAATTAATAATAATTCATTGCAAAAGAGAGAGAGTTGCCTAGACTAGACTAGACTAGACTTGACTATCTAGGGATGGCAGGCTTGTTGGTTTTGAATGTCTTATGTAGATTTTTTTTTTCCAATTTCGTTGTTCTGTATGGGACAATGACAATAAAGATTATTGTATCATATCGTATCATATCAACATTCCCTTGTAGTGACATTAATTAGTGTTTAAGGTGGCATTTGGGAATTAGCTTATCTATCTGAGTTTGTAACATTGCTCTGCAAGGTAGGTTAGGCTGAGAGGCAATGAATGACCCACGGTTCTCCAGTGAGCTTCCCTGACTCTGTCTTGCTGGGAGTTGCACCAGTTTTCCGAAAGCTTTGGAGATGAACAGCTGGGTGTGGGAAGCGGAGAGAGGAGCTTGTTTGCCAGGATGAAATGCTCAGCTGCCTGGAGCGTTATCTCACCTCCAAATTCGTGTTTGTCTTAAGCAGAACAAACACAAGGAACAGGATAGGGAGGTAGGAAGGAAGAATACTGACGCTAAACAGGGCTGTGGTGGCAACTTGTTAAACCACTTAGCCGCATCTCTGCCTCCTATGGGTTCAAATTCTGGCACTCTCATCCTTTCTGTTTAACTATAAATGAAAACCTGATCTTGATTAGAGGTGTGGGTTTTTCTTGCGGCTGGGGCGGGGGGCAGGGATGAGAGACGAAGTGGTATAGTAAACTGTTCAAAACTGGTGCTTTAACTGCACCAGTTCAACAGGTGGAAGACAGCTAGATTTGGAACTGGGTGACCAGATGTATAAACCACTTATTCTCTTGTTTCAATTTGTATTCCGCCTCTCAACCTGAAGGCTCCTAAGGTGGTACACAACACAACATTAAAATATGCATACCGACCCCCCCCCAATAAATAAAAATAATAAAAATAGCAAAGAACCAAATTTACAGACAATCTGACAGAAATACAAGTTCTCATAAATGGAATCAAGAGAACAAACAAGCAGCCTGGGCATTAAAGCCCAGGAACTGCCGGGTAGACCTTTCTCCCCCCTCCCAAATCCTGAAAAATAGTGTGTCCAATGCTTGGGAAACATTTATCCCTTTCCTGCTCTCCCCCCCCCCTCCCCCCGGCCCGGCAGGCTCACATGAAGTCACTCCTTTGTTTGCTCTTTGTCTTGCCCAACTGATTTGTATCTCTCCCCACCTACTCACCCAGACGCACATTTTTCTTGCCACGTCACCCATTTCACGCTCATGGAGCAAGGTGCTGAGGCAATCCCTTGCCTGGCAGACGCAGGTAAGTTTGGCTAATGGCGCCTAACAGATGGTCAGCCTCCTCTGGGAAAGGCATTTTCTCACCAAGTCACACCAAGTGTGTGTGTGTGATATATAACATGCCAAGTAGGTAGACGTGTGCTGTGTCAAGCAAGCTCAGTGCTTTAATTAGAAGCCTCCTAAGTCATTAGATTTGTTTGCTTTGAGGAGGACACAGCTGTTTGAAACAAGAATGAGGGTGCATGTTTTTTTGGCCATTTGGGGGTGGTGGGGTGGGACGGGATCACTGAACCTACACCCTCGCTCCCTCATTTGAACCTGGTTCATAAAAGCTAGATTATTATAAATGCACTTCTGGCAGTTTCCCCATCACCTTCACTGAGACAGGATAAGTAACCCTGGGGCTGTTCTGACATAAAGCCAAAATATAGTTTGGACATCACATGAGTGGGCATTAGGCCAGTGTGTTTGCTTCCCTCACTCCCCTCATGTCTGGAGATAATCACGTCCTATTTGGGTTTCTTGCAAATCATAGTTTCCTGGTTTTTGTCCAAACAGGCAAACCATGGTTTCACACGCCTGCAAACCAGGATAGCCTTAAGAGAGAAAAGGGAGAGGAGGTTGGGCGTGAGGCTCCTCAGGACTCAAACTTGGGATGCGTCTGAAATAATCTATTGCCTTTGCGACAGATTGGACTGCTCCTCAAAACAGGTTTTCACCCAAACCCTGAGTTCAAGAGTCACAAACTCAATGAAACAACAGTTGCTGGAAACCATAGGAGAGGAAAGTGCCCTTGTACTCAGGTGATGCTTGCAGGTTTCCCATAGGTATCTGGTTGGCTACTGTGAGAGCAGGATGCTGCATGGGCTCTGGCCTGATCCTGCAGGCTCTTATGTTCTTATTGCATGTTCAATGCCATATGTCAGCTAAGCAGTGCAACAATATACAGTGGTACCTCGGGTTAAGAACTTAATTCGTTCCAAAGGTCTGTTCTTAACCTGAAACTATTCTTAACCTGAGGTACCATTTTAGCTAATGGGGCCTCCTGCTGCCGCCGCGCCGCCGGAGCACGATTTCTGTTCTCATCCTGAAGCAAAGTTCTTAACCCGAGGTACTATTTCTGGGTTAGCGGAGTCTGTAGCCTGAAGCGTCTGCAACATGAAGCATCTGTAACCCGAGGTACCACTGTATGGTATGCTACCACAGAGATTTGAAGGTAGAGAGGCTTGGCTATTATGCATTATTCTCCAGTCCTGCACATGGCAGCATTGAAAGGGAAACCACAATGATGGGAGGCTGAGGAATCCCTTGGTCTTTTTCTGTTTTTATAGCTGCTCCATGCAGTCGTCCAATACCTGGTGTCAGTGACAGCAAAGCATCAATCAGCAAGAGGGAACTTGCGCACATGGGTCTAATAAGGTCCTCCAGACTCCCCACATCAGGCCAAGCCACAGTCCAATATAGGCTGAAGCTGACCCAGATGGAACCAACCCAAAATATTTTGCAACCCAAGTCCAAGCAGTGAATGGTGCCTTGTTTCCAGTCAAAGCGCATGGCACACAAAGCCAATCAAAACATTTTGGCACCGCAAGCAGAAAAGTCCACAAAAGTCTCTCCCATTTCTCCCCGGCAGTGAAAATACAGTAATAATAAATTAAATAGTGAACAATTTGCTGCCCTTTCATAACTTCCAGAATCAACCACCTGAGGCGACTGCTTCATTCTGTCTAACAGTGGACTCAGGTAAAGGAAGGACAGGGGTCAGTGCATAGTTATTTCTTCTGGGCGGGGAAGAGAGGTCTTCTGCACTCTTCCCACAAACAGCAAATATCTGGGTCACACCTGCACTATACATTTGAAGCCTTATCGTGCCCCTTTAAACAGTCTTGACCCTTGGTTTCCCACAAGTGGTATCATACCAATTTAAATGTAAAGTGCAGACGAGTTCCCAGTTAAACTTTTCCTCTTCCCTCTTTCAGCTTCTGCCTCTCCCTTACGTTCTGCGGAATGCACACGCAACGATAAAGCCACAACAACAGTATTTACAAAATGGAGTGGCATGCGCATCGCTGAGGAGATGCACCCATAAATTACTCCCACAACCAGGGAGGATTTGATTTAAATCAAATCAATTTAAATCACGATTTAAATCATTAGTCAGTAAGACTTGATTTAAATCTTTTTTTCTTTTCTTTTTTACAAAAAGACTCATTCTTGCTGGTATAATCTTAATATTTACAACCAGAGGAAGGTTTCGTTTTTAGAATAATACATTTATATAAAAAATGACTGATTTGGTTATACTATTTGTCAGGGAACTGCCATCGGAAGGAAGGGAGGTGAAAGGGCTCACACAGGTTGGGAGAGACTCAGCAGCTGAAGAGGGAACCAGTAGGGGGAGAGGAGCGGAGCTGAGGGAAAGTGAGCTGGAGGGATGGCTCAGAGACACTTCCAGCGAAAACAGTGGAGAGGTTTCAGGACCTCCTGTAGGAACACCCACTCCTCGCCGGAAACTGTCACGCAGAGAGTCCAGAAGACGTGTTTCCGTTAAGGAGCTTTTATGTTGGAAGCGATTCCGAAAGCAACCACTGTCGGAATCTGCTAGTGACTAGAGGAGCCATGTCTGAGGGGCTCCGTCACAGACAGAGGTTTGTGGACTTGAACAAACTCTGAGGGGATACTATTTTACGCACAAGCAGCTCATCATCCCATCACAGCATTCCGACAGTCTTTGAAAGCAGCTTGTGCAGGAGAAGGCATCATGAGCAACCCAGCCGGAACCGGAGAAGCAGGAGCTGGAGCGGGTCCAAGCCTGGAAGAAAGGTACCGGGTGTTGGAGGTCCAGCTAGCGCTGCAGACGGCGAGGCTTGAGGAGAGGAGGGCTCAGGATGCAGACAAAAGGGGAAAGCCACCCAGCTCGCCAGAAAGGTACCAGGATTGGTGCAGAAGTTTGGGGGGGAGCCCAAAGACTATCATGGCTTTCGGACAGAGATGCAATATGCCCTCAATCTGCAGTTTGATGAATTCCCTGACGAGGAATCACGAGTGGCTTTCATGATTGGGCATCTTGAAAAGGGGGCGAGAGACTGGGTTAGACCCCTGATGGCAGCGAATAGTGACGTACTAAAGGACACGATGAAGTTCTTTCGCGCCATGGATCTGATGTTTTCCAGCGATATTGAACAGGGAGTGGTGCGCAGACAGTTAATGGCTTGCAAACAGGGGAGCCGATCTGTCCGTGAGTACTGGACTGAGTTCACCATGCTAGTTCACAGATTGGGGTGGGACTTATCGGCGGAACCCATTCAAATGCTCTTTGAAGAAGGGCTTTCTTCGGCTGTGAAAGACGAACTTTCCCGGGCGCCCAGGGCGGAGTCTATGGACCAGCTGACCAAATCAGCGCTGACCATAGGAGCGCCAGGAGGCGAGAGCATTGGAGAGGCGGGAAGGGAAGGGGGAACGTTGGAAGGAGTTCCGCATTCCAGACATTCCAGAGCCAACTTTCCCGCCGGCAGAGCCGATGGAAATCGGAACAGCGCGCGCGCGCACATTCAAATCCCAGTGAGGGGGAAAGAAGGAGGGAAAACGCGCCCGGAAATGCTATCTCTGCCAACAGCCAGGTCACTTTGCCAGAGTCTGCCCTCAGAGGAAGGAATGGCAAGGGATGGTAGGAGCTGTGGAGGGAAGAGAGGAAGAAATACCGGAGCAAGTAAAGCCAACGCCTGGCTGCCACCGTCGGGGCACAGCAGCCAGGCCAAAGAGCAGTGAGAGTGCCCACGCCAGAACCTCCTAAACCCGCCCCTAGTGATAGAAGTGGCGCTAGAGCTGCCAAACGGACACCCTCTAAAGATAAAGGCGCTGTTGGACTCAGGCAGCTCCTGCAATTTCATGAGCAAAGAGTTTGCAGCTGAACACCAGATACAGACGATCCCTTTAAGCAACCCCCTGCAGGTGACCACGATCGATGGCAGGGAGCTGTTGGGAGGAGAAGTCAGCTTGCAGACCGTCCCAATGATAATGAAGGTGGCAAGGCACACCGAACTGATAGCGTTTAATGTGGCCACCTTGGGAGGAGCTCCCATTATATTGGGGATGAGCTGGCTAGCGTTACATGATCCGCTGGTGGGCTGGCATCAGAGAGTGGTTTCTTTTGGTTCAGCACATTGCTTAGAACACTGCAAAGAGGGAAAGGGTTTGGCAGGGGCCCAAGCCACCCTAGCAGGGACTGAAGTAACGGAGAACGTGAAGGTACCACGACAATACGCAGATCTCCGCGACGTCTTCAGCGAAAGGGAAGCTGACCAACTACCCCCGCATAGACCCTTTGACTGTCAAATCAATTTACCCCTGGGGTACAGCTCCCTGTAGGCAAGCTGTACGCCATGTCAGATAGAGAGATGCAGGAGCTAAGAGAGTTCATTGACAAGAACCTGAAGAGAGGGTTCATCAGAGAGTCCAGGGCGGTGGGGCAGCCCAGTGTTTTTGTGGATTAACAAAAGACGAACAAGCCGAGGCTGGTGTGTGACTTCAGGGCCTTAAATGCAGTGTCAGAACCAGTGGCCTTCCCTATGCCCAGGATTGACGACATTTTGACAAGGGTGCGGAAGGGAAAGATTTTCACAAAGCTGGACCTAAGGGGGGCGTACAACCTGATACGAATAAGGAAGGGGGGTGAATGGAAAACCACCATGTTCACCCCTTTAGGGGCATTTGAATATTTGGTTATGCCCTTCGGCCTACAAGCAGGCTCCGCATGCTTTCAATCGTTTATGAACCACGTCCTGGGGCCTTTGCTTTACAAGAATTGTGTGGCCTTCTTAGACGACGTGTTGGTGTATTCTGAGAATGAGGAGCAGCATGTGAGAGACGTCAGAGAAGTGTTGAGCAGGCTGCAAGCCAACCAGCTGTGGGTGAAACTGGAGAAGTGTCAGTTTCATACCAAGGAGGTGGAATTCCTGGGGTATCGCCTGTCAGACAAGGGATTGGCCATGGATCCCGGCAAGGTCCAGGCGGTGCTGGAATGGAAAACACCCAAAACAAGGAAGGATGTGCAGAGGTTCCTAGGATTTGGGAACTTCTATCGTAAGTTCATCCCAAACTTTGCCCACCTGACGGCGCCCATTACGGACTGTCTCAGCAGTAAGAAGAAGTTCGTTTGGACTGAGGAGGCGGAGCGAGCATTTGAGGAACTAAAAAGGGCCTTCGCCTCGGAACAACAACTCCTGCATGTGGATTTACAAAAACCGATGAGAGTGGAAACTGACGCATCAGACAGAGCGATTGGGGCGGTGCTTCTGCAGCCAGGGAAGGAGGAGTCAGAGTGGAGACCGTGTGCTTTTTTCGCGAAAGCTGAACAAATCCGAGAGGAACTACACGGTGTATGACCGAGAACTACTAGCCATTCATGAGGCGTTCCGGAGATGGAGGCACCTGCTAATTGGCGCACAACATAAGGTGCAAGTGTGCACTGACCACAAGAACCTAGAGTATTGGAGGACGGCACGAGTGCTCAACCAACGGCAAGTGAGATGGGCCCAGGAGTTCTCCAAATTTAACTTTGAGATTGGTTACGTGCCAGGCCCAGAGAACATTAGGGCGGACGCTCTCTCACGCAAACCTGAATATTTGGAGGGGAGGGAGCACCGAAGAGAGACATGTCATTCCAGAGGACCGCTGGGTGTGTGGGGCGGCATTGGTGGGACAAAGAGAACTGGTAGAGGAAACAGAGAATGATGAATACGCCCAGAATAAGCTCAGAGGTCTTAGGGGTGAGGGAGAGGAACCAGGGGGTTTCGAGGAAAGAAATGGAGCTTTGTATTACAAAGGGGCACTGTATATCCCTGAAGGAGACTTAAGGGGAGGGTACTCAAGCAGTTGCACGACAGCCCTACGGCGGGGCATTTTGGACAACACAAAACCATGTGGTTGGTCACCAGGGAATTTTGGTGGCCTAAGGTGAGGGAAGATGTACGTGAGTATGTAAGAGGGTGCGAGCAATGCCAGCGAGCCAAAGGAGAAAGGCGGGCGCCGGCGGGGCTATTAGAACCCTTACCAACCCCAGAACGACCTTGGGAGGCAGTGTCGATAGATTTTATGACTGATCTGCCGAAGTCCAAAGGGAAAACAGCCATCATGGTGGTGGTAGACCTACTAACAAAGATGTGCCACTTTGTAGCTTGCTCGCATGCAGTCACGGCGGAAGAGACAGCGAAGTTATTTGTAGAACACATTTTTAGGTTGCACGGGGTGCCATTGAGGGTGGTCTCAGACCGAGGAAAACAATTTACTTCCAGGTTCTGGAGGAAGCTCATGAGCTTACTGCAGGTGGAGGTCAATTTTTCGACTGCCCGGCACCCTGAAACCAACGGGCAGGCGGAAAGAGCAAACGGTGTCCTCCAGCAATACCTGAGGTGTTATGTCAATGACAGAGAGAATGACTGGGTAGAAAAGTTGGCGCTGGCAGAATTTGCCTACAACAATGCCGAGAATGTGTCCACAGGGATGAGCCCTTCTTGGCTAATTATGGGTGTCATCCCAGGGCTTTCCCAGGGGAGATGGGGAGAGATGGAGCGTCCCGGCAGCCGAGCATTTTGTGGAAGAAATGGAAGCAATCCATCGTCAGCTCCAACTCAACTTAGAAAGGGCGAAGGAAGAATACAAGAGGCAGGCAGACAAGAACCGAAGGGAAGGTGTAACCATAAGGGTGGGAGATAGGGTGTGGCTGTCAACCCAAGGGTTGCCGTTCAAAGGAGGTTGTAAGAAATTAAGACCCAGGAGGTTGGGTCCCTTTGAGGTCATTCAACAGGTCAACCCAGTGGCTTTCAGGCTCCGGTTACCCAACCACATGAAACTGCACCCAGTATTTCACAGGTCGTTACTGTCACCGTACGAAGGGGGACGAGAAGGGATGGCCACTCGGGGACCGGTCATAGAAGAAAGAGAATGCAGCAGCCATGTAGCAGAAATCCTCGACGCCAGGTGGAAGGGGGATCAGGTGGAGTATTTGGTAGCGTGGGAAGGAGAACCGGAGTCCGAAAACACTTGGGTAATGGCCGAAGATATCAATGACGAGGTATTGATAGAAACGTTCCATCAAAGGTTCCCAAGGAAACCTCAGCCGGTGGAGAGGTTCCGGAGGGAATACTTTGGGACCACTGATGAGGAGGAGGAGTTGGAAGGATTCCCGGACTCGGAAGGGGAAGGGAGATGGACTCTGAGGAGGAGGAGTACTTCGAGACCAGGAACCGCAACAGGTGGAGAGAAGTGTTCGAGACATCGGAAGATGAAGGAAGTTCATTCCGGGGTTTTGCCTCCTCACCGCCCGTAGAGGAGGGGGCGAGAGGGGGTGAAAGGGGCCCTGGAGGGGAGGTGGATGTCAGGGAACTGCCATCGGAAGGAAGGGAGGTGAAAGGGCTCACACAGGTTGGGAGAGACTCAGCAGCTGAAGAGGGAACCAGTAGGGGAGAGGAGCTGAGCTGAGGGAAAGTGAGCTGGAGGGATGGCTCAGAGACACTTCCAGCGAAAACAGTGGAGAGGTTTCAGGACCTCCTGTAGGAACACCCACTCCTCGCCGGAAACTGTCACGCAGAGAGTCCAGAAGACGTGTTTCCGTTAAGGAGCTTTTATGTTGGAAGCGATTCCGAAAGCAACCACTGTCGGAATCTGCTAGTGACTAGAGGAGCCATGTCTGAGGGGCTCCGTCACAGACAGAGGTTTGTGGACTTGAACAAACTCTGAGGGGATACTATTTTACGCACAAGCAGCTCATCATCCCATCACACTATTAGAAATACATAGAGAGATAATTGCGAAATTGTTTTGAGGTTTAACAAGTGAACTGTTTATATTTGGACAACTTTTCTGCTGTACTTTATTGGAAGGAGAAAATAATCATTTCCTTAATAACAATTTAAACAATTTAACTAACAATTTTAGTTCAGTTAAACCATTTATTTAACTAATGCAATAACATTATAGCATATGTATCCATGTTTTTGTTTGTTTGTTTGTTTTAAAAAAGCTTAGATGGAGTTTTAGCACACATGAAAAACTTAAAACAAATCCTTATTTCCTGATGAATAGAGTTTGGACTATAATGTAACTTAAATAGAAAACTATCTTTAGAAAGATTTTTCCTTCCGAAGCATTTTATTTTAAAAATCCGATTTAAATCAAAAAAATCTGATTTAAATAAAAAGAATCCAATTATTATTATTATTATTAATCATTGATTTTTATCCACCCTGCCCACAACCCTGGCACAAGTGCATTCCATACCGTACTCATAAGAGCTACGGACGCACTGACACTATGGGAAAAGAAAAACGCTTCCCACAACTAAACAAGGTAGTTTAAACAGCGGGGATTTGGGTATCACTGCAAGTTCTACCCTAAGGGAAGAGGTCTAGATCTTGGACAGGAGCACAATAGTCCCCTCCTACTGCAGTTCACCTGTAACTGGTATTTGTGCTGCCTCTGATACGTTCATACCGTACAGTTACACGCTTTAAGCAGCCATGGCTTTCCTCGAATAATCCTAGGAGCTGCAGTTTGTGACGGGTGCTGAGAATTGCTAGGGGACCCCTATCCCCCTGACAGAGCTGCAGAGTTCTCAGAGTTCTCTGCAAAAAAGGACTGAGTGCCAAACCACTCCGGGAAATGTTCGCTGCAAATGTGGCCACAGTCATCGTGAATAGTAGCCGCTGATACATAGGCTATGAGATTAACCCCACTCAATGGACCAGAATATGGTCTAAACCCCCCTTTAAATCCATATCAACGAAAAGAAAAGAACTCACACTGAAACTCACCTACAGGTGGTACCTAACACCAAGGAAACTAGCGCTAATACACCCAGGAACCTCACCAAAATGCTGGAGAGGGTGCACCTCCACAGGCACATACCTCCACATGTGGTGGGAGTTTCCCAAAATCCAACTATTCTGGACAACAGCCATACAAGAAATATGTAAAATAACTAAGCAAGTAATAGACATCACCCCAGAATTGGCCCTACTAAACATCTTCCAAGACAACAATGCCTATTTACACCACAAAGAACTCATAACCCACCTGCTCTCAGCAGCCAGAAACACCATAACCAGACACTGGAGAGACCTGTCAGGAGTAAGCATGGACCAATGGTACCAAATAGTATGGGAAACAGCCCTACTAGAAAAATTAACTAATAAACTGAAACTGACACGGGACAAACAGAAGAAGACGCCTTCACCCCGGTATGGCTCCCCTTTATCACATACACAGCCCAACAGGACAATGACAATAATCCACCAATAGCATACAAATCAATATGGCTAACCTGATCCAAAACACCCACCCACCTCACTCACACACGAAAACAAAGATCACCACAGCCAATCACAAGCAAACAATCACACCCTAGGCCAACCCCAACCTCTCTCACCACCAAAGGAACACAAGTGAACAACACAAGCAATGCTGACACCAAACTCTACATACATTAAACATAATAGAAACACTGCCACCCGACCCCACCCCTATCCATCTTCCCTCTCTCCACCCCCCTTTCTTTTTTCTTTTTTTTCCCCCTTCTCCCCCCAATGCCTCAACAAATGAAACGGATTTGTAAAAATGTTACATAAAAAAAAAATACGAGGCACTACACTTCTGTAAAACAAGAAAATCCTTAATAAAATATTTTTTTTTTAAAAAAAAAGGAGCCGCTGATGTCAACTGATAACGCATGTTTGCAGGGGATAAGGAAAGTCCTCCACAAAGTGACTAATTCTGACATCAGGAAGACTTTCAATTGAGCCCAAAAGCAGAACTTGAACAGCCCCAAGATTAGAACTGCAAATTTGTGGTCAGGGAAATAGTAGCGAGGCAATCCAGACTTTACTTCCTCCCATTCCTCAACATTCGCAAAGAACGTAACTGGTAAGGCGAAAGGGGAGGCGGAGAGAGAGTCTGTTGATGTTGTCATTCGCTTCCTTCCACAGAAGAAGAGGCAAAAGAACTTTGTCACATAAGGGGATGTGAGAAAACAGTGCATGGTGTTTCTATTTAAAACTGCTATCCTAGCCTGTGTGATATTTAAGCTACCGTTTCGTCATTAATCATTTTATTTTTTAATATCTAGAAATGACATCTTGCTATAACTTCCTTGTACTTTTAAATGCATTTGTATTTGCATATTTGGACAGCACTGTGGCTCGACTGTTTGTGAAAGTAGACATAAATCCATAAACTGTAATTTGAATTTTTCACTAGTGCTTAACCCATGGATACTAAAAACAAAAACAAAAAACCCCACTTCTCACTGTAGTCTGGTTGAGGCTGGTACTGTCAGCGAGCCTGTCTACATTCATAAATGACCAACAAATGAATCCACCATTTCTTCGAAGACATCCAAGGGACAGACTTGCAGCCAAAACTCAGGGAAGGCAACAGAGGGGACAAAAAGATGTGGGCAAAGTTGCAGAAGAATACAGTGACATGGGAAGATGCCTTATACAGTGGTACCTCGGAAGTCAAACAGAATCTGTTCCGGAGGTCCATTCGACTTCCAAAACATTCGGAAACCAAAGTGTGGCTTCCGAAAACAGACGTTCGGGTTCCAAAGAAGGTTCGCAAACCGGAACACTCACTTCCGGGTTTGCGGCATTCGGGAGCCAAAACATTCAACTTAAAAGGCGTTCAATATCCAAGGTACGATTGTCCTGAGATCAGACCAATGGTTCATATAGCTCAGTGCTGCCTACAATGACTAGCAGCATCTCTCCAAGGTTTCAGACAGGACATATTCCCAGCCCTACCTGGAGATGCCAGTAACTGAGCCTAGGGCCTTCAGGATGCAAGACAGGCGTTCTGTCACTGAGCTGCAAGCCTTCCCCAAATACGTTGTGGGAAATTAAAATGGTGGCTAGATTCACCTACCATGCACTGCTTGGGAGGACCAAACTGGGGAGGGGGAAAATAAGAAGGGCTGGGGGGCAGGAGCCTGGGGCAGATATCAAGCACAGGCCGTGCCAAGATGCCCAAGGATCCCAGATGTTGTCCCTAGCTAAGGACAATGTGACCATAACTGACACATCACTCCATTTCCCAGAACAGAGAGGGGAAGGGGTCAGTGGCAACCACCAGCTATGACTGTCTAGAAGGCCAAGCCAAAATATGTAGACTCTGATAATAGCGCAATTATGTCTGCTTCCTTAGAAAAGGAAGAGCCCTTTTGGTGGTGGCCCTAAACCTATAGAACAATCTCCCCAATGAAGTACACTTTGTCCCAACCTTAGGTGTCGGGTAAAAACCCAGGTTTTTTGCTGGACTTTTAGAGGGTGGTGGATTAAGTCATTGTTATGATATTGTTAATTATGTAATTTACAGTAACTGCTTCAATGTTTCTGTTTATTAAGCATTATGTTTTTCCAATATTATCTTTGCAATCAGTGATCATTTTTGGTAAAGCTATAGAAATCTCTTAATGAATTCAACGCACAGATTCATACCACCGAACACATATGAAGTCTGAAGTCACCCTCCAAGCACTTCCAACACAGAGGGAGAGAAAAGCCAGCCTCACCAAACGGGAGGATTAGAGACCACCATGCTCCTTTTGCAAGTACTTCTTTCCTCAATCCGCCCCAAACACAGCAGCCATGCAGACACCACCAGAAGCAACATCCGGAGGACGATCTAACACGCCATTGCATACCTATCCACGACCTTTTCATTACAGGTTTCATAATCAACCCAGCAGATTTTGCACCACATGGCTCGGGAATTTGCAAGGCATTTAAAGAACCCTTGAAGTTAAGTGCTCTTCAAGCGAAGCATTAATTATTGAGCTTCACAAAAGCAAGAAGCCACTCCACAGTCTCTCAAGCAAGGCCAACTCAAGTGGCTAAGACAGAACTGGATGCATGCATGTAAACTGCCTTGGCTGAGCGTGGGCAGAGATGTGAGCCATCAATACCTGAATTAGGACCAAATAAGATATAAGCTACTTGAACGAACTTGTTGAAGGCGAGCGTGGCATCAGTCAATGCTACAGGTTAGCCTGCATAAAGAATCAGCTGCCACACTGCCCAATTCTTTAGCATTTTCGCTCATGTTCAATAGGACATTATTCCATACAAGCAGAATTGTAGGATACCCTGGTCATTTTAGGAAGGCCTAAAAAGGCTAAATAAGAGCATAAGAGCCATGTTAAAGGTAAAGGGACCCCTGACCATAAGGTCCAGTTGTGGCCGACTCTGGGGTTGCGGCACTCATCTCGCTTTACTGGCCGAGGGAGCCAGTGTACAGCTTCTGGGTCATGTGGCCAGCATGACTAAGCCGCTTCTGGCGAACCAGAGCAGCGCACGGAAATGCCGTTTACCTTCCCGCTGGAGTGGTACCTATTTATCTACTTGCACTTTGATGCGCTTTCGAACTGCTAGGTTGGCAGGAGCAGGGACCGAGCAACGGGAGCTCACCCCGTCGCCATGTTAGAGAGGGCCAAAAGCTTATCACAGTTTTCACCTAGCAGATGCCCCTAGGCTTCTTGCAAGCAGAAGCCGAGTGCAATTGCAGTCTCCCCACCTGAGGTTTCCAGAAACTGGTATTCATACTGCCTCCCATAACATGACCAACCTGGCTGGTAGACACTGATAGACTTATCCCCCATGAGTTTTATCTAATCCTCTTTTAAAGACAAGCTGGCAGCTGTCACCCTATCTTGCAGCAGCTATGATGTTATCTTTTTTATTTAGACAAAACTTTTTTTTTTTACTTAAACAGGCTTTTGGCCTACAAGCTGGCTTGTGAATATACTGAAATTGGTTTTCACTAGTTTTTTTTAATGACTGATTTTTTTTTACCTGTCTTGTTTTTTAATGGTGTATTTCACAGCTATTATCTATTTTTAATATATTTCATTGCATTATTGTTGCTAGTTGCCTTCAGTAACCTCCAGTGAAAAAGCAGGAAACAATTTTAAAAAACAAAACCCACACAATTTGCATATATTTCCAAAGAACTTGTTTAAACTGTTGAAAACCTGCCACATATTCATGCAACAGGATGTAGGTAAAGGACACAACACAAGAAATGAGGAAATATTGAGCCACTTCAAAAAGATTCACGCTGCAGAAACTTCACAGTGAAAATGGTACTCAGTTTTGCTTATCCTTATAAAAGCAAGTCTGGGCTTAATTCTTCCTGTTAATGTTCAAAAGCAAAGGTAACTCCAGGAATATGCTGCAATGCCTTTAAGTATGTGCAGAGTATTTTTCTCCCTACCAGCCAAGTAACCACAAACAATCCTTGTATAGTTGGAGTTAAAGAGCAGGATGTCCAGGATCAATAGCATTTGGGAGCTTTCTGACGCCATTTGCAAACTGGATAAACTATTGCTGGCACCCCACAACCTTTCCAATGGGCAACAACAGAATTCACCCATTTCAGTGGAAGGGAAAGGACCCTTCTGGTTACAGGGAAGGGCTTTGCAAGCACGCTGGTGACCTCTAACAGGTTTCATACTGTATCTGCTTAAGAGGAACATCCTTCCAACTACTCCTAATTGGTAACATTCATACAGAACATAACAGAAAACATATCTTCAACTTTGCAGGTGAGAATGCAATGGGGTCTGACCCAAGGCCCATCTAGTCCATCATTCCGCTTCCCAGAGTGGCCAATAAGACACCTTTGGGAAGCCCACAAGCAGGGCTTGAAGGCAACAGCCCTCCCTTGTTATTTGGTCTCCAGAAACTGGTAGTCTGTGGCATATTGCCTCAGAACAGTATGGCTCCGTTTAGCCGTAATGGCTGGTAAGACCCGTCTTCCTCCGTGAATTTGTTTGATCCTCCCCAAAAGCTACCTAAACAAGCCGACAGCCCATTGCTACATTCTGCGGCAGCGCATTGTGTAAGGCACTGCAGTGCTTCCGGATGATGCTGGACTACAAATCCCATCAGTCCCAAGCAGCATGGCCAATGGCTGTGGATGATGGGAGTTGTAGTCCACCAATATCTGGCTACCCTGGTTGCAAGTTAAGATACGTAGTGAAAAGCGGTACACTCTTTCTGTCCATCCACAATCAACACCCATCAATGTAATTGGGTAATCCCATACTCAAGTATTACGGGAGATGGAGAGAGAGAAATCCCTTCATGTCTGCCATTAAGAGCAGCAGAGACGGACAGACCAACCTGGGCATCTAAGGGTACTAGGAAGTCCTCTTGGGACAGCTCCACCAGAACAAGCACAACTGTGCACTTGTGCAATTCAATGACACTTCCACTGGAATATGTCCCAGAGAATCATGCCCCATGTTCACGGATGCACCAGTGGGGAAGGGGGGACCATGTGTATTTTTCACACCAGGCATCCAAATGCTTTGGGCGAAGTCCCTGGAGTGGTACCCTGAAGTTGCAGTTTGAGAGGTCAAGGGTCAATGGTGTAGGCCCTACTGCTTCTAACAGGGCCTCTCTGAATGCAGTGGGTAGACAGCGTATGACTCTATCTTCTTCCATCGTCTGGAGATGTCTTCCGAGGGATACCTGTGTGGGAGGGGGATGCTATGCAATTGGGGCAAATATGGCACTGTCCCACTAGCCTCAGTTTGCCCTCAGCCAGGCCCCACCTGCCTGCCTTGTCTGCTTACAACCAATCAGACCTTTCACCCTCAACGGGCATCATCAGCTACCACTGAGGTGGCTGCCACAAAGGGCATCCATGACTCACAGAGGGTGGAGACACTATTAAGTTTTCCATTAGGAAAAGCCTGGTGGAAAAGCAAACAGGTGCAAGTCACCTTCCCTGCCCAAGAATTCATGGCTGATATCTTAGGAATCTCTCTGGGCATCACCAGGTACTGTAGTAGGAAAAGAGGTGACACATCTCTAATGCCAACCTACCGGTTGGTTTCCTTCCTGGGAAGGTGTATGCCGACGTGCAACTGCAGCTTAAAGGAGGGCGAGGGGAGCGCCCTTTGTGCATGGTCAGAGGAACTCGGTTCTGCCAGAAAGCAACCCAAAGGGGGAGAAACCACACACACACAAGCTCCTGTTGAGGTCTTGCTGCTGTAAAGGCACCCACCACCACGCGCAACCCAGGCTGCCGGGGGGGGGGGGACTGGGTGCGAATCCGAGTCCCTTCCCCCTCCACGGGGGGAAAGGGAGATCCGGCGAGGGCATCCCTAAGCGATTCCGCTGCAAGCAGCCCTTACCCGTGCGGGGATCGAAGGTGACCACGAACACGGCCAAGATCTGGTCCTCCTCCACCTGCTCGGCTCCTTCCCGCTCCTGGAGGCGCCCGCCGGGGCCGCCGCCACCGCCGGCGGCTGCCTCCCCCTTGACGCCAGAACAGGAGCCCCCCCAGCCGCCGGGCTCGCCGGGCTCCGGGAGGGAGACGGCCGGGCCCTCGGCCCAGAAGAGCAGCGGCGCGTCGTCGGCTTGCTCCACCATGGCCCAGCCAACCAACCAGCCAGCCAGCTGCGGCGCTTGGCGGAGCCGAGGGGCGGCGCTTGGCGCGCTCCGACGACGCCCGGCCCCCTCGCTTCCCGGCCCGGCCGGCCAGACGGGGCCTTGCGCGGGCTGCGGGCAGCTGACGCCCAGCTCGGAGGAGGGACGCCCGCCTGCCTCTGCCCGCGATCCTCTTGGTGCTCAGGGAACCGGCCGGCTGCAAGCCCGTGTGCGCGCTGGCGGCCGCGCGCAAACTTGGGAGGTGGCGCACTGGCCTCTGGACGCTTGTTCGGTGGGAAGGAAAAGTCCCGAGTAAACACGCGCAGCGCTGCACCTGAGAGCCTAACAGCCCGATCCGTTTTGCGCTACGTATAGATCCCCCACCCCATTAAACTGCTTAAAGACATGCACTGCAAATGCTTGTAGCCTTTTTCCTTTTTAAAAAGGCTTAACAGGGACGCACGCGCCCTTAAAATGAGTGAAATTTGCTTCTGAGTTTGGGGATTCTTTGTTTCCCACCTTCTCCTGGCAAGCAGCGTAAGGTGGGGATATACATCTATCTCCACAACAACCCTGTGAATCTGAGTTCCATGCTATGAGGATTTGCACCCAAGTCTATTGCTCTAACCGTGTTGCTGGGTGTAAGTGCTGGCCTTTTGAATGGGGCTTACTCTGTGGTAAGCGGGGTTAGGAGTGCAACCACACATATCCGAAAGAAAAAGTCTGTCGGTCAAAGTGCCACCTATGAGTAAATACGCATAAGATTTGGTTGCAAGATACTCTGCACAGGATTACATCCTAAAGGCACAATCTCTGGGGGTGTCCAATCAGAAATGGGACTTCTTTTCTGGCACTCCAGCTTACGCACAATTATTTTCCACCAAGTTCAGTAGGACTTCCCTCTGGACCTGCCAATATGCTGGTTTGGACTGCAAGCTAGGTTATATATATGAATGCATATCCTGCCCATTTTTCCAAAGAGGTTTACCATCCAGAACACAAACGCAATACATAACAATAATACAAATACTAACAAATCATAACAATTAGCTTCAGAGCCAATCAGCCAGAAAATCCAAAACATGCAGACACTAAAGATAGACCAGCAAAGAGGGATCATGCCAAAGCATACCTGCCACTGATACCCTTACCCTTCTCTAAAGTGCCTAATTCTCTTTTAAAGCCTTGCAAGTTGGTGGCTGACACTGCCTCTTTTGGGAATGAATTCCATGGTTTTAACCATGTGCAAAAGTCCTTTCTTTTGCCTGTCCTGAATCTTCCAACATTTCAACTGCAGTGGATGGCCCCGAGTTGTGGAGAACAACATTTCTCCAACCACTTTCTCCATACCAACTCTACAATATCCTTCTTGAGGCAAGGCGGCCAGAAGTGTACGCGCTACTGCTCCCAAGTGCAGTTACACCGCAGATTTCAATAACTGCTCTGTGTTTTATTTTCATTTCCTAATGATCCCTAGTACCGAGGTACCTTGGGTTAAGTACTTAATTCGTTCCAGAGGTCCGTTCTTAACCTGAAACTGTTCTTAACCTGAAGCACCGCTTTAGCTAATGGGGCCTCCTGCTGCCGCTGGAGCACGATTTCTTCACCCTGAAGCAAAGTTCTTAACCCGAGGTACTATTTCTGGGTTAGCGGAGTCTGTAACCTGAAGCGTATGTAGCCTGAGGTACCACTGTATGGAATTTGCCTCCCCCCCCCCCACTGCTGCCACACACTGTGTCAACATCTTCAGTGAGCTGTCTACTGTGACCCCCAAGGTCTCATTCCTGGTAAGTTTAGACCCCATGAGCGTATCTGTGAAATCATGTCCATTTGGAGATGTCCTTTTGGACCTCTTTGGCACCTTCTTTCTGTTTTAGCCACTCTGAACAATTTTGTATCGCCAGCAAACCTGGCTACCTCACTGCTCACCCTTACTTCTCTTGGGCAAGCACTTTCCAGTGCTGAGGGAGCTGCATGGATGCAAGTCCTTGCAGGATGGACCATGATGAAAAACAGGAAGCTATATAGGGAAGGGAACTGCTCTTAAGTGGCATTTTGCAAAACCTCAATCCCAGCATGCACTGTAAGGCCAAACCTGCAATTCAGTAGGTTAAGCAGGAAGGAGAGAGCAGGAAATGGTATGGGATCATTTTGAACACAGGTGATGCTGTGCTTTTAATTGTTGGTTTTTAATGGCAGTGGGTTGGAGCACTTATAAATTCTGTGAGGGCATTATTAAGGGCCAGTTTTTCCAGTCAGAATGGGCTATGTCAGAAAATGTTTGCTAGCTGGCTGGGTGCCTTTGCATCTGGCTGTGGCATAGGGCCTTCCTTCTGGAGATCAGTGTAAAGGGATTATTATGTGGGGCTTTTCTCTGCCTAGTTTCTGTATGTACTGACTTAACCCCTTGTGCGAGGACAGCTGTGGACTAAATGCTTATTCCTGATTAATATGAGACCTGTGTGCAGCCACAGACTATTCACATTTACTTGGAAAAACTCCCAGTGAGTTCAGTGGGGCTAATTCCCAAAGCAGTGTACATAGAATTTCAGGGTTAATATAATAATGTCCTTATTCCAGAGTCTCCTCAGAGTCTTTCTTTCTCTCCCTTACTATTTTTCTTTTTAAAATGCTGTCTTATTTTCAAATGGAGTATGTCTTCTCACGCCAGTGTAGCTGTGGGATTATTCAAAATGGATGTCTGTATATTGAGTAAAAGCTGAAAACTAGCTCTTGCAAGCAAATACAACTCTGGGGACAAAGTCAAGGTAGTTTGTGTGGCCTTTGCATTGTGTGAAATTGCGCAATTGAGAAGATTGAAGGGGAAAGTATCTAAGAACTTTGTTTTGAAGGAATTTGTTCCTGGAGCCTTAGGCTAGGTGTAACTTCCAGGGCTGAGACAGGTACTGTATTGCAAAAGGCTAATCTCTGGGCTGTGTGTTTTGTTTCTTTCCAGCAACCATGGATGACTGGGAGAGCAGTAGTGGTAATAACTTCGTCCAGAAGCTGGATTTTTCAAGTTGTGGAGAAGACACGGAGTTGGAAGAAGACAATAGCATGCAAGAGGAGGAGCCAAGTCATGTCACCCCTCAGAAAAACTGGGAGACTGGGAACTGGAGAGTAAACTGTCCTGTTCCGGTCACCCCACAGAGGCAGCTGGATGATCTTTCTTTCCCGAAATCGTGGGCAAGTCCAGTGAGGAAAGGTAAGGAATCTCTGAGGAAGAAACCTCTCCCTTTGGAAGATTATCCTGGGACACCGCTGCACTACATCACCTGGCAAAAGCTCCAGCTCTGTGACACCCCACATACTCCAAAGGTAAGGTGATGTGGTGTGTGTATTTATATGGCACATTGTGTATAAATATCCTCAATGGGGGAGAGGCGGCTTTGGTTGCAGTTTAGACTTTCAACGTGGTTGAGGAGTGTTTGTGAGCATCCTTTTTTTCATTCCACAAATCTTAATATTTCTACTATAACTTTTAGACCCCATTTTCCTCCAAGGGGCTCACAAAGTGGTGTACATGGTTCTCCCCCTCCACATTTCATCCTCAGAACAACCCTGTGAGGTAGGCCATGAGGCCATGACTGAACTGGGGCCTGGTGAACTTCATAACAGAATGGGGATTTCAGCTCTAGTCTTCCAGGTCCTAGTCTGATATGCTAACCTCTACACCATGTCTCTGGTGCCCTGTACTTAGCGGTGTTTTGGGGTATGTGTGCTTACTGAAAACAGTGTGATAACCATGGTTGGACTTTTCTCCAAGCACAGAAAGGTGGGGAGGCTGCTTACTGGATGCCTTCCAGTTGTTTATGCTTGGGGGTTTATTAAGCGAAGTCTCTCTTACTTTTAAAGAAATGATCGTGGAGAACTCTCTTTTTAAGAACTTCCCTTGAACAAAATCATTTGACATACTAATCTCAAGCGCTTGGTAGCCAGCTTCCCTATCTTGCCGTGCTTTAATCTGAAGCTCGGGGGAAGATGTCATGAGGCAACTCGTCCCATGGGTCTTCCTGAGATCAGGAAGTGTGGGCAGCTGGGAAGACTGCAGAGTGCTGGAGAAACGTTTCACAGAAAAAGAAGTGCACAGGCCACCTTGCAAATGATACGATAAGTTCAACTGTGTGTGGACTGAGATTCTCAAGTACCATATGCATAAGCCAGAAAAATAGAAAACTCTTTCAAATGACAAGAACTGCTGAGAATTTGGGGACAAGTTTCGTTCTAAACCACAGAGCCTGGGGCTTGCCGATCAGAAGGTTGGCGGTTCAAATCCCCGTGTCAGGGTGAGCTCCTGTTGCTCGGTCCCTGCTCCTGCTAACCTAGCAGTTCGAAAGCATGTCAAAGTGCAAGTGGATAAATAGGTATCGCTCAGGCGGGAAGGTAAATGGCGTTTCCGTGCACTGCTCTGGTTCGCTAGAAGCGGCTTAGTCATGCTGGCCACATGACCCGGAAGCGATAAGCCGGCTCCCTCGGCCAATAAAGCGAAATGAGTGCCGCAACCCCAGAGTCGGTCATGACTGGACCTAACGGTCAGGGGTCCCTTTACCTTTACCTTTCATCCTAGAACCAGACTGAACACTCTTAACTGCAAATTCCGATGTCTCACATCAAACTTCCAGGGAGGCAGCCAGCACCACTTTTTTAAAAAAAGAATATTTATTACTTTTCCAACAATTTAAACACTACAAAAAAACAACAACAATACAATACAATACAATACAAAAACACTACATAACACTAACACATTAAACTAACAAAACAAAACAAAACAAAACAAAAACAGTTTAAAACACATCAAACAATTTCAATATCTTATCTTTCATTCACTTATTTCAACGACCTCCTCACACCTCCCTTTTTGTATTCCACTTCTGTTAATTGTTTCAGCAATTCCTTTCCATCTTCCTCTGTTTTCTATCCTATAATTATCTTAACACTTTCTAATCTTATTTTTTCCTTTAATACTCTATTAGTCTATTTATACTTAATTCCTTATAACATTTCTACTAAAGCCATATAACTTCATTCCAACGTTTTTCTAACATTCATTAATTTTACAGTATTTCTGTAAATAGTCTTTAAACTTTTTCCAGTCTTCTTCCACCGACTCTTCTCCCTGGTCTCGGATTCTGCCAGTCATTTCTGCCAGTTCCATGTAGTCCATCAACTTCATCTGCCATTCTTCCCGGGTGGGTAAATCTTGTGTCTTCCAATACTTCACAATGAGTATTCTTGCTGCTGTTGTTGCATACATAAAAAAAGTTCTATCCTTCTTTGGCACCAATTGGCCGACCATGCCCAGGAGAAAGGCCTCTGGTTTCTTCAGGAAGGTGTAGGCAGCCAGCACCACTAAACACTGTTAGTTTACAGAGCCCACAAACTCATCTCTCTCCTTCTCTGATCTGGTTTAGACATATAACACTGAACTATAATTTAGGGTTATGTGAATGAGCCTGGCTGAGCCTTGGGCTTTTTTTTTTTTTTTTTTTGCTTTCCATCTCCTTAGTGGTCATAAGGAGCTCAGAAATCGGTTTCTGGTTTCATTGAACTGCTATTTAGCATTTTGTGTGCCCCCTGCTTAATCTTAAGTGTGGTATATTGAAACTAGCCAGCTTCATAAACTGAATGTGCCAGCGTGAATGTTGCATGTTTCAGTAAACCAAAGGAGTATACAGTACTAAAGTACAGTAAGTCAGGGTTTGGACATAACACATAGCTATGGTTAGAATGGAAATGAGAGCTTACAGAGTGTAAGCTCTGAGTGTAGCCACACTCAAAAAGGGGAGGACATGAACCTGAAGCCTGCCCAGGTATGTTCACATGCTCACCTAGCCCTCTATCATCTCTGTTCCCTTTCACAGATACCCACACATACCTAGATTACATCTTTAGCTTGGAGTGATAAAGTCAGTTCCACCTTCCATATATTTCCAAACTACTCAGAAAGCAACCACTACCACTTAGCTAACGGCCATCCTAACAGGACATACTTGGCAACTTTTCCACTGACTGTTAAGGAACACTTGCAGTCATTCTGGTGCCACTAACCTCTCCTGTCCAGTGCCCCATGTCCCAATAGTATGGTACCTATAAAAGGAAGTGCCGTGCAATGGTTAGTGTCATAGACTGAGACTGGAGAAACCCAAGTTCAAATCTTCACTTGGCCATGAGCAACCGCTCTCTCTCAGTTGAATCTACTTCACCGGGTTGTTGTGAGGGTGCAATTGGGGAGCAGGCGAAGCATGCCTGATGCCTTATGCTCCTTGAAGGAAAGGTGGGGTGTAAATGAATTGTACACCTGCTTAACAAGTGACACTGGGCTAGGTAGACAGAAACACCTTCAGTGGTGGTTCTTCTCCCTCTGTCATTGTAAAAGCTGCACCTACATTCTCTCAGATGAATAGCTGACTGTTGAGAGTCTCTGCTGAAGTTCTTTCTAATGGGTGCACCATACTGTGAGTGTATGTATATATTTTTACCATCAAAATGACTTCATGTAGCATTGCAGGAACAATCTTTACTTCAAAGCAGCTTCTGTCACTTCCAAGTCCCAGGCTTGGATGTGGAGCTTCTGTGAGCTATAAAGACACAATCCTGAGTGAGTCTCTTAATTGCATTTTTGCTCTCTTAAGGTTTGAAATGGAGCAATTTAGAAAATCCCCTTCATCTTCCTGCTTGTTAAGCTGGATGCCTGCAGATCCTCCTGGCATCTGCAGTTCTGTATTTAAGCTTTGCTGCCAAAAATAGCCTACTGTGATAGTAACATAGTTGAAAGACCCTTTTTTGTGATTTAAATCCATATGGCTGACAAGGATTCGACTTGACGGGAAGTCAAAGCCTACACATGACTCTGATATTCCAGCTGTAATTTGTGTAGCAGGTGCAGCCATTGTGGATCCTTCCAGATGTGGCTGGACTTCCATTATCCTAACACTGGCTTGGATGGACCTTGGTCTGATGTAGCAAGGAAGGTCCCTAACCCACTGGCACTTCAAAGCATAACAAAGGTGGGGAAACTGGTTCTCCAGATGTTGTTGGACAGCTCCCATGGTCCCTTTCCATAGGCCAGGTTGACTAGGCCTGATGGGAGTTGAGAATCCAACATCTGGCGGGCACTACATTACCTAACTCTGGCTTAATGTGGTGTACAGGTATTGGTGAGTTTGGGAATAACAAGCATTATGACCTTCCTCTTTATTGCAGGTTGATGCTAGTGGACTAGACTGTTCTCCGTTGACTGACTGTTGTTGTTTTCTATCTAGAGCCTCTTGTCCAAGACAGCTTTCCCTTCACCTGTGGGAAAGTTCCCCTCCAAAGGGATGAGGAACTTGAGGTTCACTTCCTGCCCTGACTCCGAGGAAACTCCCCCCGCTTCCTTAGTTAACATTAACCCCTTCACACCGGAGTCTTATCGGCAAATGGTTTTCCATCCCAGTGGCAAGAGGAAAGCCAGAGGGGAGCTGTGAGTGTTTTCTCTTTTTTCTTAAGAATTTATATTCTATAGGGGGCAAAAGGGAGATACGAGGGTAGCCATCTTGTAGCCCATTGGTTTTTAATACTGTGTTGCAGGACCTCATGAGTGAGAAGTTTGATAAGAATGGAAAAGCTTCATCTGACAGCTTGCCTGCTATAAATTTCTGACATTCCTTTGTAATAATAATAATAATAATAATAATAATAATAATTTATTTATACCCTGCCCATCTGGCTGGGTTTCCCCAGCCACCCTGGGCGGCTCCCAACAGAATATTAAAAACACGAGAAAACATCAAACATTAAAAACTTCCTGAAACAGGGCTGCCTTCAGATATCTTCAATAAGTCAGATAGTTGTTTATTTCCTTGACATCTGATGGGAGGGTGTTCCATAGGGCATGCACCACTACCAAAAAGGCCCTCTGCCTGGTTCCCTGTAGCCTCACTTCTTGCAGGGAGTGCACCACCAGAAGGCCCTCAGAGCTGGACCTGAGTGTCCGGGCTGAACGATGGGGGTGGAGAAGCTCCTTCAGGTATACTGGGCCAAGGCCATTTAGGGCTTTAAAGGTCAGCACCAACACTTTGAATTGTGCTCGGAAATGTACAGGGAGTTGATGTAGATCCTTTAAGACCGGTGTTATATGGTCTCGGCAGAGTGTTCTGGAAAATGCCTTCACGGTGGTTGAAGAGGCCCAACTGGGCTGGCCACATGAACTGAGCACATGAACCACCCTACAATCCAATTCACTCCAGAGGCTGTACAGTCATCTATGGAGGGGGTGGTTTGGAAGCGCCTTTATATCATATCAGACTATTGACCCACCAAGCTGAGAATCATTTGTTCGGACTCCAGTGTTTCAGACTGTTGACATTCCCAATCCTACCTGGAGATGCTAGGGACTGAAGCTGGGATGTCTTCTGCATGCAAAGCAGATCACTCCTCCTCCTTCCTCGCAGTTCTTTGCAAGATGGTTTTTGTTTCAAATGAAATCTAGTTCAGTATCCCGTTCTTGCAGTGGTCAGCCAGATATCTACAGGAAGTAAACAGCACTCTCCCTACTTGTGCTCCCCAGAAACTGGGCACCCGGGCATAGCGCCTTGAACATCAGAGGTAGAAGATGTTTTGTTGAAGCTCAATGCGTTTGTAGGTCAATACAGCGTCTGGATTTGTTGGAGGCCTTCCTGGGAGCATGGCTCTGGTATGGGGAGGCTGTCCTGCTCAGCTGCTTCACTTCAAAACACACTCCATTGCTGTTGGGGATGCTCTGGACTTCTTGCATCAAGCAGGGTATTGGATAAAACTGCCAGGATTCTGGGAGTTCTTGGCAGAAAGGTTCTCTTAACAATAGGAAGCTTTGAAAGCCTTTGCCTCAACCCAAAGAGGGCTCCTTTGTCTTTGCTGCATGTAAAGGAGACATCCAGCAAGTGCTGTGTTGATCAATAAAAGCGCCACTCTAATAACCTCTCTGTGTGACTCTCTTAAACCACTGGAGCACACCGCAAAGCTAAGAATTGGCAATCTTCCTGGAGGTGGGCGGGGGATGCGGAAAGCGTTCCGTGTTGTGTCTGTTTCTTAGTGTTAAATAATAGGCTGCGTGTGTTTTGTATGTTTACAAAAAATAGATTTAAAAAAACAATAGGAAGATTATTCCGCCCCCCCTGATTCTCAAAGCCATGCCTAGCTGGGGGAGCTAGCATGCAGGGAGTATTGTATGAGTGAAAAGCATAATGGCACTTGACAATGGGTCATGGTACATCTAATCGGATGGCCTACTGTGGAAAGACAGGTTTCGGCCTTCACTGGTCCAACCAGCAGCTGTCAATTGTCAATGCGTAATCAACTGTCACTAAGCAATCAGCATTGCATCAATATGGGTTCGGATGCCAAAGGCTAACTGAGAAGCTTAATTGCTTTCAACTGCAGGAGTTATTCCTGTATCTTCAGGCACAGGAAGGGGGCGGGGGGAGTAGGATTTCGAAAATTAAGCTCTCTGCAGGTAGGGATGGTGGAGGATGTCATTTGATCTGCATTTTAAAGCAAACTGAACTGATCTGCACCTCCCAGACTAATAGCACAAATCTTTGGGATTCTGCACTTCTCTGAATTTTGCAGTACTGCCGGCTCAAAAAGAAAGAAATGTACCAAAATGCATTGAGCACTTTATTCAAGGGTTAAACTGGTTTAGAAATGCATAGAATGGAATATAAAATAAATATTTAAGTATGTGTTGTGATAAAATACTGTTTAAGGATATGATTAAACACAAATTTTCCTACAGCATTTTAGAAAACAGAAATTGCCAAGTTACTGCAGAAATGGGACAGGTCAGGCTTATGAATAAATACATGCAAAACTTAACATGGGCGTAGCAGTTGTCCCTCTCTAGATCAAGTAAAACAATAGAAATACTTAACTGACCAATCCCATCGGTTCTGCCCCCCCCCGCCCCCACAAGAATCCTGGCTATCCCCATGAAACAACATGAATTGGAGGTATCACCAAATCCATCCCCTAACCTCAGGTCTGTCAAGAGTTGGATGAATGCTTTTTTCCAAGTGTCTCGGATTTCACAAAGACTGGGATTGGATTTCATGCCTTTAAAATGCTGCATCACTAACTCCCTCTCTCTGCAGATGTCAGGGCAGCTGTGCATTAATTTGAAATCTGAATTGATTGTAAACTAGAATGTTGATCACCCTAAATTGAGGGCTATAGCCTCTGTGGTCTTTGAGTGATTTTTTTTCTAGTGGTCTCTTATGCTTATGCGGAAATGCCTACATAAATACTTCATGCGGCTTGAGGAAGTTCCTGAAGCTGGTGTTTGAAATATTTAAATGGTGAAACTGAATAATAGAGTTGGGAGTTGCGTCTTGTCTTTGCAACCGGGATGCTTCTTCACGTCATTAAACTTACCGTTTCAGGGATGATCCCAGCCAAAAAGAGAGCCAGGTGGAACCAGGGTTGCCAGCCAAGGTGAGTAGTGCGTTTCTTCAAACAGGTGCACAAAAAGCATCATGGCCATAAGTTATCTGTTTAATACTGAAAGAGGGAAAACTGTTTGTGAGCCTATAGCAGCAGACAACAGTATTACTGTAACACAAAGAGTAATCTTAGCACTGACTTTCTTTTCATTGTACATTTTCAAAGAAAGCCCATAGTTTTATATTTTAATGAAATGGAGTGGGGAGAAAAAAATCAGTGGTGCAAGGCAATAGTTATTACAACACCAGATAGTTACTTAACAGGCTTCAAGAAGAACACCATTCAAAACTAAACTACGCGTTGCATCAGAACTCTGTTTTAGGTTATAAAGTGCGGCAAATAAGCTGAGGTATAGGCTGAAGGCCAAGTTGAAAGTTTACTTTGGTTCAGCTTTAAAACTACTTGGAAGTTCAGTTCCCTGTTTTCTTCCAGTTCTACCCTCTCCTGCCCATTTTCAGTGATTCTCCTGGTAGTAATGCACTTGCCATAAATGAACCTGGTGGAGGTTTTCAGGTATTAGATTAGGACTTGGAGAACCAGGGTCAATTCCCCACTCAGCCATGAAGATCCTTGGTTGACCTTGAACCAGGCACCATCTCTCGGTCTAACCCACCTCACAGGGTTGTTGTGAGAATAATACAGAGAGAGAGAACACCATGTATGCTAGCTTGAGCTTCTTGGAGAAAAAGTGGGATTCAAAAGCAACAATAACTAAAATACTCAGACTCACTGTAATGAATGGACCTAAGCTACCAATGTTTATTGAAATTAATGGGTCTCATCTGCATTGGACTAACTTTAGACACTACCCTGTACATGGGTTGATCATATCTTGGTCAGAAATCAACAAATTCCTAAACTTCCATTCCAAAAATCAACAATTTCCAACTTACACAAAATGCTTATTTGCTTGCTGTTTACCTTGGAAAAGCTAGCTTAGGTTTGACTGTATAATGTGCTCTAGTCTCTTTCTCAATTAAGCTAAGTGAAATGTCCCCACTTCCCCCCCCCCATCGTAATGTAATGTCTAATAAATTATAGAACAACCTGAAGAGTACTTCCTTAGCATCAATAACAATCAAAGAAGTGATGTCTGTGTAATGCAGTATCTGCCTTAAGATGGTGGTACATTCAAACTCCCGTCAGGCCCAATTAGCATGTGCAGTAGTCAGGGATGATGGGGACTGTAGTCCAAAACATCTGGAGAGTGCAGGAATGGGGGAAGAAGCACAGAGTTCCGGGGGCCACTGGTTTGATCTGGTTTGACCTTCACTCCCACGAACTTGCAGGGAATGTGGTTTAGTAAGAAACTTGTCCCAGTCCATATCTAACTCTTCAGGCTTCATTAATTTGAAATGCTGCTGGGAGCATAGGAAGCGGCCTTCTACCAGGTGAGACTCATTCTCCATCTTACCAATATTGGCCGCTCTTTGGGTCAGGGTCTTTTCTAAGGGATTGAACCTGTGGCTTCCTGTGCACATAGCATGCCCTCTGCCTCTGAGTCAGCACTGATGTTATAAATTACACACAGAGTGAATTATTCAGCCAGAGTTGTGGGCTGAGAGGGAACAGAGTGCTGACCATAGCCGTCAAAAGCAATCACATGCCAAGGGAAACAAAATGGGGCAGGGCAGGCACTTTTATGTTGGCACGGCTGCTGGCAGTATTTTGACTCAGCATATTGGATCCATTTCCATCTGCCCTGAAGGCTTTGATGTTTGTGCCTCTCCAAGTTTAATTCTAGGTTAGTGCTATGATCTACTAGAAGCTCTTAGCAGAGAAACGGTGCCAACACCATTGATTAAAATCTGAACATCTGCCGTAGAATATGTTTTGCAGGAGGGGTGCTAACAATAGCATTTTCTGCAAGGGCATAAATACATACTGGGTGCAGTTCTTTGATTTATCAGGCTTTATATTTTGCAAAATGTTGACACTGAGGCTGCAATTTGAAAGCAGGTGGTGGTGAACCGGTTGCAAAGAAGGGGGTGTCTTTAATAGTTCACTTTTGCACTGCTTTTTTCCCCCTGCAAAAAATCATGCCCAGTCCTTCCTCTCCAGCTGCTTTGACCCTGCAAGCGGAAAAGATATGACTTGAGGATTTTGTTTCATCTGCACCATGCTGCATAGCAAACTACTCTGGACACTAAGGGCACTTTCCAAAGTAGTTTGTGAAGTGGCATAGCAGAAGGGTGGTGATCTTCCTTCACTGATAAATCAGGAAGAATAAAGGAGGCTTTTCCAGTGGAGCAGGATACCATACTGTGTGTGTAAAGCAGGGTAGCCAACTTGGTGCCAACTCCAGATCTTGCTGGACTCAAATGCCCACCAGGCCCAGCCAAGGTAGCCAGCGGTCAAGGATGATGGGAAAGCAATGTTGGCTATTTCTGGAAGGACATCACTGCATCCAGGAACCAGAACCCAAGGCCTCACATTGCAAGGTCTCTTCATGTCGTGCTTGGGGTTTGATGGGCAAACCTGTCTTAAACTTACGTGGATTCTTCTCTCCCTCCTCCAGAGATTCCTCTTACGTGAGAGCAACATGGTTTCCCGCTACAAGAAGGAATTCTTGGAACTGGAGAAAATAGGTGTGGGGGAATTTGGTTCCGTGTACAAGTGCGTCAAAAGGCTGGATGGGTGCGTCTATGCCATCAAGCGCTCCAAGAGACCCCTTGCTGGTTCCTCAGATGAGTAAGTGACCACCGTAGAACACACACAAACACACCATGATGAAATGATTGGCTGGATTGGTCAATAAATTTCTGGACTGAATGACTCTAGAAATTGTACCATGGCTGCTTATCTTACCTCTCCCACCCCACCATTTTTTAAATAGACCATGATAGGTATTGTCATTGTTCTTCCCACAATAGGCTCAAAAGGCAATGTTTGCTTCTGGATTCCCCAAACCACATTGCACATCCTCTAAGATGCTAGTGTGTAAATAAGTTGGATTTGAGATTAGCCAAGTATTGGAAAAGGTCATGCGAAAAGCAGACTGAAAGCATTTAAAAATGAAATCTGCCATCCGTTTAATGAACCTTTTCCTTCCCCATGTCATTCAGGGCCTGCCTTTCCTTAGTCCGTGCCCAGCATAGCAATGAAATCTAATCTAGTATTGAATTAAGAACTTTTGTTCCATAACAATACTGTTTCCTCCCCCCACCCCAAAAAGAGATCTTTTAGGGTGAGAGACTTCAGGGTCACCAGCGCTTACCTTTCTATTGTTTCTGTAAGTGGTGGGGGTGAGAAGCATATCCCCTTCCAGGTATTTCCCAGCCATTTAAGGAATAACTTTGCCAAGTTCTCCAGGAAGTCTTGTCTGACTCCATTAACCCTCCCCTGTCCAAACTCCTGATCTTGCAACAATATTGTTCTTTGAATGATGGGTCATCTCTCTCTCTCTCATTCTCTCTAGGCAAATGGCTTTGCGGGAAGTCTATGCTCATGCTGTGCTTGGCCATCATCCCCATGTTGTGCGTTATTACTCGGCTTGGGCAGAAGATGATCACATGATCATTCAGAATGAGCACTGCAATGGTAAGGATACCAGTGGGGGTAGAGGTGGCGGCTTAGGATACTGCGCAACTTCCCATGTTAACTGAAACTTTAAATTCACATGCACTTTGTGAAGTCCTTTGTGTACTTAAGTTGAGGTTAATGGATGCTCATGGAGTTTGGAAATCCAGAAGAGCAAGATAAGCTGCCATCCTGTTGCTTTCTAGACTCATAAACTGCCACAAGGAATTGAAGCTCTCCACCTCACAAGGAATTGAAGCTCTCCACCTCCACCCCAAATGCAAAATCTGGGCTCTCTAAAGGACCAAACATGAGGAATGGTGTGGTTAAGGACCACCCTTGCATGAGGTCTGCAGAGTGTACCAAATCCACATGCGTTCATTCAACATTAGCAGAAGGATCTGCAGAAAATGGGTGTTCCCATTGCACGTACACTTCTGCCCAGTTCTCCAACCAAAATGATGTGTATAAAATGCATATACTAAGGGCAGGTGTCCATAAAATGCACATGTAAGGTTAAAATAAGGCAAAATTATATTTTGGGAATGGCTTGCAAAGGTTGACATACAAAATATGCATTGGGAGAAATTAGCACTAAAACACTGGTGAAATTATTTTAATAAAAATAAATCACAAACTGATATGGAAATGTGGTAAACTGAATTTAAGATATGTAAAAAGATACAGTACTGAGAGAAACCCTACATGGGGGCCTGGCTAGCACAAATGTTGGGAGTTTCCTTATATAAAAGAGCCAATGCAGAAGATGTCAATCAAAACCCTTTGAAATGCAAGTGATGGAAGCTAGTAGATTCAAACCAAAACTCTAAGAGGCAGAAGTGTGAGGCTACCACTTAACTGTTAACCAGATCTTCTAAATTCCTGCCTTCTAAAAGAGAGCAATCTGCTTCAGAAGAAGGCTCTGTGAACAAGTGGGCGAGGAACTCTTGTCTGCTGTGATCGCTTGGCTTTCCACAGGTGGGAGCCTTCAAGATGTGCTTTTGGAAAAGGCAAATACATCGGATTATTTCAAAGAATCTGAGCTGAAGGAGATCTTGCTGCAAGTTTCCATGGGACTGAAATATATTCACACTTCTGGCCTGGTTCACTTGGACATCAAACCCAGTAAGCATTTCTGTTCAGTAATTCTTTGTTGCTGCTGTTGTTGTTTAGTCGTGTCCAACTCTTCGTGATCCCATGGACCACAGCACGCCAGGCACTCCTGTCTTCCACTGCCTCCTGCAGTTTGGTCAGTGCTTTAGGCATCAAATATTTGTGAATGGCATGCATAAGCACATTGCCATAACCCTTTGAGAAAAGTGAGTTAAGCACAGTTGAACTTCTAGACGGGATGGGGGCCATTAAATAGGAACTGTGCCAGTCCTTGTTTAGGGTTTTGTTCTAAGGAATAAGGAAACTTGAGCCTAGCTTGTTACTAACTTGGACATAACCCCAATTACCTGGCCAATTGAATTCAGTTGGACCAACCTCTGCGTAGACAGGGTTGAGATTACAGTTTAATTCACTGAAACTATGCACCCACAACAGATAGGAAGCTGAAATGGACCATATGAGGATAGGCTGAAGGAACTCTAGGTATGTTCAGCCTATGGAAGCAAAGACTGATTGGAGGTCAGGGTTGACTGTGGGTGAAAACACATAGAAGGGGACAAAGGCTCTGCTGCCTAATTCTAATGGGCTGGTATAGTTCAATCAAACATCAAGAGAAACATATTGATGGTAAAGGCAGTTTGACAATGAAACCAATTATCTAAAGGGATGGTGGGCTGTCCCTTGTTGGGACCCCTTCCAGCAAAGACTATATAGCAATGGGGATATTCTAAATGTGGATTTCCTGCATTAAACAAGGGGCAATTTTGCAATACTCGCCTTTCCTCAAGGATTCTTTGAAATAAAATAATACAAGCCCTACTGTACCCCGATTGCTGGAAAACTCTGGAAATACATCTTAGGTTTCACTTGAATTTGGGGGTGATGATGCTTACAACCGTAAAATCAGTCATAGCTCCATCCAAAAGGAAATCCACTTGTTTATCTGACAGCATTTCCTAGACTTCTCTCTTCCCCGGATTGGATATTTAATGGCAGGCTAGAAAGTGATTGTGGAATGCAGACTGCAATTTATCTGTGTGGACATTTCAAGCTTCCGTGCTGTTTTTCTGTCTTTGCATTTACAGGCAATATCTTTATATGTCATAAGCTGATTGGGCCTGCTGGTCAGGAGGAGAGCGACAGTGAAGATGACGGCTTTGCCTCTTCTAATGTGGTGTATAAAATTGGTTGGTAGTGTAAATACTCTATGCTTCTAGGGCTAAGACTAGAATGGTTTTTAGGGTGTATATACCAATCTCTCTCTCCTTCTGCTCCAAATTCTCAGATGGGACCCATGGAAGAGAGAGCCACGATAAGTGGGAAGAGGGGCAAGTAGAACTGTTCTGGGTCCTGAATAGATATTAGAATGGGTTCAGCAAGAATCAACTGAACGCACATAACTGCATGTTGGTTGGTTGGGTGTTTTTTTTATCCCCCCTTTTTTTTACGCATAGAACATATCCAACAAAGTCACCCATGGGTTGATTCCTACTTTGATGGATGGATTGCCACCCTTGCCTAATCAGGGTGCTGCTGGGCTTGAGTAATATAACCTGAAAGTTGCCTTCAGGCTGCTAGCTTCCTTCTCAAGTGTAGACAAATACATTTCACTCAAGAAATATATATTGTATGTGTGAGCCTAGAACACTGAGAGGCTCAGGTCAGAAAAGCCAGCCACAGGTTCCAGCATGCAAGAAGAGCCCTCCAGAGATTGCAAGATTACAACTGTCATCAGTGGCCTTGCTGGCTGGGATTAGTGGGAGTTGGACTACAACCACATCCGGAGGACCACATCCCTGGTGTATAATTCCCCTACTCAACAAATTTATACCTCGTCTTTCCTCCCAAAGAAACCCAGGGTAGCAAACGAATCTGTAATAAAAATACAAGTAAAAATAAAATAAAATTCTGTAGCACATGCAGAGTTTCTCCAGCAGACTAATCTGTCTTGTGTAGGACTTGCTGAATGCAGAAAGCTTGCAGAGACCGCTGGCACATATTAATGCATTTAATGGCTCACAAGTTTCTTTTTCTTAGGGGACCTTGGACATGTGACATCCATAACCAATCCCCAAGTGGAAGAGGGTGACAGCCGATTTTTGGCCAATGAAGTCTTGCAAGAGGTAATGATGTGGGCTTTCTTTGACTCATGGGGGCTTCAGCAGAAGCAGGAACTTATACACTTCCCAGTAAAATCCCCTTTCCTGAAGAGAGATGCTGATTTGAACATGTTCAGACTTGGGTCCGTAACCTCTCTTGACTGTTTTTTTTCTTTTAAAATCATCTTCTTCCTCCATAGCAATACTGCTACCTGCCCAAAGCAGACATCTTTGCTCTTGCACTGACCATCTCTCTGGCAGCAGGCTGTGGTTCCCTGCCTACCAACGGCACCCTGTGGCATCACATCCGCCAAGGCAACCTTCCGCTAATCCCTCAGCAGCTGTCGCGGGGCTTTGTAGAACTGCTCAGTGTGAGTGTCCTTTGGGGGAGGACTGTAGCTCAGTGGTACAGCATCTGCTTTGCATGTAGAACGTCCCAGGTTTGGTTCCAGTCATCTCCAGGTGGGGCCAAGAGAGACCCCTGCCTGAAACCCTGAAGAGCTGCTGCCAGCCAGTGTAATCAATACTGAGCTGAATTGAAAATGGTCTCATTCAGTATAAGGCAGCTTCCTAAGTTCCTAGCATGAGGAGAGCAGTGACATTTCCATGCATCAATAATATGAGCCATGGTGCTGTCGGATCAGGACTTTGAGGCAGAAGTTTGGGACCCCACTCAGCAGAATGAGGAGGGTGCTCAAATCATAGAATCACAGAGTTGGAAGGGACCCTGGGAATCATTGTCCAACCCCCTGCAATGCAGGAATACTCAGCTGTCCCATATGAAGATTGAACCCACGACTTTGGGGTTATCAGCACCACGTTCTAACCAACTGAGCTATCCAGTTATGTAGCAGGGTAGGCTTACCGCATAGCTGAAGTAATGCCCCAAACACATGGCCATCTAAAGAGCCTGCCCTCCCCCCGAAAATTCAGCATCTAAAATTACCCAACCACATCACTGAATATAAAAATCTCTCTTTCCCCTGCTTGCATCAGCTGATGATTCATCCTGATCCGGTTGTGAGGCCATCAGCCACTGCACTAACCAAACACTCTGTCCTCCGGCCTTCTCTTGGGAAAGCTGCCCAGCTTCAGGAACAGCTGAATGTGGAGAGGTTCAAAATTGCCATGCTGGAAAGGTAAAAAAAAAAAGACCTTCGTGCTTCAGTAGCCAATCAAGATTTGCAAACAACAAGGGCATTGGACTACCTGGCTTGGAAGCGACTTCTCCTTTGCAGGGAGAACATGTTCTTAATCAGGTGTGAAGAACCATTGGCTCTCCAGATGTTGACTGAACTTCAGCAACCACCAGGCCCCAAGCAAGCGTGGCCAGTGATTATGGGAGTTGTAGTTCAGCATTTGGATGGCCAATGCTTCTCCTATCTGTTCTAAATGCAACTGTGGCTTATGTCAGGGAAAAAATCCCAGCCATGTTCCTCATCATAGAATTCTGACATCTGGGTTTCCACATGCCTCTGATACAATCCTCCACTGGGAGTGGAACCTCTTCCTAGTAGACATTACCCAGACTGGCTTTCCAAGCGAGTTTTATTTACCTCCTGCTGCTATTTTAAAGTGAGGAGGAGGGTCTGTGACTTCATGCTAGTTTTGAGTGGGCAGGGCAAAGGGAAGAAAGGAGGTTGTGGCAAATCTACACCATGCAATTTAAAGCACTCTTATGCCACTTTTATCCATCTTGGCTTCCCCAAAAGAATCATGGGAAGTGCATTTTGTTGTGGGTGTTGACTTGTTAGAAGACCCCATAACAAACCACAATTCCCAGGATTCTTGGGAGGGGGGGGGAGCCAATAAAATGGCAAGAGTTTTGCCCATCCACACTGCAACCAAGCACACTGTTATGTACTACACCACAACTTACTGTTATCAACAGTAGAAAGCCCACTTTCAACAGTGGAAGGGAGCCCTGTGGGCAGGAAGGAAAGTCTGTATGTGCAAATGTATGTGCGATGTTGGCAACCCCTTGTGTTAAATCGTACCAAATTCTCCTCTTTTTTTCAGAGAGCTGAGAGCAGCCCGTCTTGCCCAGAGCTTCAAAAAGGACAAATTTTTGGAATGTGCCAGGCCTCAAGAATCTGGAGCCAACTCAAAGCACCCAAACAGCAAGAAGCGTCTGGTTGGAGGGAAAAATGCCCGGTCGTTTAGCTTTACTGCTGGTGGCTTTTGACGGTTTAGGCTCTTCAAATCACTGAAAACACACCCCTTAGAAACAAGAGACAACTTCAGATTTAAGGGACTGTGTTTTTACTTATTCCATCATGCGATTGTCATAGTACTAAATCTGGCTACCTGTAAGAGATAGTTGCTACCCATCACATTACAACATAATCTCTTTTTAAACCTATCTGTCGCTTCCTTTTGCCTGAAATGAGTGGGTTTGTTTTCCCTCCCAGGATTATCAGAAGAGTGTACAACTTTATTTCTTTTCTCTAGCTTTTAGGTTATCCTGTGTTTTCAAGACCCCTTGTGTTTTTCACTTTAAAACAACAACACACAGCCCCTAGCTGTATTTCAAATGGAATACGATTCAGGCAGCAGATGGCTTGTTCCTCTTGCAGTTGGGGAGGACCCTGCCATCACTAACATTTAAGTCCCACCTAGAGAGCCAGAGAAAGTAACCAATGCAAAATATATATTTAATATTCAACAGACCTAATGAACAGGATCCTTCTAAAACCAACAGGTTAGCCCTGCTGCCAATGGGGGTTGAATAAAATGAGTCTATATTTGGAAACAGATTATGTTTTCCATGAGCAATAGCAGACAGGATACAGCCTGGCCTTGATGGTTGTCTTTTTTGTGTCCAGGATAGAGCACCTGCTGTTCTTAATGTGGGTGGCTGACAATACTGACAGGTAAAGGATTGATCTGTATTTTTGCCAAGTGTCGTCTGGGATGGGTGGTTGGTGTTTCAAGCACATTGGAAGGGAATAATAAATGCTTTTTAGAACGCCTTGATGTTCTGGGGATTATGTTATGTAAAGTGTTCATAAATAAAATAAAGTAAACCTTATGCCCCTGTCGAAGTGTTAACTTCTGTTGTGGTTTTCCTGAACACAAAACACTGCTTTGTTGACTAGCCCAGTCATGAAGACTTGGCCAATTGCAGCAGTGTCTTTTGGGGGTTTCAAGCCTCTCTGTGTGAGTTCCCCTGACTTTCCTGAAGATAGCTTTACTTCACTAGCTGCAGGACAGCACAAATTTTATAGCTGTTGAGAAATGATTCTTTTTCTTAAAAAAAGAAAGTGATACATTTGTGAATAAAGCTTCTAATTTTGTTTTCTTCTAAAGTGTATGTGTGTGGAAATTTTGTTTCAGATCATACAAGGGAGGGCTGATGACATTACCTGTGACCACACAGCTCTTGTGGCTGATTCCAGGATGCATCTTGACTTGAGTTGCTCCACTGTGGGCTTTGCCAGAGTAATGTCTGTTGCAAACATTATGACATATTTTGCCGTGCAAAGGCTGCACTGGGGGAGGGCTAGAGCTGGCATAACCAATATGGTGCCCTCTAGAGGTTTCTAGACGACATCTCTCATCAGTCCAGACCTTTGGTCATGGTGGCTCTTCCTAGAGAAGTCAGACTGGCTTCCTCCTTGCTGTCCTTCTGCTGGCAGGTGAAGACCTCGAAATAACAGGCCTTTGGGAACTGGCTGCTTTTAATGAAAGGGCTGGTGCTGTGCTGGTTTTATTATAATTATCTGTATGTTTTTAATAGATATAGCTAAGGGGTTAAAGCCCACCCAGGGATGGCTGTGGGCAGAACTGTGTTCCGACATGTGGAGGGCACCGTGTCGGCCGATTCCTGTGCTGGGTAGCAACATACCTGTGTTCATATGTATTTATATTTCTCACAAAGCCCTTTGGGGGTTGTGAGAGCAATTGTTAAGAGTGCTGCTGGTCTTCAGTGGACCCAATTTCCAAGTCCAACTATTCCCCCCCCCCCAGCGAAGCAGAAGACACGCACAGGCAGCATTTTTAAAAAGTGCGTCGTTTTGGTTGCCCCCAAAAGGCGGCTGGCCTGAGCGAAGTCTTCCTCGGATTCATTCGTTCCAACGGGTCTACTCTGAAGTAGGAGTGGTATTGGCTTCCTCGTGTGTGTATAGGGAGAAACAAGGACAACCCCCCTTGCTTATTCCTTCTCCGGAGTCCCTTTTAAATACTCCCGCTTTTGCAGGCGGCAGGAAGCCGACGGGCCTGATCCCGCCTGCTCTCTCCCCGACCTCCCTCTCCTCTCTGGTGGGGATGGAAATAATAGCGCCACTGAAATCCGGAAACTGGTCCAGGGGCTATAGAGGAGGAGGGAGGGAAAGGCTGCTGCTGATTGGTTGATGGCTCGGGGCACAGCCCCCAACTTCCGCTTTATAGGCTCCGTTGGGTCCTCCGCCCTCTTTCCGGTGTGGCGTCGCTCTACCCCTGCGCCTCTCTATTGTTCAACCCGGCGTGGTCTGCGCTGTAGGGGTCCTAGTTCTATTTCACACCGGAAGTATCCGCGCGGACCCGCGGTGGGTTTCTCTGAAATTTTCTATCTCTTTGGACCCGCGTAGCCCCGAGCGCGTGAATCTGGGGAGGGCAAACGGAGCCTCGTTTCCTTCCAGGTAAATAGAGGGTGCAGAGGGCGCGGGGAGCGAGTATTCAGGGGTGCATTTTTTCTAATGCAGTAGATCCCCAGGTGGTGGTGGTTTAAAGCAAGCCTTGCTTTGATTTTTACCTGCAATTTGATTTCACCTGTAATCCGCCTTGAGATCACGTATTATTATTATCATTGCAAACAAACCGCACGGTGCTCAGTATATCCAGCCTCTTGCATCCTCATGTTAACCCCTGGAGCTGCACGCCCGCTGCTTTTGCCCGCGTGACTCCATGCACGTGTCCGCGTTTTAGCCTTAATTGCCGCGGATTCGGACGTGCCTCTCCTGTTCATACGTGCATCTTAATTTTCTCCCTGATCCCTCGTATTGCACGATGAGCGCTCCCTTCTCTTTTCTCCCCAAAGCGGATCCTGCCGCGAGCGCATCTCCACCTCTTCCTCGACGCGCATCTCTCCCAGAGCAGTCAGCATCACAAGCTTATTTTCTCACTACCACGTTGGGTTTGTTGTGAACTTTAGAAAGAGAGCGACTTCAAATTAATCCTCTCTTAATGCAGTTTTTAAAGCACGCGGTTAAAATCCCATCTACGCTACACATTTAAAGCACCCGCATATCGCTTTAAACAGCCATGGCTTCCTTCCTCAAAGAATCATGGGAGCTGTAGTTTGTAAAGGGTGCTGAGATTTGTTAGGAAGCCCCTGTTCCCCTCACGGAACTGCAATTCTCAGAGTGGTTTAAGAGACAATCCCTCTTCCTAGAGAACTCTGGAAATTACAATTCCAGGAGGACTTGCACAATAAACTAGCTGCCTCCAAAGACCAGACTTTGTGCAGTAAGGAAAGTGGAAGGGGTGAAACGGTGAAATCTGCTATGATTAAATGGGCACAAGATGTTGGACATAATATTATGTTCGCTGACTGGGAACAGTTATGGACCACAGGTATGAAGTTTACAGCATGTAATGCCTTAAGAGAGAATATTATGAAAATGATATACAGGTGGTACATGACCCCAGTCAAGCTTGCAAAAATTTATCATTTGCCCGATAATAAATGTTGGAAATGTAAAGAAACTGAAGGTACATTCTTTCACCTTTGGTGGACGTGCCCAAAGATCAAGGCTTTCTGGGAAATGATATATAATGAACTGAAAAAGGTATTTAAATATACCTTTCTGAAGAAACCAGAGGCCTTTCTTTTGGGCATTGTCGGCCAACTGGTGCCAAAGAAGGACAGAACCTTTTTCATGTATGCTACAACAGCAGCAAGAATACTTATCGCAAAGTATTGGAAGACACAAGATCTACCCACTTTGGAAGAATGGCAGATGAAGGTGATTGACTACATGGAATTGGCGGAAATGACTGGCAGAATCCGAGACCAGGGAGAAGAGTCGGTGAAGGAAGACTGGAAGAAATTTAAAGACTATTTACAGAAATATTGCAAAATTAAGGAATTTTAGAAGGATGTCGGACAGAAACTAAGAGGTTTTTAGCTGTAATGCTTTTAAGAGACATGAAAAAAAAAGGTTAACAATTGGGTAAAAGATTAATGGTAAGGATTTGCTGAACCAACAAACTGAACTGGAATACAAAGAAGGGAGGTATGAGGAGGTCCGGGAAATAAGAGCAAGTAAGATAGTTTATGGAAGATTATTGTGCTTTTAACTGTTTTATTTTGTATGTTTTTCCTTATTTTTTACGTTTTTGTTATATCTTAAAATCTTATACTTTTTTCTTTATTCTGTATTTTCACGTATTTTTTGAAACTTTAATAAATATCATTATAAAAAAAAAAAAAGGAAAGTGGAAGGGAGATTCACTGGAAAATGGTACTTGCTTTGAGGCAGTGTCATGTAACCTCCCTGCAAGCAAATCGGAACGAATGCTTACTAACTAACCAGCTTTGTCTAACCTTCACCGCAAACAAGGGAGAAGGAACGCTTTAGTTAGCTGGCTGTGATGCCATGTTATGTGTATTGTGTTCATAATTTGTAACTGTTTGGTGAAAGTAATATATCATCTTTTGAATCATTGTATCTTTTCACCCCAGATTATTGTCTCATTCTTCTCAGCCATGCTACTACATGTGAGCCTGCTAGGGTGAGCACAGGTTGGCAGGGTGTTGACCTTGTAAAATGCACCCACACACACCCTGCCCAAAGTATTGATATTTTGGTGGTGGCAGCTAGTGATTGTTTGGGATGATTAAGGGCATGGTTTAGGCCTGATTATAACCCTGGGGCAACAGCCAGAAATCCACTTAATTTGTCTTGTCTAATGACTCCTGTGGGTTAAGGAGAAGGGTCAGGATTCTCTGAAATACTTTGGGGGTAAACCAGGAATAAGGAATCTGTGTCCCTCCAGATATTACTACAACTCCCATCACCCCAGACAGTTGGTTTCACTAGCTGGGGCTGGTGGGAGATCGAGCACCACAACATCTGGAAGGCAGAGTTTAAGTTATCCCCTTTTCTTCCATGTCTGTTAACACGGCCAGACTGTATTTGCAAGGTCTCTGGTGAGCTGCTGTGTTTCTTGAGCTACTCCTGGCTTGTTTCTATGCTCCCTATGCTTTGTGCTTTAGATGCATAGCGCAGATGGGATTTGTACCGAATGTGAAGTGTGCAGAAAAGACAAAAAGAATAGCTTTATTGTGTACTAATGTCTCCTTCTGATAAGAGGAGACAAATTGAGTAAGGTAACTGGAAACTGACTGTTTTAATAGCTGCTTTGTCTTTCAGAGGAACTGGCAAAGCCCCCATAAGAAGACGCAAAGAAAGCAGCAGAAATGTTGCGCAGGCCCTTACTGCAGGTAACAATTCCATATTCTTTTGGCACAGTTTTTAAGCGCTGTTTTCTGTGAAGTAGAAGACACGTATCGAAAGCAAAGTCAAGGAGCTCGAAGTTGCTTTTGGTTGTATGTGTGCTATTTGACCATCTGGGTAGGCCGTGGTTTTGAAGTGTCAGAAGTGGTACAAAGAAACTGCGAAAAATTGCAGCCCAGCTTAATTGCAAAAAACCTTTGCAGGCAAATACTTCAGAACTCTGGCAGGGGGAGAGAAAAGTAGTAGCCCTGTCCGCTTTTGCCATCACATTGCAATAGATTACCCACAAAGGAATGTCACTCTCAAGTGGAAAACAAAAAAGTTCCTCAGCCTAGTGTGTGGCACAATATGCCCTGGATTCCGCAGAACAATGGCTTTAAGCAAATACTTGTCAGCCTCTTGCTACTCCCTTGTGGCAGGATCTGAGAATCCCAGTCAGACCTGACCCTTTTAGACAATGTCCACATCATATATTTAAAGCACCATTCTACCCCTTTAACACCCATCACTTCCCCCAAAGAATTATGGGAACTGTAGTTATTTAAGGGCACTGGGAGTTGTTAGGAGACCCATATTCTTCTCACAGCACTACAATCAATCCCTTTCCACAGGGAACTCTGGGAATTGAAATTCTGTGAGGAGAATGGGAGTATCTTAACAAACTGCAGTACCCAGGATTCTTTGGGGGAAGCCATGACTGTTAAAGTGGCATAATAGTGCTTTGAATGTATGGTACAAATGTGGCCTTATTGAACCTTTTATTTATTGGCACTAGCAAATGGATGAAGATGGGTGATGGCAGTTAGCAGACCTGAAGTGTGTCACACCAAACTACACAAATGGCTAAAACATGGATGCATCCTGGACCACTCACCTTTTCCCTCTCCCCCGCTCCCCCAAAATCAAGTGACAGTCCCCACCAGAAATGCCCTATTGCAGGGATGGTAGCTGTGGCCTACAATCTAATTTCATGCAGACTGAAAAGAGAACAAAAATGGAGGAAAGGGGTGTGGCAAAAAGAGGGGGAAAGTAGCTTTGTTCCTCTCTCCAACTCCATCACGTGGCCCCCAAGAGATTACTTCCAGGGAAGTGTGGCCCTTGACTGAAAAAAACATGATTCCCTATCCCTGCTGTATTGGCTTTGCCCATTGTTTTCCTTTCTTCTAGGTGATGCGCCAGTTTGTGAGGCACGAGTCTGAGTCGCCGACGCTGCCTTTAGTCCTTGAAAGATGTAAGTAGCTCTTCTTGAGACGAGACAGGCGAGCTCTGTGGGTCATGCGGAGTCAGTATCAGATCATCCCGTTGTGCCATTTAACTCTTTTGGGCTGCCAAGGGTGTGTCAACACAACCATGTTGGTTCCTTCTCTTAAGTTATTCCTGCTCTCTTTTTCTTCTTCAAAGCCTTGAATCGTATCCAGTTACTTGGCCGTGTAGGACAGGATCCTGTCATGAGGCAAGTTGAAGGCAAAAACCCGGTCACCATCTTCAGCCTTGCAACCAACGAGATGTGGCGATCGGGAGAAAGCGAATCGTTCCAAGGAGGTGAGCTGCTGTTGCTGCTGAGGGCTCAGCGTTGTTAACTGCAACATATTTAGGGGGCTGTTCTGGCATTACGCTGTGTTAGATGAAAGTCTCAACTCCTTCATTTCAGCATAGGTTAATCAAAATCTATGTTATAATGCCAGTTTTTTATTATTATTTAAGACCCTTTCTTAAAAAGACCACAGGGCAGAGAGCATAATAAAGAGGGTAATAATACACATAAGCATATCTATAAAATACAAAAATCCCATAACCCTTATATTTATCTTTTATTTATATTTATATTTTATTGTGAATCGCCCTGAGACCCTCGGGTATAGGGTAGTATATAAATTCAAGAAATAATAACATTATAAAAATTATAATTAATAATAATTATTTATTTCAGCAGTTTATATACCACTTAATTACAGTCTTCTCTAAGCAGTGTACAAACTCCTCCATTCTCTGACTCTTTCTTTCCTTTTCCTATCCCTGCCTTGTGTCCTTCATTGCTCTTCACTCCAGCAGGGCTCATTTTTCTTTGCCTTCTCCCCCTCCTGCCCCTCCTGACCTTTTGCCATTGCTATTTCTGACCTTAGCTTAACGTCCTGTTCCCAAATTCTTGGACAGCCCTTATTCCTGAGGCCACCTTCACCTTCCATCTCCGCCATCTCCTGACCCACTCAGTGCCCTCCAAGCGCTTGTCCATTCCCCGCCATACACTGAACAGCAGGAACTAACTCGCCTAAGCTGTAAACCGAATGTCTGCTGGAAAAGGTCCCCTACCCAAATGAACATGGCTCACTTTAGGGGTTTCTAGGCAAGCATCTCTCTGGCATTGAGGAAGTTCATGGGGTCGCAGTTCAGCATAGCTGTGCCTCTCCTTCCCCACTGTGGGTATCCTCAACAAGCCATACTCTCCGTGTCTTGGGCAAAAGGTTCTATGTGCGTAGAGTTCCTCCATGCAAGGCCGTGGAGTGCTGGGATTTGGAGCTAATAACAATCTTTGTTTGGAGGGTCTGCACATATGGCAACACACTTGTGGGGCTCCTTCACACAGAATGCACTGTTGTGGGTGTCTGTTGTTGAGAAACGGGGTGGCTGCACCGTGAAACTCCATGATCACACATTGAAAGAAAATGCGATGGAGTTGAAGTGAACGCTTCTTCCACCCCATGAAAGTTTTCGCCCAACATGGTGCCGTCCATATGTTGTTGGACTCCCCCTTCCATCAGCCCCAGCCAGAAATGATGGTAGTCCCAACAACAGCTGTGGAGGGAACCACATTGCAGAAAGGCTGATTTAACCCACCCTCTAGAAATGACCATGAATCCACAGGTGTTTATCTGTTCTGTGTTTCCTTTTGACCGAGGTGATATTACACAGAAGACGACATGGCACAGGATCTCTGTGTTCAGGCCGGGGCTAAGAGATGTGGCGTATCAGTATGTGAAGAAGGGGTAAGTTAAACTGGGGGAAGTCTGCATAACAGTCGGGCGTTACAAAACCTCAGGAGCTTACTGCTGACTTTCTTTGTATTCCAATCTTCCCTGCACAGCAGACATGGGGGACCTGTGGTCTTCCAGGTCATTCCTGACTGTTGGCCATGCTGGCTGGGACTGGTGGGAGTTGGAATCCAACAGCATCCAGAGGACCACAAGTCCCCCACTTCTGGTATAGAGAACATGGGGTTGGTGGTCTGGCCTAATGTATGAACTGAGGCAGGAGGCCCCTGGCGATGAAATCACTTAGATGTTCTTAAGCAAGCCAATCTGGGCCTCAGACACAAGTCTACAATAAGAAGGGATTACCTAACTCACAATAAGGATGATGGGTGGAATATGTTTTAGTGTTCTTTGGAGCTATTTAAATGCATTTTTGTTGTTGTGGCCCTTGACACCTGACGGTCAGAACCCACCCTCTTCTAGTGACTATCTTGTTATAATTCTGAAATTTTAAGTTGTTCTAAGTCACCCTAGAACCTGCAGGTGAAGAACTGGTAATAAACATAGTAATTAATGGTGCTTCTATATTTATTTGCACTGTCCTCTCCTATTTGTGATCTAAATCCAGCTAAGCCACCAGATATCACATGTACGATGTTCATTACACCAGAATGGAAGCCCGCGTGAGTTAGACTGGATAGTATATTTTGGCTGGGAGACCCAGATTCAAGCCCCCATGCAGAAGCCCACTGCCTGACCTTCCGCCAGTCACTACCTGCCAGCCTAGGCTACCTCACATAAAATGGGGGGAAGGAGGGAACCGTGTATGCTTCCTTGGTCTCCTTGATTGAAGGACGGACTATAGATGTTGTCAGATGCGGGTGTGGTTGCTCGAGAGTAAACAGGCAAGACTCCAACCTGTCTTTTCCAGGTTTTATTCTTGGTGCAAACTATTTACAGTGAAGAGCGTTGTAAGTTCATGTCTGGCTCAGTCGCTAGCAGAATCTGGGAGTGGTCGGTTTTTGTACCTCCCCCAGCATAAAAGTCGCATCACCCCCAGCCTTTTCCGCCCCTCCCTGCACCGGAGCCTACTGCACAGAATGGGCGCTGGCAGGGGCGAACTTCCCGCCTCTCCAGTTTGCTCGGCTTGGTGGTGAGGCTCTCCCTAGCATCCTCTGGTCCCTGCACCTCTTCTCCACTGGAGGTGGGGCTTTCCTCCTCGCCGGAAGAGGAACTGCTTCGCAAGATTTTTGGAGGCTCCCTATAACATATCTGCCCATTCATCTCTTGCCTCTGCTCTGAGCTGATGGCAGTTCCATGACAGATGTAATAAATAAATACGCCCTTGGGGATAGCTCAGTTGGTAGACCTTCTTAATCTCAGGGTTGTGGGTTCGAGACCCATGTTGGGTGAAAGATGTCTACACTGCAGGAGGGGTTGGATTATCCATGTGGTCCCTTCCAACTCTACAATTCTTGGAGTCTGAGTCTGTAAGCCCACTCACAACTTAAAATAGCCTCTGTGTGTGTGTAGACCCGGGAGGAGCCATTTCAGTAGCCTGCTGTGATGAGACAGCAGGTTTGCAGCCCCCCGCAATGGCTTTTGAAATCTTCCTTCCCTCTCACACCTTCTGTGGCTACGGAATAATCAGATGAGCGCTATCTGTTAGTGGTAGCTCTTAAACCACTACCAGCAAAATGTCACCATTAATCTCCCCTGTTGTCTTGTACTTGGCTTCTGGCAGTGCTCGGATCTACGTGGAAGGGAAGATAGACTACGGCGAGTACGTAGACAAGAACAACGTAAGGCGGCAAGCCACAACAATCATAGCAGGTAAAGAACTTCCTATGACAAGCCAGGCAGGGCAAGTGGGCTGTGCTTGCTGCCCATGCATCCGAACCACCTTTCTCCTTCCTTGCTTCAAACAACAAGGCGGATTTAGATAGAACTGAGTAATGCCTTAAATGCCT